TTAAGATGATTTGGTTGTTCATGAAGAACAAACTCAAGATCCTCAAGAACTTGTGCATCATGAGCCAATAACTTTGCGGAGATCCACTAGAGAAAGAAGAAGTGCTATTTCGGATGATTACATGGTATTTCTTCAGGAACATGAGGAAAACAATGGTATGATGGAAGATGACCCAGTTAACTTCCGTCAAGCCATGCAAGGTTCTAACTCTGAAAAGTGGATTGAAGCAATGAAGGAGGAGTATAAGTCCATGCAAGACAACAAGGTTTGGGAACTTGTCCCATTACCAGAAGGTATGAAACCCATTGGTTGCAAGTGGATATTTAAGACCAAATGGGATTCTAAAGGTAATGTGGAAAGGTATAAGGCTCGTCTGGTAGCTAAGGGTTATACCCAAAAGGAAGGGATTGATTTTAAAGAGACTTTCTCTCCAGTTTCATCGAAAGACTCTTTTAGGACAATCATGGCTCTTGTAGCACATTATGATTTGGAGCTTCATCAAATGGATGTCAAGACAGCGTTTCTTAATGGCAACATTGACGAGACGATTTATATGGTGCAACCAGAAAATTTTGTGCAGGGAGATTCAAAGAGTATGGTTTGCAAACTGACAAAATCCATTTATGGACTAAAACAAGCATCTCGTCAATGGTACTATAAATTTCATCACGTAATTCTCTCATTTGGCTTCGAGATGAATATTGTTGATGATTGCGTATATCACAAGTTTAAGGGGAGTAAGTATATTTTCCTGATCTTGTATGTTGATGACATTCTACTTGCCACTAATGATATAGGCATATTGCACGAAACCAAGAAATTTTTATCAAAGAATTTCGAAATGAAAGATCCTGGTGATGCGTCTTTTGTATTAGGAATTCAGATACACCGAGATCGATGTTGGGGTATTTTAGGATTATCACAAAGGAACTATATCGAAAAAAATTCTTAAAAGGTTTGGCATGCATGAATGTAAATCCGGGGATACTCCAGTTGCTAAGGGAGACAAGTTTAGTCTCAATCAGTGCCCAAAGGGAAATTTGGAAATTGAGGAAATGCAAAAAATTTCCTATGTATCAGCTGTAGGGAGTTTGATGTATGCCCAAGTATGTACGCGTCCAGACATAACATACATAGTTGGGGTTCTAGGCAGATATTTAAGCAATCCAGGAATGGACCATTGAAAAACAGCAAAAAGGGTCATGAGATATTTAAAGAGAACAAAAGATTGCATGCTCACATACAGGAGGTCAAACCAGTTGGAGATCGCTGGGTTTTCTGACTCGGACTTTGCAGGATGTCAAGATAGTTTGAAATCCACTTCAGGTTACATTTTCATGTTAGCAAGTGGTGCGGTTTCTTGGCGCAGTGTCAAGCAAACCCTTACAGCTTCATCCACTATGGCAGCAGAATTTGTAGCATGCTATGAGACGTCGAATCATGGAATATGGCTGAGAAATTTTGTCACATGGCTGCAAATTGTGAAAGACATTGAAATACCACTTAAGTTATATTGTGACAACAAATCAGCTGTATTGTATTCCAACAACAACAGAAGTTCGACTAAGTCAAAGCACATCGACATTAAGTTTCTAGTTGTTAAGGAAAGAGTACAAAGTGGACAGATTTCCATAGAACATTTAGGGACAAACTCCATGATAGCAGATCCTCTAACCAAAGGACTTCCGCCCAAGGTCTTTCATGAGCATGTTGCTCACATGAGTGTTTTACAGTTTGAGGAATTTGTGGTTTAGTGGGAGTTAGTCATTTTCATATATTTTATGTTCTATGTTTAATTTTATATATGTATACATTGATTTTTTGGACATATTTGGTTATCTATAGATATGCGGTTTTTGTTCATTCATTACACTTTGTACATTAAGGTTATTATATCGATCTCGATAAGTTAAAGTTTGGACCAGTTGAAAATAGACGTGTACAGATCACCTTCACGTAATTTTTCATGCTACATATTTCATGATGAATCCATGTCATTTGGTTATGTCAGGATGAGTAATCATTGTTGGTTTTAGTTGCGATGATGCAATGAAAAGCTGGTTTGATTCTATATCCTGATATGATTAATGGACAGGACTTTTGGAATATGCTAAAGGAATATAATGACAATTTTGAGCTCATAAAGTCTAACACATTTGTAAGGTTGTAAAGACATATATATTTGTGACCAGTGAGAGATTGTTGGCAAATTTTGGGTCATGTATATATATGATACATATTTTAATGTGTTAGGGTAATTATTTATTAAGCCAAATAATAAAGTGATCTGAATAAATTAAAGTTTTGGCTAAAGGCATATGTCATGAAAATATGATTGTGTAGAGACCATAGAGTAATTTCTAATTTGATGAGGGGCCAAATTGAAAATACTAAAACTTAAGTAATTAACCTAATTTTGGTTATATAAAGGGTCATGGTCCCCTTTTGAGAGCACACAGACAGAACATAGTTACAGTCCCGTTCCTTTCTTTCTATCCCCATCAAGAAAGAAAATCAAGAGGAAAATACAGGTGCTCTTCAGGTGGAAGACCATAAGATCAAATCAAAAGTGCTCTACAAAGGATATCGTCATATGACCAATTCAGGTACGCTTTCGCATTTAGTTCATAACATGTTTACAATATGGGATTATAGATATATATTTGATCATTAGAATGGATATCATATTTAATTATCGGTTTACTTAACATAAGGTACTAGGTAGGAACAATGGTGTAAAGGAATTTTGAATGAACAATGGGGGATTTGGTATGACGTGAAGATAGACAATAATTTTTTACTTTTAATAACTTGGTGACGTGGAGTGCAACACTTATGCACAAATTATTTTCTCTTTCAATGAACTCATGCAACAAAAATAATAGAAATATAATATCTTTTATAACGGGGTGAGAATTCTCTTTTTTAATGTGAAATAGAACAATCAAACCCCATGTCATAAACCTCTTTAAAATATACATATTACATTAATATTCATTAAGAAAACGAGGCATCTAATGATTTGGATTAAGAACTTGATATTTTAAATTAAAAAGATTTAATTCATTATTGCACGACAACTTTGAAAAATCATGTAAATTCATCACTAAAACAAAAATTTCATAGTTGACCAAAACCAAACAAGGTACGGCGATGTTGTTACAATAAAAGATAAAAGCAATGAAAAATATTATATATATATATATATATATATATATATATATATATATATATATAATATTTTAATCTTTTTTGGTTTATATAGTTTTTTTTTTTTATGTTTATAGTATACTCATTGTTGAAAGGACATATTATATTTTTTGGTCAAATATATAAAAGCCAAGTCAACTCAATTTCTGGTTGTTTAGTAATTCAAGCCACTAAGTTTAGTTAATTGATTCTGACATTCTTAATTTATGGTTAATTTAATATTGTCATAGTGTCTTCTTATTTCTTTAGTTTTAAGTATTCAAATATAATTCATTAATGTATATGTAAGAAATAAATATATACAAGTTTAAGTGTATAAAAAATAATAATGTCTAAGTAATAAAAACTCAGAAACTTAATATTATAGTTTTATGTTAAAATATATTTTTTATATTGCTAATAATCAATATTTTTGTATTTATTATTTTATATAAATAATTTTTTCACTCAAAATTCACAAAAATAGGTTGAGTGTTATAATAGTTAATGCCATTAATTTATTTTTCAATAATAAGTAGATTTATTTTATTAAAATTATTACAAAATAATGGGTCGATTCATACACGTTCACTCACATGCTCTTAAAAAAAATATTATATAAATAAAAAAATTGATCAATTTTTATTCATATAACTAATCAAATTTTCGGGTCAAATCGATAATTCTATTTATTTATTTTAAGCAATAATAATTTATAATATGATATATTAATAATATTTTTATGTAAATAATTTTTTTTTGAATTTTACAAATATGTTTGAATTTTTTTTCTAAAATTTAGGGACTAAAATATAGAAAATAAAATAAAATTGAATATTAAAATAAAAATAATTTTTTTTTCATTTTTATATAATTAAATTTTATAGTATATTAATATTTTTGAGTATATAAATTAAAATCTAAACTGGATAAATTATGTTTTTGCTTGTTGTATGCCAACTTATGTATTTTATACCTAACAAACTTTAGAATGCATTTTAATTCTTTAGCGTTAAATTAGACCATCTTAAAAAAAAAAAAGACCATCTTCAATTATAGTTATTTATTTTAAAATTATATATAAATAAAATATTACTCTAGTATAAGACTTTACAAATTTGAACTGTTAAAACAATATTCTTTAGTTATTTATTACTTTGTTTCTAGTCTAAATGATTTTTAGACTTAAAACACTTATAATAATGTAATTCATATGGTGAAGATAAAAATAGGTTACAAATACTTGGAGTTTGTATAATATATAAACATTGTTTAAGGAGATCTTAAAATAAAAAACAAATAATCATTTTGTAATATTTATATTTTAAAATTTAAAATTTTCATTTTTTTCAATTTTTTATTGAATGTGCTATTTTACAGTAAAAATAAGAGAAGTAATTTTAACAAGTAGTTTTTTCTTGTAATAAAAGCAGTTGTGTTGTTAGATATTAATAAAATGGGAGTCAAAAGTTGATATTTCCAATCAAAGGCCGTGATAACACATGTTCTATAGGGTTTGTTGAAGATAAATTTACAGCAAGAACAACAAAAAAAAGGGTAGGTTCTGGCAAAGCTGAGAAAATGTTCCTTCGTTCAAATCTAGGAAATACTGATTGTAGCCTCTGAAACACCATGCATCATGCTGCTACAAGTCTGTCTAAGAACTGGTTTCTTTCATAACTTTCATTTGTTGTTTTAGTCTCTGTACCTAATTTTGACAAGTTCATTTCTAGAGAAGGTTGAAATTCTCTCTCTTTCTTTCTTCATTGTTTATTACCCCAACTACTAATTTGCCCTCCAATTAGTAACACATGGGGGACGTTAGATTATACCATCCAAATGAAGGTGTGTTGTCCATGGAGTGCCCCGAAAACCACTGCTATAGAAGCAGCAGCGTGTGTGAGATAGAAGAGGACGGAGACGACAACGAGACTCAGCACCATGTAAGGCCTATAGCCACTAGTCACAGAGAAAAACAAGAAGAAGATGAAGAAGACTGTGTTTATGTTGCAGTGGGTAAGAGCAACACAAGCCTGTATGCTCTCTCATGGACACTTAACAACTTGGTTACTCAATCTACCATCATTTATCTCATTCATGTATTCCCTGAGATCAAACACATTCCAAATCCATGTAAGTTTATCACAACTTCCCATCTCTTTCATTTTCTGCTGGTATTACATTTCCCATCACTCTGTCTTGCTTTCTCCGTCGTCTATATATATTTAATGTGGGGTTCACTTGGTGAATATCAGTGTCTTGTCACTCCATGTTTTTGTGTGATGACAGTGGGAATAGGAATGGTTCCAAGGGAACAAGTGAGTGCTGAGCAGGTGGAGAGTTATATTGACCAAGAAAGAGGCAAGAGGAGAGAGCTCCTTCAGAAATTCCTACAATCATGCTCTACGTCCAAGGTACTAATTTATAAATCCAATGGAACCAAACCCTTTTCAATTCCAATGAAACCAAGAGATAAGTGGAAAAAATTATCCAGAACAGGTTAAGGTAGAAACCATCCTGATTGAGAGTGACTTAGTTGCAAAGGCTATCCTCGACCTGATTCCCATTCTTCAAATAAGAAGCCTAGTGATTGGAGCCAACAAATTCCATCTAAGGTACAGCACTAAGACCATATATAAGATGATTATATTATAAGCATTCCATTAATATTCAAGCACTAATTAATTATATTTGGATGAACAGAAAATCAAAATCAAGGAAAGGGAATAGTGTTGCTGATCAGATTCTGCAGAATTCACCAGAAAGTTGCAAGGTGAGAATAATATGTGGAGGGAAGGAAGTAAATGAGCAGATGATGTCACCCCCTACTCGCACCTCTCTTAATGATACATCCATAACTAGCCAAAAGAAAGAAGATCATGATGATACGGTTTCATGCATTTGTTTCATACCCAAGTTTAAATGATTATGGTGTTTGATTCAATTTGAATTGTACAAAGGTAAAAAATGTATAGATGTAGCCAAGTCAAGTTCTTTGATTTGTAATTTTACTTTGAAATTTGAACAGTGGAGACAGTAATGTTTACATGTGATGATTTCCATGTACTCCATTCTTCATCGTCCTTATCCTGGTTTGGGTAATATGAACGGAAATTTCTATTTTCATTGTACCGTTACAAATCATAAATTTTATGTTAAAATATTAATGCCCCTGGTATGATAGTGAACGCTTGGATATAAAATATTGTTCATAAACAAAGCATTTGATTTGGGTTTATTTGAGGTGTGTCTTCCCTTGTTACCTCACGGCAAAAAGCATATTCGTTTATGCTTCTCACTCGTGAATATGGTTGGATACACGACTTTAATGTAGTCAACTCTCAATAATTTACGAACGACCTAGTCAATATTATAATTGATTTGCATCTAAATATGAATTAATCTTATTTAGCAAATTTATATTACGGTGAGTTGTTACTAAAACCAATCAAAAATGAACTTGCGAGGTTACATACTCACTTTTATATTGGTTTGGAGATAAATAGAAATGGTACATGCACCAACCTTTTAAATTTTAAAAATTTTAGAAAATTTAAATTATTTTTATTTTAAATTATTAAAATTTTGAAATATTTAGTTTGGATATTTAAATTTATTGAATTTAAATTTTCTCTGATAGAGCGTATCGTAATTTTGAAACGAATATTTCAAATATCACCAAATATAAAAATACTAAATATAAAAGAATTACTACAAATTATAATAATGTCAATAAAAAAAATACTTTCATATATATATATATATATATATATATATATATATATATATATATATATATATATATATATAAACTATAAAACTCAACCCAGAAAAAATCTAATAGTTTCAAGCCAACGGCGATAAAGAAAATAACGATAAACATGAGAAACAACATTGATTTACATTGGTAGATAAATAATCTAAAATATGTTAATGAAAAACCAAATCTATCAACTTCAATTAAAAAGACCTTGACTAAATAATATCATTCAAATCAATAAAAGAATTTAAGCGGTGTATATTAAAAATCTTGTGAATATTGGACGAGAAAACCCTAATATACAAATTTTGACTTTTGTTAAAAAAACAACTTCACAACATTAATCGAAAATAATCTTAATTAACATTAATGAAAAAAAATCGCATTTCAACATCAATAGAAAAACACCTAATGATAAAAAATTATCTAATTAATGCGAATTGAGAAATAATATTAATAAACATCTAGTGTGTTGAAATAAACTTATTCTAATAAATTCTTTAAAAGATTAGAGAAATAGATAAGTTAATATAAGAAAATTTATGACTTAAATTAAATTAAAATAATTTTAACTTAATATATTTAAATTAGATCTAATATAAATGGGTTTAATTTAGATTATACAATAAATTTATAAATTTAATCATTTTATAAATTAATAATTATTTTTAAATAAAAATAAAAATAATATTATTTTATTAAAAAAATATATAGTATAAATTAATTTGATAAGAAATTTAGTTATTAGAAGAATAAATATAAAAGTAAGTTTTTAATATTTATTTATTTAAAATATTAATAATTAAGATAAAATATTATTTTAGAACATTACATTTTTATAAAATAAATTATAATAATAAAAAAGATTAACTCTTATTATGTTAAAGTGAATGGATTTTTTTATAATTTATATATTAAATTATTATATAAAAAATAAAAATTAATTTTATTAATATAATTTAAATTTAAAAAATATTTTTTTGTTTTCTATTTTTATTTAATTTCAATCAAACAAACTACTAAAAAACTATTTTTTTCTGCCAATTTTCTTGCAAAAAATTATTTTAATTTATAGAAAACTTATTTCTTGCAATTTTTACCAAAATTTTGCAAAAATATTCCCATGAAAAATGAGAATTTTTAGTAGTGCATTAACCAATTAGTTTATTATCTATAGAAATATATTAGACTAAAAATTATATTCTATTTTAAAATATCAATTAAATTGAAATATCAATTTTTTTTTTCACACGTTAAACTAGGTTGGGTTGATTATTTTCTCAGTTAACATCTAAAATATAATTCCTGATCGATAATGCCCAATTTTGATTAAAGGGATAACTTTTCTTTTATGAAAATTGAACTAATGATATCTCCGTAGAATCTAATATAATTTTTTTTAACCACAGAGTGTATATATATCTTAAAATTTTAAATTATCTGTTTTTAAATAATTAAATCATTTTAATAATTTTTTTAATTTTTGTAATTTTCTATCCAAATAATATATTTTGTTACAAAATATTTTAAAGATTTTATAAAAATAAATTATAAAATTTTCATTCCATGATAGATAGTAGTATTGTTTTAAAAAAACAAGTGGAGGCATTCTGAATGCATATATAGGTGATTTATATGCATCTTGTTAAACTTTGTGGATTTAATCTCTCTTAGAAGTAATTCGAATAAAAAAAGAAGCGAGATCAAAATACTTAGTATTTATTTAAAGCGGTCAAATAATTTTTAAAAAATACTGTATTTAATATTTTGATATAATTGCACATTATTTTTCATTACAATTTATTCTAAAAATACATTTTATGCTTATTTTTATCATGTAATATACCTTCAAGATGAAAGTCCTGAAGATTAGTTATTATATATAGCCAATGTGTACTATATTTTATCAAATAAAAAATTGCCCTGTAGTTTTCATCAAGGTTTTCTAGCTTGTAGTTTTGTCCAAATTAATTACAGTCAACTATATATTGATCCATTTCACAACTCAACCAATAAGTTGAAAAATTGGAGAAAGCTAGCGAACATGATGGGATCAGCAGGGTCATGGGAAAAGGAGCAGGATGAGGGCATGCCCTATGACACCCATGAAGAAAGCTCCAGTTGCTTCAGTTGTGGTTTTATGGGGATCAAGAGAAACCAAGTCATAGATTGCAGTCTTAGCCGCAACAGCAGCAACAGCAACAGCGAGATAGGAGATTCAGATTCGGAGGAGTTGTTTGAGATCAATCTGAAGAAGCCTTTGGTTTTGGATACCATAAGAGAAGACTGCGAGAGCACTGTGTTCTCTCTTGATATTCACAACTGCAATGATGATGATGATGTTGTTTATGTGGGAGTAAGCAACAATGGAGATTCGAATCCAAGCATGGAAGCTCTTTCGTGGGCCTTGAAGCACGCCGTGACACCCTCTGCCACTGTAGTCCGTCTCCTACACGTTTTCCCTCAAGTCAAGCTCATTCCAAGTCCATGTAATTAAGTCTTCTACGCCCTTTTTGTCTTTCTCCTCCTTTTATTTTCCGTGCTACATGCTCATAGTCAAATAAGTCCCTTTCCCCTATAACATGTTACGCGTCAACTAAACTTTTACTCTTTCATCTTGAATATCATTCAAGAACAACATCAAAAAAAGTTAACGTAGTTGAAATTTGTTGCTTTGTAATTTCATACCCAAATTTATTTTCTACTGAATTCAACTTATTGTTAACGTAAGGAGATACATTCTAATGTTTTGAATATGTTTAACAACAGTAGGAAAAATTCCAAGGAGTCATGTAAATGTAGAGTATGTTAACATGCACTTGGCACAAGAGAAAGACAAGAGGAAATTGCTCCTTCAAAAGTTCATCGACCTCTGCGTTGATTCTAAGGTAAGTAAAATCCTTGCTTGGAAAACCTGGACGTTTTATGTATTGGTTGAAGATATATATAGCATTACTATTACGTACAGGTTAAGGTGGAGATGGTGATGATAGAGGGTGACAACGTTGCTAAAGCTATCGTGGACCTGGTTCGAAATCTTAATATGAGAAAACTGGTCATTGGAATTTCCAGATCTAATTTAAGGTACCGTGTCTGAGATCCTTATTTATATACATGTGAGACCAATTAAATTCATAGCAGCTAACAGCATTTTCTAATTGTTTTATTATTTGGATTAGTAGAAAATGTGAATCTAGAAGGCAAAATGGCATAGCGGGCAAGGTACTAAAATATGCACAGGAAAGCTGCGATATAAAAATCATATGTGAAGGAAGAGAAGTGATAGAGCAGATGAGTGAGTGCACTTCACCAAGCTCCATAGACAACGGGAATTCCAAAGTTTCACAGGAAATAAATGCATCCCGTGGATTTGTCTCAATTAAGCATTTTATGTCCAGTTCGTTCTGGTTATTTAGGTCCATCACCAAAGATAAGATGAGTAAACATGCATAATTCGGAAGCACAGAAGGAAACTGAAGAGTATAGTTAGTTATAAATCTTGTTTCCATTAATACATTAATATAAAAAGCTGTGTTATATATACGACGCATGAGAAATGATAGATATATGCAGTTAATTTTTTACTACACATGCTGAGAGTATAGTTCATGGACTTTGTTTTGAATGGTTGATTACTTACAGTATTGTTTTGCAGTACTTACGTATATGGAAATTTATGTTTTAATGGTTTTTATCGTGAACAAAAAGGCAAAGGCCCCAAATAACATACGTATAGCAGAAGGAGATCACCCATATGATTTCTGATATGACCACCAAATAACATCCAGATAACTATTTAAAGCCATACCTTAATTTTCTGCAAACAATTGATCCTTCGTAAACTCAAGCAAATTGATTCTACCAACTTCTTCACACTCAAGTCTATCATTACTTATGAAACATTTTGGGACATTACATAATTTCGAACCCATCCGAGATTCTTTGAATTATTGCAATAAAAAACTCATATTCCAAGGAATGCCTGAGATATCATGTTTCCTCATCCAGCTATTAGCTTGGAGTAGTTTGTAACAAGATCTACGAACTCCTTCCTCATCACCTCTCCTAACGCTCTCTGATGATGGTGTTTTAATGTTGATGCATGTATTTTATTTTATTTTTCTCTCTACACTCTAATTCTTATTGATGGGAACGCTTTAGGTCTGTCTAATGGATTCATTTAAAAAAAAAAGAAATCTTCATGTTTTCAAAGAGTAATTTAATAACTTTAAAAAAATTGCATGCATAGTTTAAATCAAATTAATATATAATAAATGAATTTAGTTATATTATATGGTCATCTTGAAACTGTGAGGGAGGGAGACATGAATCATGCTTGGTGGTGGTGGTGTTAGTCCTGAATTGGGAGAACAGACTGGGCTTTGCCCAGCCCAAATACGGAAGAAAATTGGGCCTCCTCTTCTCACCCGAATTTTGGGACAGGGAAATAATTAAAAGAAAAAAAAAATTAAAGGTGTTGTAGCGTGTTGGCGTGGGAGCTAAAGAAAAAAGAGGGTGAAGAAGGGGAGGCTCGATAGAAGTGTCTGGAATCCCATCCGTCGTGCTTTTGCTGTCTGTGCCCTCACTCCTCACCCCTCCCCTCCTGCAATTACCCAAGCGATCTCTCTCTCTCTCTCTCTCTCTCTCTCTCTCTCTCTCTCTCTGTGTTTCAGAGCCGTTACCACCATGAAACGCCCAAACGACGAGGTCGCCAACCCCTCAACAGTGAAACCAACGTTCCTAACGAAAGCCCAACGCGAGCAATTGGCTCTTCAACGCCGCCAGGAAGAGGTGGCGGAGCAGAAGCGGCGCCAGGAGCAGCTCCTCTCACGCAACAACTCCTCCGATCCCAAACCCTCCTCCGACCGCGACAGAGACAGAGACAGAGAAAGGGACAGAGACCGTGACAACAGGGAGCGCGACCGGGACCGCGATAGAGACAGGGACAGAGACCGCGACCGCGAGAGGGCACGTGACCGGGACCGCGAATCCGAACGCCGCAACAGAGAGAGGGAGCGCGAAGAGGAAACCCGGGCTCGCGAGCGAGCTCGCTCGGAGAAACTTGCGGAGCGCGAGAGGGCACGTGACCGGGACCGGGAAGCCGAACGCCGTAACAGAGAGAGGGAGCGTGAAGAGGAGACCCGGGCCCGCGAGCGAGCTCGCTTGGAGAAACTCGCGGAGCGCGAGCGCGAGAAGGAGCTTGAGTCCATCAAGGAGCAGTACCTCGGCTCCAAAAAGCCCAAGAAGCGCGTAATCAAGCCCAGCGAGAAGTTCCGGTTCTCCTTCGATTGGGAGAACACGGAGGACACCTCGCGGGACATGAACTCTCTCTACCAGAACCCACACGAGGCTCAGCTTCTCTTCGGCCGCGGCTTCCGCGCCGGCATGGACCGCCGCGAGCAGAAGAAGCTCGCCGCCAAGAATGAAAAGGAGATGCGTGAGCAAATCCGCAAGAAGGACGGTGTCGAGGAGAAGCCCGAGGAGGCCGACGCCCAGCGCCGCAAGGAGGCCGCCGCCGACCTCTACGACACCTTCGACATGCGTGTCGACCGCCACTGGAGCGAGAAGAAGCTCGAAGAGATGACTGAGAGGGATTGGCGCATCTTCAGAGAAGACTACAACATCTCCTACAAGGGTTCCAAGATTCCTCGCCCTATGAGGAGCTGGAACGAGAGCAAGTTGAGCCTCGAGCTCTTGAAGGCTGTGGAGAAGGCTGGCTATAAAACCCCTTCTCCTATTCAAATGGCAGCCATTCCCCTTGGCTTGCAGCAGCGTGATGTCATTGGCATTGCCGAGACCGGTTCCGGGAAAACCGCGGCGTTTGTGCTTCCCATGTTGAGCTACATCACCAGGCTTCCACCCATGAGTGAGGACAACGAGGCTGAGGGTCCCTATGCGGTTGTCATGGCCCCCACTCGCGAGCTCGCGCAGCAGATTGAGGATGAGACTGTTAAGTTTGCGCAGTATTTGGGCATCAAGGTGGTGTCCATTGTTGGTGGACAGTCCATTGAGGAGCAAGGATTTAAGATCAGGCAGGGCTGTGAGATTGTCATTGCCACTCCTGGACGTTTGATTGATTGCTTGGAGCGGCGCTATGCTGTTCTCAACCAGTGCAATTATGTTGTTCTTGATGAGGCGGATCGCATGATTGACATGGGGTTTGAGCCCCAGGTGATGGGTGTCCTTGATGCCATGCCTTCTAGCAATCTCAAACCGGAGAATGAGGATGAGGAGCTTGATGAAAAGAAGATTTATCGGACCACTTATATGTTCAGTGCCACCATGCCCCCTGCTGTGGAGAGGCTTGCCAGGAAATATTTGAGGAACCCTGTTGTGGTTACCATTGGCACTGCTGGAAAGGCAACTGATTTGATCAGCCAGCATGTGATCATGATGAAGGAGTCTGAGAAATTTTACAAGCTTCAGAGATTGCTTGATGAGCTTAATGACAAGACTGCAATTGTGTTTGTCAACACCAAGAAGAATGCGGATATGGTTGCTAAGAATTTGGATAAGGAAGGGTATCGTGTAACCACTTTGCATGGAGGGAAGTCACAGGAGCAGAGAGAGATTAGTCTTGAAGGGTTTAGGACCAAGAGATATAATGTTCTTGTTGCAACTGATGTTGCCGGACGTGGGATTGACATACCTGATGTGGCTCATGTTATCAACTATGATATGCCTGGGAATATTGAAATGTACACTCACCGTATTGGGCGTACTGGTCGTGCAGGAAAGACCGGTGTAGCTACAACATTCTTGACTCTTCAGGACAGTGATGTCTTTTATGACCTCAAGCAGATGCTCATTCAAAGTAATAGTCCTGTTCCACCTGAACTCGCAAGGCATGAAGCTTCAAAATTCAAGCCAGGATCGATTCCTGACAGACCACCTAGACGAAATGACACTGTTTTTGCGCATTAGAGAACTATTTTTTTTTCTTTTTGAGGTACTCCTTTAGAAGACATCAACATTGCAGCTAATATGAAATTTTCAGGTTGGGGAGATGAACATTTTGCCAGTGAGACCCCACCAGCCTACTCTGCTTTATATGGTTATATGATCATGTATAAAATTTAATTACAGCAGTCCTTCTATTCTGGTATCGTTGTCCTTGCTTGTATTCTGTTTAGCTAGAGTTACTACTATTCTGCTTATTAATTATTTTTAACTTGAATTGATAGTTTTAGATGAGGATATTTGATTAATTTTGTCATATGACTTTGATATTTGCCATCTTATGATACAGTGGTTGTTTTTTCTGATAATGTTTCTTGCATTATCCAGGTGTCACTTGTTTGATTAATGTTTCGGCTTTTCCTTGAGACTTAAAATAGTTTCTGCAAATTTTTTGAGCTGATGCCTGATTGAAGGTTGAATGGGTACTAAATTACTTTTGTCAATTTGTTTAGGGTTAGTTTCAGTTCTATTGTCACTTCCATTACCTCAGCCTATGTATGACTGCTGCAGTCTTGTTCTAGCGCACCTTGTATAGTAACTCACGCCTGAATTTTTTTTTAACTCATCAACATGTGAAATACTTTACAAATGTCAGTGTATTTTAGCTATCAGCACCTTTTTGTCTTAGTCGATTAGGCATAAACGTAAACATTTCTTAGGGTATGGTATACTTACTGTTGGTCTTCAATATAAAGTTGATGAAGAAATGTTGTAAGTAAGTTGTATGAAATTTAGTGCAATATGTTTAAATTTGATACTTTATCATAGTAAATTGATAGATGCAGATGCTATGTTCGATTATTAGTTAGGAATTGTAATACCTGTGGATTGATGATCACGGAGATGTTATCATAGAATCTTGATATGTAAATATCATGTAAAGTAAGCTATGTTGAGTCCCAAAGTTACAAACAGATTCCTTCTGCTTTCAAGGTTCTGGAACGGAGACTCAAACATAGGTAAGCTAAATTGGACAGCAGCAATCTGGCATGCAGCATATTTTTTGCTTAAAGCACAGTGTATTTTTACTGAAGTTAAAGATAGAAAAATGCCGGGGTCAAGAGGTCTTATCCAATGTTGATAAATGGCGGCTTGAAGGCTGTCCTGGTGGTTTTTAGCCAACTGTCCTTGGCAATTTGTGAATTGAGACCTACAATGATTTCGCCTATAGGCCACAGTGGCGTTATATGTACTGATAACACTGGTTCTAATCTGGTTTTAGTTAGAGGTTCAAAAAAACAGTTCCCTATTAATGAAAGACATCAACGCTAATAAATGTAACCAGTAAAATATTCGTCATTCCATAAATAACTACACTAGCAAAACAACTAGTTGTTCTTTTAATGTTTGACTATTTATCCCTTTTGCAACACCGATTCACAGTTAGCAGGTTAGGCTTTCAGAATATTTTCTTAACTGATATTATTAAAGTACTAAACCCGTGCCACACTTGGACCAGAAAGGAGCTGCTTAGTGTCAAGTGCTGAACGTTTCTTGGTCCCTGGCTCAGCAACTAAGCAACACCTCTCGCTGATGATATTTGATTATGCAGAAGAATGCAAGACATCCGTTATCAAATGGCAGTTAACTTACCTTTTTAGAGAGAGTACTGAAGTTCTATGAAGCACTAATTTATTTAGCTTAGCTTTCAAAGTTGCATAACTCGGGGCAGGTTCATACTTAATTCTACTGTTTTGCCGTATTTTTTCCCTTTTGCTATCTTTATTTTTTTCTTTGATATTCGTCTTTGGCAATGGTCTAATGGAAAATAAATTACTGCACATGAAAATCTAATCCTTTTACAGGATTGAAAGTTTAACAAAGTTGGCAGTTTAGAATATTTATTATAATTCAACATTTTAAAAAGGATTGTATCATGATTCATTTTAACTTTTATCCTGCAGGGGATTGACCACTTAAAATCTCTTTGCTAGGACGATTTGAGATGCTGGTAGGGTTGTGAAATTTTTATAATAAACCAACCCTTGCTGTCAGGGAGGGGCTGAGGTATCCAGGATAGCACTTACCTGTTGAGATTCCATGTGCGTATTCGTGGGGAAACAGTGTTAGGATTTGAGTGTATAGGCAAAATCCCTTGTAGAAACCCTTAGAATTGAGTGAGGTACAAGGGATGATGCGGGGTTATCTTTACAAACATTTTATCATATATGGCATTATTTAATTAAGTTTCTGGATTGTCTTGTTTGATAGAATGAAATTTAAGTTGTGAAACAACTCATTATAATATAAAACAACTGATTATACTTTTGAGTACTTAAAAATGTATAATATATTTGATTTATTATATGAAATGAATGTACGGAATTTCTAAATCAGTCCTAAAAAATGAGGTTTATATATATTAGTTCGTTGAATAGATGAAATCAAAGTATTTATTTTGTAACGTTACGTGAAATATCACATTCCATTATATCTTTTATATTGTTGTTATACGTAGGAACTAAACTGAAATATAATTAAAATTAACATTTAATACTCAAAACAATTTTTTTTAAAATATTCTTGTTTTTTCTTTTCCTTCATTTTCCTTTTCCTTTTTTTTCCGTACTCTTCCGTATCTTCTTTCTTTTTCATCTTCTTAATTTTCTTCTTCATCTTCTTCTTTAAATTTTGATAAAATACATCTTTTGATAAAATTTAAGCAAAATACACTCATTTTCTTCTTCTCCATTCCTTTATCTTTCGCTGACCGACTATAAATCTGGTTTTATAATTTTTTCAGCTTTTGATCATTTCATTAGATTAGCTCTTCGAATGAATTAATCATTAGGGCGGTTCAACAGTTTTTTTCAGTTTGAACTGATTCTTACAACATAACCAGAACTAGATTTTTAAAAAGTATATATATATATATATATATATATATATATATATTCTAAAAAAGGACAAAATAATATATTTCATTATAAAATATATAAAATATTCAATATTGTTTAAGTGACATATTAGATTGAGTTGAGGTGAAAAAAAGAGAGAAAGAAATAAACTATATAAATGATCTTTACAGAAAATGTAAATTGTTTTTCTTTTCAGTAACTTTTTTTTAATGTTGTTTTATGAAAATAAATGTTTTATTATATATTTATAGTAAGTGTTGATTCGATACTCTTTTATGAAGAACATAAGTTAAAAGAAATATTAATAATGTATGTTTTTTTTGTCACTGATTTAAGTGTTTTTTTTTTAGGTTTTACTTGATATTCAATGGAATGCCCTTTCAATGTAAATTGATTTATGTTTTAGTATTGAAAAATCACATTAATTGATATTTCAGTTTTGAATAAAGTATCGAAAGAGCCTTTAAAAAAAGTAAAGTATAGGAAGAATTTTTTTTTTTCAATTTTATGATTTAATAACTATTATTGTCTTGAAATATTTAGTAATATATTTATTAAAATTGAAAAAAAGTAAAAAAAAATTAAATGATTTCTTAATAAATATTATTGTTTTTGGTTCTTATGAAAAGTGTAAAATATCAATTAAAATGGATAGAGAGGAAAGAATTTTTAATGAGTAATAGAAAAAGTATTAAAAAGAATGTAGTATAATAAAATAGTTAATCACACCTGTTCAAAGTGCTAAATTAGTGTAATTAAAACCTTATTTTATGGCATTAGACCATGTAATGTAATGTAACGGCTATTTTTGGTTATACAGAAAACAGATTATTCCATTGAAAATGTCCTTCTGATAAAAGGTGAAGAAATGGGTGAGATGGCACCCTCAATTTCATAACCATGACATTTTGTTGACTTCTCTTTTGGATTTTTGTTACTGTAAATTCTGAGTTTTCTGGTATTGATGACCACTTTCTGTATGCAACTGAATTGAACAAAAGAGTAGTAGTATTTTGCTGCGTAGGATATCTTTAGCATATATTAAGAGGATATAGAAGAAGAGAAAAAAAAAAATGAAATGTTGGCACATAGACATAGTAGATTTGATGATTGCAAGGTCAAAGGAAATAGCATCTCTAGAAAATGGGAAAGCAAGAAAAACACAAGAAAAGGGAAAGGGAGAGTGTCTGTTATTAATATCTCAACCCACCATTCCGCATCTCCCTCCTTTTCTAATTTTGATATTCAAATTTTCCATTCATTTCCGACCCTTCAATTCATTTGTGTCTTTTTAGGGTTTGTCTCTCGCATCACCCGCTCTTAAAATTCACCTCTTTTCTTCCGTTTACTTTTTTTTTTTGCTTGCCATGCTGACGGGTGATGGCCCAGACATTCTGCACTTCTCTATATTTTTTCCAAACCGTCAGCGATGAGTCTGTCACGACAAAATTGAATTGGGTTGAATTCTGAATTGTCTTCTGGCAGAATCAATATTATTTACACATGTTTCTGTTAGATTCTTGGGTTAATTTCCCCCCTGATCATGCTTTGATCAATTCGGTTCTGGGTTTTGCCAATCCATATTGTTTTTTTTTTTGTAAACGATCTTCTTCTGCATGCACTGCAGTCTCCTTTGGGAAGGTCTTTTTAAAAGGTCTTTCTGGGTTGCGCTCTGCTGAAGGAAAAAATTGACTTTATTGGTTGGATATTGTGGGTCTAATAAGAAAATGAAGCTTGTGGTGCGTGTGATTGAGGCAAAAAACTTGGCAGTGCCGGATTCCAATGGGTTGAGTGATTTGTACGTGCGGGTACAGTTGGGGAAACAAAAGTTCAAGACAAAAGCGGTGAAAAGTTTGAATCCAATGTGGGATGAACAATTTACATTTTGGGTCGACGACCTTAAAGATTCGCTTGTTGTCTCTGTGATGGATGAAGATAAGTTCTTTAATTATGATTATGTGGGACGGCTTAAGGTGCCAGTCTTACTTGTTTTTGAAGAGGAAATTAAATCCCTTGGCACTGCTTGGTATTCTTTGAAAACAAAAAACAAGAAGTGCAAGAACAAGCAATGTGGTATATTCTACTGTTCAACTGAACTCTTCTCAACCTTATCCAACTGTTTAGGACATTGTTTTTTACATCCCCTTTGCTTGGTTGTTTGTTTTATTATGTGTAGTTCATGATTTCCTGCTGTCGTTATATTGCTTTCATGCTAATGTAGACGACTGATAACGGAATATAAATGGCATTCTGTCCTGTTTGAAGGGTCATCTGCATCAAGGCCTTTTGGAAAATATTGTGCTCATATGAGGATCATGCTGTTGAACTTAGATTATGACAATTGTTTTCCTTTTCTGTACAGGTGAGATTCATTTGAGTATATGCATTTCCCAAAATAATGGATCTGGGGAGTCAAATGACATCGGTGATCAGTTACTACCTCCAAGAAAATGTCCTGATGCAATCATCCATTCTCCTTCTCTGTCTTCTGCCAGCTTTTCAAACTTGTCTTCTCCTGTAAGGGAAGAAACTACATATTCCAGCTCTAAGGAGGAGAAAACTTGTACACAACAAAAATCATTTGCTGGCCGAATTGCTCAAATTTTTAATAAAGGCTCTGATGTGGCTTCAATGTCACCCAGCAGAAGTATGGACTCTGACCAATCTGAAACATGCAAAGTTGAAGTTGGTGAGATCAAGATTGAGGAGGATCAACCCCCTAATGAAACTTTCGAAGAAACTATGAAAAAAATGCAGTCTGCAGATCAAGGAAGTGAAATTCCTAGCAATTTAGCAGGAGGAGTTCTTATTGATCAATTGTACATAGTTGCACCAGGAGACTTGAATATATTACTATTTTCCCCCGATTCTAATTTTCCCAAGTCATTGGCTGATGTACAGGGTACTACAGAACTCCAAGTTGGTCCTTGGAAGTTTGATAATGGTGGGGAGACCCCAAAAAGATCGCTTAGTTACCTCAAGGCTGCCACTAAATTAATCAAGTCTGTAAAAGGCTACGAGGACCAGACATATTTAACAGCTGATGGGAAGAACTTCGCTGTTTTTTGCAGTGTCAGCACTCCAGATGTTATGTACGGCAGCACCTTTAGGATAGAACTACTTTATGTGATCACACCTGGACCAGAGTTGCCATCAGGAGAACAGTGTTCGCGTTTGGTGATATCTTGGCGGATGAATTTTGTACAGAGCACCATGATGAAAGGAATGATAGAAAGCGGAGCTCGGCAAGGTATGAGGGAAAGCTTTGATCAATATGCTATTTTGTTATGTCAGACTGTAAAGGCTGTTGTCTCAAAGGACCTTGGTTCTAGTAAGGAACAAGCTTTGGCAACATTACGACCAGAGTCTCAGTCAGACTGGAAGCTGGCACTGCAGTATTTAGCTAATTTCAAAGTCTTCTTAACATTCTTAATAGTCTTGTCCGTGCTTGTGCATATTTGGCTGGCATCCCCTAGCACAATTCAGGGGCTTGAACTGTTTTGGCTTGACCTACCAGATTCTATTGGGGAAGTTGTCGTGTGTGTTGTCTTGGTACTTCAAGGTGAGAAAGTACTGGGTCTAATCTCACGCTTCATCCAAGCCAGAGCAAGAAAGGGTAATCCCATTTTTTGCCTTCATTTTTTTATCATCCTTTAATTTGAGAGTTTGCTTGATTTTAAACGCCCAACGGATTGGGTGTATTTCAGAGCAAATTAGTTTTTTTTTTTTTTTTTTCCCATTGGTCAAGAAGAGTGGTGATATTTTGACAACCAGAAACCATACAACCCTTCAAACAACTCACTTTTATTAATATAATAATCTATAGAATGATTTAATAAAAATAAAAATAAAATAAAACTATTATTATAATATTAAAATAGAGTTGTTTATAGGAGTTGTATGGATTTGGGTTGTCAAAGTATCATTTTCCGTCAAAGAATAATAATACCTTAAGATAAAAAACAAAATTTGAAGTTGGGAAACAACAGACCCTCCTGCGAAAAAATGGAAAAAGAAAAAAAATCAAGTCAAATTGCACCAAAGAGTAATATATATTTAGCTCAGAAGAAATTTCTAAATCCTTTGTGGCCTTTATTAGGAACTTTTAATCTCTCCAATAATAGATGGAAAACAGTAAATTGCTGGTTAAATAGCCAAATTTATATTCTGTCCAAAATCAAATAAAGGCTTGTACTTATTATTTTGAATGAGCTTTCTTATCCTAAAGGTGAAGAATGGCAGTCATGTTTTGCTCAGACATTGCTCTGGATTTTATGATGTAAAGAGTGCTTGTTTTATGAACTTTTACAGTCGTACAAAGTAATATAAAATAATAACATATAAATAAATCTAATTATACAAAATTAAAAGAATAGGACTAAGGGAAACATCCCTAGATATCTAAAATGCTGTGAAGTACCTGGACAACCTTTCTTTTCATAAAAATAAAAAGAAAAGAAAATGGTTCATTCCAAAATAATCAGGTTATACCTAAAAAACAACAATTAGTTTTGAGCTCAAGATATATATAACACATTGGAAACTAAAGCTTCATGCAGCTTATACTTGTGGAAAAATAATCGTGTCAAACTTATTATGTATGATACATAACGAACTGCATAGGTATGTTTCGAGTATAGTAACACGATATGTACAAATGAGTGCAATTCCTGCTTTTTAGGCTTATATGTTTTTAGTCCGTGTAAAATGAACGATTTTTCATTTGGTTACCCTGAGAATTAAGATATCATTGTTTTTGGTCTCTATTGGCATGTGACTCTCATTTTACAGAGAGTAAAAATCCTGGTGATGTTACTTTAAGTTAAGAATAAACCATGTTGGGCGAGAAGTAACGCACATTTTATGCACTCAGGGTCCTCAACCATATTAGTTGTTACATCCAATGAAGAATGATCCGCAATACCAAGGCCAAAAAGCAATGATTTTGAATTTTATAGGATGAAAAACAAAGATTCTGTTTTACAAGGATCAAAATCAAAATACTCATTATATAGGGATTAAAAACATATTTTAGCTTTTTTTTTATTAAACTTTATCCTTTTTCTTTGCATGGATATGAATTTGACAAATGGCAAGGTAGTATGGACCTGCAAATTTCATTCAGTTACGTTTTATTTGAATTAATTGATTTTTCTTTTTCTATGTCACCTGACATGTTTCTTTCTTTATGGGCTGGTCATGTTTTCTTATCCCGTCTTTCTTAATTATTTAGCCTTTGTTTACAATATTTGGTGTTTATATGCCTTTCCTGATATAATGTTCTTGGGGTACCTCAATATTAGGTAGTGATCATGGAATTAAAGCACAAGGAGAAGGATGGATGCTAACTGTGGCCATAATTGAAGGAAGCAATTTAGCTACTGTTGATTCTAAGGCGTTTTGTGATCCATATGTGGTGTTTACTTGCAATGGGAAAACAAGAACCAGCTCAATCAAGTTCAAGAAATCGGATCCTTTATGGAATGGTGAATATATTTGAAATCTGATACTTGCACCTCCAGTGATCTAACTTATAGGTCTAATTTTCCCCTACATGTAATCTAGATATGATAAAGTATTCTGTTTAAAAAAATTGTCTGTCTTTGCAGAAATATTTGAATTTGATGCAATGGATGATCCTCCTTCCGTGCTGGATGTGGATGTTTATGATTTTGATGGACCCTTCGATGAAGTTACATCTCTAGGACATGCTGAAATCAATTTCCTTAAAACAAACATCTCAGATCTTGCTGATATATGGATTTCCCTTGAAGGAAAGTTGGCTCATGCATGTCAGTCTAAGTTGCACTTGAAAATTTTCTTGAACAACACTAGACGTGGGGATGTTGTAAAACACTATATAAGTAAAATGGAGAAAGAGGTTGGGAAGAAGGTAAGGATCCATCTATGCTGTCAGGAATTTTATTTTATTATTAATTTTTTTGTACTTATTTTATCACCCTTTTCTACCTTTTATCTTTTTCCATTTACAAAATTGTAGATTAATTTGCGGTCACCTCAAACAAATTCAGCCTTTCAGAAACTCTTTGGGCTTCCACCTGAGGAATTTCTCATCAATGACTTCACCTGTCATTTAAAAAGAAAAATGCCCCTGCAGGTGTGGTTGGTCTGTTATGTAGAGTTGAAAGACATTGTCAAATTCTATTTTTGATTTTAACGAACTCATGTTTTCCTGTCATTAAATTGCTGTCAATTGTTTGTTCTCTTCAGGGCCGCCTTTTTGTTTCAGCAAGAATAATTGGATTTCATGCAAATTTGTTTGGACACAAGACAAAATTCTTCTTGCTATGGGAGGACATTGAAGAGATCCAGATTATTCCTCCTACATTTTCATCGATGGGAAGCCCAATAATTGTCATAACTCTTTGGCCAGGAAGAGGTGTGGATGCAAGGCATGGTGCAAAAACACAAGATGAAGATGGCAGACTGAAGTTCCGATTCCAGTCCTTTGTGTCTTTCAATGTTGCAAACAGGTTGACTGCGCACATTTTATGTTGTACAAGCTTGCTTCTTCAATATGCTTATCTACAACACCTCTGCAACTACTATTTTTTTTTTTTTCTGCTTGATATATCTGTCAGAAATATTTAGTCAAGGCACCTAAGATCATCTTCAATGCAAGATGCTTAACTTACGTGGATTAGTTTCTTAAAGTTTCTCCAAGCAACTCTCACTGCAGGATGGTGAAATGGCACTCAAAATTGCTTAAAGTTTGATAGAGTTGCTTCTCGAAACAACTGTTGCTTATGAAAAAAATCATATAAACAATACAACATGAGAAATATACACTTGAGAAAACTTGTTTAGGGTTTGATACAGTGATAGTGTTTGTCCAAAACCAGAACAGAAAGATATCAACTGAATTTGCTCTATCAAGAATCAATTCATTCTTGATACAACAACAATATTATTGAAAGAGAATGACAATACAATATGAAGAAGTACACCAAACACTAAAAAGTTAAGAAAAGAGAGTCCACACACTGATCCCTATGATCAGCCCCTGATCTCCAATCGATCCTCTTCCCCCTTTCTTCTCCCCCTCCCCACAAACTATACAAAGGCCGACTTTTGAAGAAATTAGTTAGTTAGTTTTTTAACTAACTATGCCAGCTTGGCCCTTCTCACATATACACGTGTAATAGGGGTTTTGTCCCTGACGTCCTTATCAATACTCCCCCCTAAAAGAGCCACCTTGTCCTCAAGGGGAAACTGAGGAAAGGTATCCTGAATAGAGGCTGCGGATTCTCAAGAATTCTCAAAAGTGGGCAATTTGTCCCATTGCACTAATACCTCCAAATTACCCATCTTATCCTCCCGACACTGTAATACCTCCTTAGGCTGCACCTGCAACTCCAATTCTTCTGTCAAAGTTGGAGGTAAAGGTTGTTGTTGCTGATGAGGCTTAAGAGCCTTCTTTAAAAGAGAAACATGGAAGACCGGATGAACTCGACACTGATCAGGAAGCTTCAATTTGTAAGCGACCTCACCAATGCTCTCCACCACTTGATAAGGGCCATAGAACCTAGCTGATAACTTTGCAAAGGGTTGATTATTTGCTTGAACTCTCATTCTGTTATGTGCTTTCAACAAATTCTCGCACAACTCTGCCAAAATATCATCTGTTTGACTGAGGAGTTTGTTGACTTCCTCAATTTTTGAAGGAAATGCACCCGCTTTAATGAGTATAGGACGATCCCTTCCATATAAAGCTTTAAATGGAGACATTCCTAATGACATATTAAAGTTAGTGTTGAACCAAAATTCAGCCCAAACTAGCCAATCCACCCTCTGTGTATGCTTAGGACCCGCAAAACACCTCAAATAAGTCTCCAAACTTCTGTTAACAACCTCAGTTTGACCATCGGTCTGAGGGTGATATGCAGTGCTACACTTTAGCTTAGTGTCAGCCAATTTAAACAATTCACGCCAAAACGAACTAAGGAAGATTGGATCCCTATCAGAGACAATCGAAGTAGGAAACCCATGTAATCGTACCACTTCCTGGATGAAAACTCTAGCAACATCTTTTGCTGTATAAGGATGACTAAGAGGAATAAAAATGGGCATATTTGGTTAGCCGATCCACAACTACCAAAATAGTGTCATTCCCCTTGGATTTGGGCAATCCACTAATGAAATCCATGGCAATATCTTGCCAAACCTGAGTTGGTATGGGTAGAGGTTGTAATAAGCCACCCGGAGCTAAAGTGGAATATTTATATCTCTGGCACGTTTCACACTTCTCTACATATTCCTTGATACAGCTCTTCATCCCTTCCCAATAGAAGTAAGTAGATACCCGTTTATAAGTTTGAAAGAAAGCTGAATGACCCCCATTAGGATTATCATGACATTCATATAAAATCATGGGAATACGATTAGAATTTTTACGAAGCACCATTCTGCCTTTATGAAGTAATCTGCCAGCTTTATACTTAAGTTAGGATGACTTCCCGGTATAGTCATGACATCCTGAATGATACGACTCCACTTGGGATCATGTTGTAGTTCTTGCCCCCAATCTTCAATATCCCCTTCCCTTATTAAAGATAGCGCCGAATACATCTCCCTTCTTGATAAAGCATCAACCACTGAATTCTCCCTTCCTAGTTTGAATTGGATCTCAAAATCCAATCCTATCAATTTTACTGCCCATTTAAACTACTCCTCACTAAACAACCTCTGCTCATTGAGAAATTTCAAACTTCGTTGATCAGTACGGATTATGAAGTGTCTTCCCATCAGATAATGTTTCCATTTCTGTATCACTTGACCAAGTGCCATCAATTCTTTTTCATAAACTGACTTTTGCTGAGCCCTGATCGACAAACCCTTGCTCCAATATGCTAATGGTCTACCTGACTGCATCAACACTGCTCCTAACCCTTTTTTGGAAGCATCAGTCTCCAACACAAATTCCTTGTTGAAATCAGGAACTGCTAATAAAGGTAGTTCTGCCATAACAGTCTTCAACTGCTCAAAAGCCTCTGTTGCTATTTCACTCCAATGGAAATTATCTTTCTCTAGCAAATCTGTTAAGGGTTTAGCAATTTTGCCATAACCCTCCACAAATCTTCTATAATAGCCCGTCAAGCCTAAAAAACCCCTGAGACCTTTAACGTTTTTAGGTAAAGGCCAAGTACGAATGGCTTCCACCTTAAGAGTTATCTGCTGCAACCCCTTCTCCCGAAATAACATGACCCAGGTATTCTAATTTCGTTTGAGCAAAACTGCATTTCTTCTTATTGACCTTCAATTTATTAATAGTCAACACTTCTAGTATTTGACGCAAGTTATCCCTGTGAGCTATTAAATCCCTGCTATACACCAAAATATCATCGAAGAAAACTAATGTAAACTTCTTCAAAAAAGGCCTTTAAGACTTCATTCATCAAGGATTGAAAAGTAGAAGGAGCATTAGTAAGCCCAAAAGACATTACTACAAATTTATAATGGCCCTCATGAGTTTTGAAAGTTGTCTTCTCAATGTGTCCCTCCTTCATTCTGATTTGGTGGTAGCCTGATATCAAGTCTAGTTTCGTAAAAATGGTAGCCCCACCTATTTCATCCAATAATTCTTCAATAATCGGAATAGGAAATTTATTGGGAATTGAAATTTTATTCAGGGCTTGATAATCTACACAAAATCTCCACCCCCCATCCTTCTTCTTGACCAAAATAATAGGACTTGAGTAAGGGCTAATACTATGCCTTATTACTCCTGTCGCTAGCATCTCAGCCACTAACCTTTCGATCTTGGACTTCTAGTAATGTGGGTACTTGTATGGCCTTAAATTCGGAATCTCAGCCCCCTCTACTAGGTGTATAGCATGATCATGTCTACAATTGGGTGGAAGACCCTGCGGATCCTTAAAAACCTCTGAATTTTTAACTAGTATTGCTTGGATCTCCTCGAGAATATGAATTTGAGCCTGATTATGATCTTGGACAACATTACTTTGGAGAAACAATCCTCCAACTTCAACCTTCAGTACTTGTAATAATGCTCTATAACATAATTCCGTTCGTGTTAATGCTGGATTCCCAGTAATTCGATGCATTCTGTTACCCTTTTTCAACAACAACTCAAGCTTACCGAAATCAGCTTTGATCTCCCCTAAAGTAGCCAACCAATCAAGTCCCAAGACAATGTCCACCCCTTTCAATTCAAACAAATAAAAGTCTTGAATCACCGCGAGACCCTGCATTTCTAGCATCAACTTAGCACATTTTACCTGACATTTCACCGTATGTCCGTCACCCACTTCAACTGTGTAAGCAGGGGTTCCCACTATTTCTAATTGCAACGGTTGTACCAAATCCTTAGCAATGAAATTATGTGAAGCCCCACAATCAATCAGAATTAATATTGTTTTGCCTCTGATTTTTCCCTCCACCTTCCAAGATCTCGTAGAGGTCAAACCCACCATGGAGCACAAAGACAACTGGATCGAATTAAACTTCTCTTTATTGACTTCCACCCCAGCATTTTCCTCCTCATCTTCCTCTTCTTCCAGAATAATCCTTCTCAACTGTTTATTCTTGCACCTATGGTCTTTGTGGTATGGCTCATCACAACGGAAACATAACCCTTTTTCCCTTATTTCAGCACCCGTAAAATGTTTGAATCCTCCCCCTCTACTCTTCAAGCTCTCTATAGCGCTCGAACTTCCCAACACGTTTCTTCCGGAATGCTCTCTAGTATTCCTATCATTCAATGTTTTTGAATCCACTGTGACCACTCTATTAGTCGTAGCTTTTCGGTACAAACTAGGGGATCTACTATATTGCACCCCCGATCTTCTTGATAACACCATATTTTTTTGCTCAATCATAATGGCTTTTTGTATCACCTCTGATAATTTTTTTAATTCATACAATTGCACCTCCACTTGAATTTCTTCTTTCAAACCATTCAGAAAAATCCCTTTCACAAACTCATGGTCAATTCCCTTCAATGCCCCTACGTACTTTTCAAACTCTTCAACATTTTGCTCCACAGACACTGATTGTTTAAGCGACAGTAACAATTCAAATGAATTTTGAACCATTGACGGTTGAAATCGTCTCAGCAAAGCTAGCTTAAAACCTTCCCAATGACTATCTGGATTGTACCGTTCCCACCACTGAAACCAACTGAGAGCCTTCCCTTCCAAAGCCACCATGGTTGCCTTCATCCGCTCTGCTTCCTTCATGCCTTTAAGCTGGAAATAGTGTTCCAGCTTTTGCGTCTAACCGTATGCATCTTCTCCATGGAAAATAGGAATCTCCAAACGTCTCCATTGTTTATGCTGCCGATCGTCAAATTCTTCTCTGTCTACACTTTCCTCGCTCCGTTCGCCGTCGCCGACGCCACTTCCCTGAATTCCGAGTTTGGTAGCAATCGCGGCCAGAAGATCCTCGGTTTTCTTCATCCTTATTTCTTCCAGTTCCACACAAGCACGAAACTCTTCTCCTTCAATCTTCCATTCCTTCGTCGTCCTCGTCATACTTCTTGTCCTCATGCAACGCTTCAATTTGAATTCCTCAGGCACCAAGATCGATGTTCTGATACTAGTTGATAGTGTTGTCCAAAAACAGAACAGAAAGATATCAACTGAATTTGCTTTATCAAGAATCAATTCATTCTTGATACAACAACAATATTATTGAAAGAGAATGACAATACAATATGAAGAAGTACATCAAACACCAAAAAGTTAAGAAAAGAGAGTCCACATACTGAGCCCTATGATCAGTCCCTAATTTCCAATCGATCTTCTTCCCCCCTTCTTCTCCCCCTCCCCACAAACTATACAAAAGCTGACTTTTGAAGAAATTAGTTAGTTAGTATTTTAACTAACTATGCCAACTTGGCCCTCCTCACATATACACGTGTAATAGGGGTTTTGCCTCTGACGTCCTTATCATACAGTGACCAAACGCACTGATACATTGTATTTATAGAAAAAAAGGGGTACAATAGAGAGGATATGGGCCTTAGCCCAAATCCTTAACCCTAGTCTAAGGAACATTGAAAAAAAATACTAAAATATACATAAACAATAAATCTCAACACTCCCCCTTAAGCTAGAGCATACATATTGTATGTACCAAGCTTGGAACAAATGAATTGAATCCTAGGTCCTCTTAAGGATTTAGTTAAAATATCTGTCAGTTGCTCATTGGAGCTTACAAATTCAGTTACAAGTTTCTTAAACAACAACTTCTCTCTAATAAAATGACAATCAATCTCAATATGTTTTGTTCTTTCGTAAAAGACTGGGTTGGAGGCAATATGGAGAGCTATTTGATTATCACACAATAACTTCATTTGTTCAATATCACAAAATTTTAAATCTTGAAGGAGTTGTTTGATCCACACCAGTTCACATGTAACAAGTGCCATAGATCTATACTCAACTTCTGCACTAGATCGAGCAACAACACTTTGCTTTTTACTCTTCCAAGAAATCAAATTTCCTCCAATAAAGATACAATACCCAGTAATCGATCTTCTATCAATTAGACAACTAGCCCAGTCTGCATCACAATAACCAAGAATTTGAGTATTATCTTTATCTTCATATAACAAACCTTGTCTTGGGGCTCCTTTAATATATTTCAGAATGCGAATCAAGGCATCCCAGTGATCAACACAAGGATTTTGCATGAATTGGCTAACTACTCCAACTGCATAAGAAGGATCACGTCTGGTAATAGTAAGATAAATGAGTTTACCAACCAACCTCCTATATCTTTCTGGATCTGACAACTTTTCTCCTTCATCCTTCATCAATTTCTGGTTAGGATCCATTGGGGTATCAATGGACTTACAATTTGTTAGATCGGTCTCTTTTAGAATATCAAGAGCATACTTCCTTTGAGAGATGATCATACCTTCCTTTGATTGTGTCACTTCAATACCAAGAAAATATTTTAATTGACCAAGATATTTGGTTTGGAAGTGAGCAAACAAATAATTCTTCAGTTGGCTGATCTTAGTATAATCATTGCCTGTAATAATAATATCATCAACATAAACCATAATATACGCACACTTGCCTGAAGAGGAATGATAATAAAACACTGAGTGGTCTGCTTCACTCCTTTTCATGCCAAACAACTCTACAACATGACTGAATTTTCCAAACCAAGTTTGGGGTGACTGCTTCAAGCCATAAAGAGATCAGTGTAACTTGCACACCAAACCAGACTCCCCTGAGCAACAAAACCAGGAGGTTGCTCCATATAAATCTCTTTCTCAAAGTCACCATGAAGAAAGACATTTTTAATGTCCAGTTGGTGAAGGGACCAATGACGAATCGCAGCCATAGTAAGGAAAAGACAAATACTGGAAATCTTAGCTATTGGAGAGAAGGTATCACAGTAGTCGAGGCCATAAATTTAAGTGTAGTCTTTAACTACTAAACGAGCTTTAAGACGATCCACTTTACCATTATTATCAACTTTAACTGTATAAACCTACTTATAGCCCACAACCATTTTGCCAGAAGGAAGAGGAACAAGCTCTCAAGTGCCATTGTGCTCAAGTGCCTCATAAACATTATTAGGAATAAACGTATCAGCCAAAGAGACAACAAAAGAAGAATATGATGGAGACAGACAATGGTAACTTAAAAAATTATAAATAGGAAAGGAATTGCGAGTGGAACGAGTACCTTTTCTAAGTGCAATAGGCCAACCAGAATCAGAAGTGGAAGGTATGGTTGAAGGATCCATCGTATGAGAAACTGATGGAGACGGATTTGAATCACAATTATCTGTAGGAACAGGTAAAGGTGTAGGAGGTGAATAATTATGACCTGTAAACTGAATTGGGAAAGAAACAGGTATTATAAGTGGATCACATGAAGGTATAGGCAGAACTTGTTGAATTGATGAACCATCTTCCATTGGGGAAGAAAAGAAGGGTGTTTCCTCAAAGAAGGTGACATCAGCAGACATATAATACCTTTTGGTAGATGGAGAATGACATTTATACCCTTTCTGAAGGCGAGAGTACCCCAAGAAAACATATTTAATGGCTTTAGCACTTAGTTTATCAAGCCCTGGAGATACATTGTGAACAAAATAAGTACAACCAAATACACGAGAAGATATATGAAAAAGAGGATCATCTGGGAAGATAAGAGAATGTGGAATTTGATTTTTAAGAGAGGAAGATGACATCCGATTAATAAAAAAACAAGCAGTGAGAACTGCATCTCCCCAAGGACATTAGCATTCAACATTAGAGAACGTGTAGTCTCAATAAGGTGTCTATTTTTCCTTTTTGCAATGCCATTTTGCTGTGGAATGTGAGGACAAGTTGATTGATATAAAATTCCTTGGGAAGATAAAAAAGAAGAAAATGAGGTAGAGAAATATTCTTTGGCATTATCACTTCTGAGAGCTTTAAATATCTTCCCAAATTGATTTTTAATTTTATGGAAAAAGGACATAAAAATGGACAAAAGTTCAAATATATTTTTTATCAAATAAACCTAAGTATATCTAAAAAATTCATCAATAAAGGTCACAAAATACCGAAAGTCAAAAGAGGAAACACGACTTGGTCCCCAAACATCAGAATGAATATTTGAAAAAGGAAAATTACATCGAATTTCAGATTATTTAGGAAATGTAGACCTAACATGTTTTCCTAATTGACAAGATTCACACTTTAAAACCCAACGATGTTGAAGATTAGGATACTTTCATCTTAGATAGACTTGGGTGACCCAGACGATCATGCAAAAGTTTAGGGGGAGGAGAAACCAAACAAGACACCGAAGACTTGGTTTCTGATAGTATAGACCACGTGATTCTTGTCCTTCTCCAATCAGACGACCCGTACCATGTTCCTGAATAACAAAAGAATTGGAAGTAAAGGTTACAGAACAATTCAAAAAACGAGTAAGTTGACTTAGAGAGATCAAGTTATAAGGACAATTAGGAATGAAAAGAACAAAATTTATATTTAGAGATGGGGTTAAAGGAACTTGGTCAACACCTTGAAATTTCACTTTGGATAAGTGAGGAATTTTAGGATAGGACATGAAGGAAAACGATGAATAATTACCAGATATATGATCAGAGGTACCTGAATCAAGAATCCATGGGTTCTAACCTTCCACAGATTGAGGAATGTATGCAGTTGAAACACTTAGCATTGAAGAGGATTGACCCTGACTGTTAAACTTTTCAGATTTGAACTATAAAAATTCCTGATACTCCTCATCATAAATCTTCATATTTGGATCTGAACCAAAAAAGATGAATAAAGCCAACGAATAGGGTTATCCATGGGACTTTTCACACACAGTTCTCAAATCAGAAAACTAAGGGCACCACTGGACTCGGAGGATGCCAACGAGTCAAACAGAGGTGGGCGGCCTTGATTCCAGCCACTTGAAGGTGGCACGTGGGGAAACACGCGCGCCTGAAAGGGCTCACCGGGATGACGGCGCATGTGGCAACTGACGGAGGAGCGACTTGTAGGGGTGGGTTGTGCTCCTCGAGGCGAGCAAAACCCCTCCTTTACGGGTCCAAATGGAGATGGTGGCCAGAGGTGACTACAACGGACGACGGCTAACGGTGGTCGGAGCTGACAAAGGCGATCGAAAATCAGTGTGGGATCTTACCCGCTTTGATACTAACTTGAGAAAACTTATTTAGGGTTTGATATAGTGACCAAAGGCACTGATGCATTGTATTTATAGAAAAAAAATGGTACAATAGAGAGGATATGAGTCTCAGCCCAAACCCTTAACCTTAGTCTAAGAAACATTGAAAAAAAATACTAAAAGATATATAAACAACAGATCTCAACATATACAAACCAATCAATGGGATTGAAAAAAGAAAACAGAAATCACAAAAAAAAAAAAAATCACAACCAAACATAAAAAAATGATAAGAGTTGTAGCCGATGAAGTCATCTCACTTGGCAATAACTGTAACTGAGTTGCATGAAACCACCATTGCTATGCGTTAGAGTAAAGAAGGGGAAGTGGGAAGAGAAAGAAGGCGAAAAGAAGGATTGGAGAAGGGGAAAGGGGAGAATGCATTGGAGGGCTAGAGACGGGAAAGCAGGAGAAGGGCTGGGAGGAAGAAAGTACAGTTTGGAAAAACATTAAAAAGAAAAAAAAGGAGAAATGGGACCTATATTTTAGAGTTTCTTAAGATTTTTTTTTGTGTTGGAGTGAAATTAGATATGAGTTGCTTAAGGATGAGCTGGCAGAGTGGGACCTATATTTTGATGATGAGTTGCTTTCATAATAAAACGCGTTTAGTGTTCATGAAAGTAGTATTTAGGAAGTTGGGCTGAATTAATATGAACCTAGGAAATATTGTCTAGTAAGTCTGTTAAGAGTCTATATGTATGATGCTATGTGCACATGTATAAACTCTTGAATAAGAAAGCATTCTCATTCTGAATTCTCTCTTAAAACATTTGGTTCTATTTGTCTCCTCCCCCCTCTAAATTCAACAATTTTGATCGTGAATTTATGTTAGACATTGAAAATGTCAGAATCAACAATTTACATTGCTACTCCTTTGATCAATTCCTATATTGATGCTCAAATGAAAAACATTAACTTCTATTTATATTTTCGTTTGTAAATTGTATTTCCCTACATTAGTTGGTAACTAAATTGATATCCAAATACAACTTCATGGAACTAGAAAAATAAAGTGTAAAAAGTGATTTGCTTAATGTGCTTAGGTGTTTGAATTTCTTTCATTATCCAGTCATACAATATCAAGTTGCTGATGGATGATGAAAAAAAACCTATGCTGGTTTTTGTTTTTTGATCAAGCTATGGTTTCGTAATTGTTTGTTGTTTAAATATCTGATGATGTTTTCTTCCAGTTATTGATTATATGTTTTTACACTAATGTAGTTTTTTCCAACTGCCACTACTCCAACTAGATTTTGTGTGAAATGTTTTGACCACCAAAAAAAAAATAACTTGGTTTTTGGAGATTTGTCATCCAACTTGTCTTCAAGAAATTATCTGTGAAATTAATGGTGACAAACTACATTATAAAAGAGATCCTATTTTACAACTCTAAAAACTATTCTGTGCTGATATAGGACTATCATGGCTCTCTGGAAGGCCAGATCTTTGAGTCCTGAGCAGAAGGTTCAGTTAGTTGAAGAAGACTCTGAAACTAAAAGCTTTAGAAGTGATGAGAGTGGGTCATTCATCGGTCTTGGTGATGTTAGTATGTCCGAGGTTCATTCTGGTGCACTTTCTGTTCCTGTAATCTCTCGCTCTCTCTCTTAAGTTATTGGTTCGTTATTCTTGTTTTGTACAAATTGAGCAATGTTCGTGTTTCATTATAGTTTCTATCTTCTAATTAATTTAGGCCAGTTTCTTGATGGAGCTATTTAGTGGGGGTGAGTTGGATCGTATGTTCATGGAAAAATCTGGTTGTATTAATTATTCTTATACCCCTTGGGTATCTGAGAACAGTGGTGTATATGAGAGGGCAGTATATTACAAGTTTGAGAAGCGTATTTCACGTTATAGAGTTGAAGTAACGAGCACTCAGCAAAAATCTACTTTGGAAGGAAAGGGTTGGCTGTTGCAAGAGGTTATGAACTTCCATGGAGTTCCCCTTGGTGATTTTTTCAATGTAAGCAAGCCAAATTTAGCTTCTTCCTCGACTTTCTGTGATGTAGTTGTTGTATCTTTGTTTTCTAGGCTTATCTATATTTGTCATCATCTTACTGTTTTTGTCTTCTGTACCATTGCCTAACAATGTTCTACAGTTGCACATTCGCTATCAAATTGAGGATTTGACCCCGAAGGCAAAGACATGTAAAGTACAGGTATTGTTTGGAACTGAATGGCTGAAAAGTACAAAACATCAGAAAAGGATTACAAAGAACATCCTAAAAAATCTGCAAGAACGTTTGAAGTTGACATTCAGTCTAGTTGAGAAGGAGTTTTTGTCTAAATAAGGAATAAATCATCATACTGAATTTAACCTTTTACAATTAGGGAAGGTAACTGATATTCTCACAGCACCATTACAATATACATATGATTCTGGGCAATCCTTAACATTTCAAAAAACAGTTCCTCAAATGCTATGATTCTTTTAGCATACTCTTGAATATCATTCAACAAAATTTGGGATTGCCTAGTACTTTCAGAACTACAGACTACACACTTCTTTCAGAACAAATATTTCTCCATTATCAGCTCGAACTGGAATCTATGATTAAGAGAGTAAGGTCTAAGTGATTGTGCTAAATACTAGTGGAGCAAGCCGGCTGGTGATGTAATCTAATCATGAACTCTGGATCTGACTGGTAGGTTTTTGTTTCAATGGGGATAAAATCACGGGTAGATGATGCTGATTTGCCACCAAAATTTGTTCTTCAAACCAGACTACTGTTTGGAGATATTACTAACTGTTTTGTTGTAAATAACTAATTAGACTCTGCGGAAGATACTCAGATTGCACCAGCAGTTACTAGCAGTTCAAATTTTGGTTTGATGTTTATGTCACTATTTAGATGATAACTTGGCATCTTCTTCAAGAGGGTCATCTATCATGTGTCATGGTTACTGTTGCATGCCTCCAAAGTATAGGTGACAAAATGTTAACTTGGTGATTGTACTAGATGTTTTGATTGCTGTTAACAATTCTGGTGGCTGAGTACTTGTATATATCTCACTTTCCCTAGTAAACTGTTTTTTAGAAGCACAATCGAAACTATGACGTAAACCTACCACTTGGGTGGGAAATGAGTTTTCTTGATACTGATGCCTTATAAATTTTGCAATAAAACACACATAATAAGTATACTTTAGAGATTGAATAGAGATATGGTCAGAGTTATAATATACAAAAAAAAAAAAATTATATATATATATATATATATATATATATATATATATATTGGAAATAAGAAGCCCTTTATTAATCTCAACCTTGGCAACATACATGGAAGAGCTTTTAACTTTTTATTAATGGTCCATTCACTAAAATCATTTATTACATGACTTGCAAATTTATTACAGTTGTTTGATATTTTTATGAGATTCAATTAATAATGTCTATTAATAATTTTTAAAATAGAATGTTTTTTTTTAAATTAACAACAATTTTTACTATTAACACATAAAATTTAATATTAACTGAACCAGAGAATAAACTTGAATTAAAATAATGAATTTAAAAAAGTATTTCATAATTGGAGGAGGTATCTGTCCATTCCATATCCCACTTGTGCTCCAAAGTTGTGTTTGTATCCTCAGCAGCAACCTGAAAGATCCAATAGAATATGAGTAAGTTAAAGTTTGATAACCTGTACATGTTTAGGTGAGTGTTTATGGAATTGATTTTGGTATTTAAAAGCAAGATTGAAGTAAAGTGTTATTATATGCATGGAAACTTTTATTTTAGAAACAAATTTGTATTAAAATTATGTAGAATTCTGGATCCAGTGCAAAAGTTACTTCTACTAAAATTATATATAATTGCATTTTATTACTGTTCCAACATTTTGAAATAATATGAAACATAAGTTTGATTTTGAGAAACACCCAGTACTATAATTTGGTCAGAAAATCCATTTACTTTCCAATTTCTCTTAACCCTGAAAATTAAGCTATTCAAAAAGTCTTATTTATTACCTGAATTGGATAATAGAAATCAGATGTTGAAAAAACCCTTCTCAATCCACATAACCTACCAGCAGGTTTAGAATTTGGAAAAATCTAAAAAAAAAGTGTGAGAATTGAATTGAAAAAAGTCAGCGAAGATCTTTCTCAATCTATTAAAATTATGTTTGGGTTAAAGTTGAAAAATACTTCTACAAATTTTAAACCATAATATAACGAATTTTATATAAGAAGTACTTTAAAATTCTAACAATTTTAATTTAAAACATATAAACGCATAGGACATCTTCATCCTAATATATAAAAATAGTAGTTAACAAACCTAAAGTTATATAGATTCCTCATGATCATCACTTTGTTCTTTGGTAAATAAGAAGGAAAAAGAGTTGGCAGTGTTAAAAAATATATAAGAAATAAAACAAATATTAGAGTAATTTGGTTAAGTAAAATAAATAAATAAATCAATAAAAATAGTAAAAAAATTATAATAACTCCAACATTTTTTTTAAATCATTTATCGTATTTTGTCTTAAAAAATCCATTTTATTATATTTTCATCCTAATATTTAATCTTTTCAATCAAACCTATCCTCTTTGTATGTATTTGCTAGATGAATAATGTAGACAAAAGATTTTTACCAAAATTTTGAAGGAGAAAGTGATTTATAAATTGAACATTTGATTAATTAGTTGAACAAGACTATTGTGACCATTTTGTATCACTTAAAAAAAAATCTCATTAATAACTTTATATATTTGAAAGTGGTAATGAAAAGATACAAAAAGGACTAAGAAGAATCATGACCTGCACAACTTTTTTCCTCAATTCTATCTCTGGTTTCAGCTTTACCACTCTTGCTTCAAGCTCTTTGATATGAGTCTGCAACCAAGTTTTAGAATTCTGATTTTGTTAACATGTTTTATTATATTAAAAATGTATGTTTAGTTTCTATATTACTTTCAATTAACATTTCAGTATTCTAAAAATATGTACTTTTTATCATTTTCAACATCCACATGTTAATAATAACATATTTTTAAGAATCAAAAGACTAATTTTATAAAAAAAAATGGCTTTGCAGAAACCTGTTTCTTTTCAATTGATTTTCTGGCTGAAATTCTATTTTTGAGCCTAATTTCTCTTCTCCAAAGAAGATACTCTTCAGTACCCTTTTTAAACCTCCTTCTTCTAATCCATCTTGCTGCTTCACCTTTTGGATCATGCTCAAAATGGTTCACCACATCTAAAGTATTGCTAGCACATGCATTACTTGTAAACCCTAAATCATGATCTATTTTGTTTTCAATTGTGTTATTTTCTGTTTTATTATTGAAATACTTGTTTAGAAAAGCAAAGTCAAATACACAATCATACTGCTCATAATCATATAACGAATCCATTCCTAAATCAAAAGACTTTTTCTTATATGATATCTTAGAGATTGAAATATATTATATATACTCATAAAGTTCATTCATTTCCATTAAAGTGTTAATGTAAATTTGCTTTTATAAAAATGTGCATGCATTGTCTATGAGAATACATAATGATTAGTTTAAACTACATGTTTTCACTTTTTTAACTATAAAGTACAAACATGTTTTTAATTTGAATAAATATCAGAATAAATATCTTTTTTATATATAAATTAGTTACAATTGCATAAAATTATTTTATTTTTTAATTTAAATTTAAATTGTTCAAAAATCAGATTGAATGTTTTTTTTAATATCATACTATTTATATTTTAAAAATGAACAAAGTATATGAAAGAGCATATTTACTCTCACAACTAATTTTATTTAATTTCTGTTCACTCTTTTGATCTACAAAACCAAAAGTGATTTGAAATTAAGAGCAAAACATGGTTAGCTTTATAAAAAATATGAACACAAGAGAATAAGTATGATATGAAATATTATTTTGTCCTTGTTGGTAAAATAATACACAAAATCTGACAAAGTTGTAAATGCAGGATTTGCAGCAAGATTCTTGGACAAGGGAACCAAATAGGACCAATGCATTCAATGAAGCCCATTAGTCAAACAATGGAACCAAAATGTAGAAAATTTTTGGGGAACCATCTTAACTTCATAGCCCTAACTTGGTAGTATGAGTAGGTCCAATGTGATGGAGTGTGAATTGACTACGCCCATTCTCTAGCAACCATTTCCAACCCATACTTATTACCAAGTACTGTTGGATTCATCAGAGTCTCACAAAAACACACACCACTCCCATGTCCTAACCATTATTCATCATGTCTACACCGATGCTTGACCATGTCTTCAAATTCCTCAAAAGCGACACATCACCATGATTCATACGTCAAGGCCTGCTTTCTTAAATCTCAAGTTTTCAACTCCCACTTCACTAACCCAGACATAATCATAACTAATTAACTGCTTTTATAAGAAATTTTTCTCCTTACCATAAAAACATGTTTCTGTAGACATCCTTATCAAAGACAATAATTTACGTGTAAATGATACATATACCCTCTCTACTATTGTTCTTTTAGTGCTGTGTATTTGTATTGTGTCCCAAAACTTACTTCAATTTCACAACAATGGTTTTGGTAGGTTAGAGAGTGTCTAGTAGCTTGGAAAAAAGTAAGTTAGGTGCAGTGACTTGTTACCTCTTACATTAGCAACAAGTTAAGAAATAATGGTGGCTAGTCATTTCCTTTGCCCTACTTAAATTACTTCTTCCTTCTTTTTAAGTCACTTCCAAATATTCTTGCACAATATGTATACTTCTTTCTCTCTTTTGAAAACAAATAAATAAAAATTGTTCATTTATTTTGAAAATTTGTGATTGTGTACCCATGCACCGTGGTTTATTAAAACTGAGATGAAGAATGAAATGTTACTGATACCTGAACTGGTTTAATATATTTAACAAGAGCATAGCATCGGTTGATGTAACAAAAAGTTGGAAGTTTCCCTTTCTCAGGGACATGATAAGGTAATCAACGAATTTAAAACCTGCAGATTGCAAGATCTTCCGGGCATAAATTAAGAAATCTAACCAAGAAAAAAAGTGATTAATGTGAGACAGCTAGTTGATTGAGTATTAACTTTAAAAAGTGTGGGTGAGTATTCCATCAAAAGTTGGACAGTTTCTTTCATGGCTTTGAAATTTTAAAAACAATGCATATATATCAACAGCATGACTCAAATATTAATCATGGTTTACAAAATTAAAATGTATTTAGAAAGCTTTCCTTTCATAACCTTTTATGATGATGAAGGGGTAATATAAGATTAAGGAGAAAAAGGTACATCAATTAAAGTGCTGCTGCACACAGAATGAACAAAATGTATTGGCATCGGACTGTCATCAGAAGAAGATTATCTTCACGTAAAGGCACGTGGTCGGCTTCACCTTTTTTCACCTTTTTCAAAGATTAGTTCCAACACTCAAAATAAAAACAAAATCTAATTAAGAAACCCGAAAGAAAATGATGATAAAGATCTGTATGATCATGATCATGTTATTGAGATCATGATGCTCATCATGGCCATCGTCATCTCCTTGTCATGGCATCATTTGTGTAGGACCATTGATGAATTGCTTTGCTTTGATATTTTTTTCATAGACAGATATATATATATATATATATATATATATATATATATATATATATATATATATATAGATATGGATGTGTTATTTATGTACATTTGGCTGAAGGTGTTTAAGATTGACACCAATACCAAACCCATTGTTTTTATCTGGGTATCGGCTTACTCTGTAAGGGTATTAAATCAATAGTTAGGAGACGTTGGTTGAGGGGAATGGATTGAATGGATTGGTGGGGTTGCAAGTGAGTGACAGAGAATCATGTGGGTCCCCAAAGGGTTAGCAAGACGATTGACGCACGAGTGAATGAACAGGAACACAGAGAAGAAGGACACACGCATGAAGGATTAAGCAAAATGAAAGGGTGACACGCAGATAAAGAGAAGTGCTTGTCTGTGTTTGGCCTCCAAAACAACCAACACACAAGTCAGACCAATCCCATCACCAAGATATAACCAACGGCATAGGGCAGGACACGTGGCCTACATGCAGATAATCAGTTGGACTAATAGAACAAGAATATTCACTCATACAGTATAATATGATTGAGAAATAACTATATTTTAAGGATTTAATCAAGACTTCAATCCTTAAGTTTATACGTTTTGTTAAAAAAGATCATTTTTTTAAACTGATATTAGTAATTTGCAGAACTAATTTAGATACTATTTTAAAAAAGGTGTACGAATATCCTCCTAAGGTTTTTTAGTGGGGGGAAGCATGATGAGGAATGCACAGAGGATCTTTTATCTATGCAGAGACTTGGCCCCACACAAGCTTCTTTTCAATTAGTATAGGAGCACTCCAAAGTCATAGCCCACTTGCAATGCATGCTTTTTGTAATTCAATCATAGAGCACCAATTTTCAAGCTGTTGGGTGAAGAAGGAAAAGACACTGCTTCCTCCTTTTCTTTTCATTTTTTTCCCATGTCTTCTTTTCCCCCTCTTCTATTCCGTTCTATTTACTATTCAATGAATTTATCATGGCATGCTTTTGATACATTACCATGTTGACTAATCCCAACCAACCACACCTTCTCTCTCCTCTCCCTGCTGTACCCCGTTACACTTGCTAGAGACATTGTGGTACTCATTTTTTCTTTAGTTGGTGTCTCCCTGGCTGTTTCTAACCGAAGCATAAGTTACAGACACACCCTATTCCCCAGTCTCTCTCTCTCTCTTTCTCTCTCTCTGAGGATTACTTGCATAACACTACTACTAAAGCAATCAACTTACAGCTCCTCATGTTCATGTATGTTGGTGCTAGGCCACTGTATTTCTCTAGCTTCAGTTTGGTTACATCATGCTGTTTCATATACTTTCTTCAATTTGTACACTACAGCTACTTCCAAACCATGCAGCCTTTTCAATTGTAAAGGTCTTTCTGCTTCCTAAGATTCAATCAGCTGCACCAACAATATAGCAACAGGTATGTTCTCTTCTTGCTTCACTCTTTCAGATTCTCGAGACAGTTCCAATTCCATTGTTTGGTGTTTGATGTAGTCTTTTAATCTGAGTGTACAGTATGGACTATAGAGATAAATATATGTGACACAGTAAAGTTATTTAATTAAAGCATAAGGTTTTGACTTCTCACTCCTTAACCAATTAAAAGCTTAAAGTTGCTTTCTCATTTTTGTTTTAAAGATGAAAAATACTTTTGCCTGAGGTAATAGAAATTTATGAAAAAAGGAACTTGTGCTTAAAAAATTCCAAAAGAAAAGGGACAAAAGTAAATGATAAAAACCTTCTAGTGGGGTGACAGAGGGTGACTGGCAGAGAATTTATCAATTCCAGAAGCGAATGTCCACATAATTGGCTAAACACCTTCTTGAATGCCATCAAAGAATATAAAAATAGATTACTTTGATTCAGCATATATCTGACATTAACTACTCACACTTCTCTGAACTTTAGTGTCCATATCTTAATTGGAAGAAAGAACATGAAAGAATGGTTTTTCATTCTTCTGTGTAGTTGAAAGCAATGAGTACCATGCCACAAACAAAGTTTTTTACTTTTTGCTTTACCACCATTTTTGTCTGTCAAAAACAGACCATGCTGCATGTCAGATTTTAACCAATGAACAGTGAGCCCAGCGCTAATACCATATCCTTTATCAAAATAATTTTAGATTCCCATGACCTTATTAATTTCCCGGCCTTATGTTTAATCACTCAAGATTAAGCAATTTTGTTCTCGTATTCTTATATTCTAAATTGCTCTATTTTTTTAACCTCTCAAGTTTCTTTTTCATTTACAATTATGTCTCTCAATCCTAACTGGTTTAATCTTATATATCTAACTCATTAATTTGTTTAAAACAGAAAGACTTTTCATTTCAAGTCATGTTGTAGTTTGAATGTGTTATTTTAACTGGTTTTTCATCATGTGATTTTATTATATATTAAATGAAAGAAAACTAAAAAAACTTGATTTGTGCAATTGAACTAAAAAGAAAACTAAAAACTAATAAAGCTGTAGTGTACTATTTCAGTAATTCCTGGCCAAAATTGAGAAGAAAAGAGAAACAAATTGAAGAAAGGAGAAAAGTTTGGCTTCCACCTTTCTTGATTCCTATATGCTTAATGGGGAATAAGATAATTGAGATGACCATAGCTGTGGACCACTCTGGGCTATTATAAGTTTAAATTGGAAAAAAAAAGAGAGAGAGTACATTAGTTAATATATCAAAATTCTCTAGAGACACGGCGAAAGTGACTTAACAAAGTAGCCACACAAGAAATTATTTGCCTTCGGTTAGGAAGCTTTAGATAACATTAGTTTTTAGCCTGGTGCATCACTTTCTCCTTGTCTGAACAAAGCCAGTATCTTTATATACATGGAATTAATCAAAAGTGTATCTTCTAAAGAGATTGACATTGGGTGTGTATTAGTACATATCTGTTTTGGATTTACAACACTTTTGAGAGCCACTGTAAAAGCTCTAATGATTAATGTTACCTCATCTAACACTTAATTCCCAACTTCCAAACATTGCATAAACATGCTTTACCACTATCCATTCTCTGGCCAAGACCCAACCGTCAAGGTAATCATGTATGTTTATGCATGCTCAGTGCATTTTCTGCCGTGCTGCTGCTTCTTTCTTCATTTGCTATTATTATCAACTTGGGTGGGGTTGGATGAGTATTCAGTACCCAAAACATATGCTATTGGCTCCATTCTACTTTTTAGAGTGTTTTTTTAGTCTTTCTATGACACAAATTTAAAGATATTAGATAGGGATCAAGTCATGCAAGGATTATTATTATGACACGAGTCAACGTTTTAACATAATTAATACTGATAATAATTAGCACTTTCCCAATTTCAGCTCCCTTTTTTCTCTTTAATTATTTTTATACTATAACTTTGGGACAAAAACTAATGGTTAGTATCGTACCCGTATGAGTAACAAAATTATCTGCCACCAAGCATTGCCAAATTTCATGTTGTTCAGTTTGTGTTACATGTGTCAGGAACTGCAGAGGAGGCAGAAAAATCTGAAGCCTGGTGTTAGTCAGTGAGAGTATTCCGCATCTGCAAGACTTTCAGACTTAAGTTAACTTCACCTACTCATCTATTTTACTTTAACGGTTGAGGCAGAAACATGCAAAGGTATACCATAGAGAAACAGAAGAGCATGTCATTTTGCAAAACTCTCTAAGCAATTGGCGGATTACGGCATAAGCTGGAAGTTGGTTGTTTATTTTTATTTTTTTCTTTAATATGTGGAGGGCACCATCTTCAATGAATTGAAGGGCTTTCAGGATTGTATACAGAAAATCAATGAGGTTGAGGTATGGTCTTCTTGCAAATTTCTCTTTCACTTTTATTTAGAAGATTTTTCTAATTCATAACCGACAGAGTGACCAGGACAGGATATCATGTCATATTCTTCCACCTTCATCTATAGTGATTTCTGATTTCCTTGTCCTTCTTCATCCCTTTGCTTGAAATGAAGAAATCTAAGCTGGTGCTTTCGTATTCTGCTGTTTCATGGTCATGCATCATGACATAACCCTTTAGATTTAGTTCTCAGAGGGTTAATCAATGCCTTCTGTTCTCTCTCACTCTCTCTCTCTCTCTCTCCGACTTCATGAGATCTATTGTGGTGTCGTTCAAGGTGTAGTCTTATCTGAACTTGCAGGTTTTGAAGTAGAGGTTTCTTCTTGACAATTTGGTGTTCATAACAACAAATAAAAATGAAGTTCATGAAACTTGGGACAAAGGCAGATACATTCTACACTGAACAAGCTACAAGGTATTTTTCACTTTGCAGCAAACCTTTTGTAAGAAAATCTACATATATACAACATTTTTACAAAATAACATGTATTCTGGTAATGCAGGACTCTGATATCAGAGATAGCTGCAGACCTTGTGATACAAATCAATGATATCACTTATCTGTTACACAAGGTATTGAGATTAGAATGAAAATACGGGGTGTGTATGAAAAAGATAAATAAAAATTTAACCATTGGTTCATCTATAATTCTGCTCTTTTTAGCTGCAGTTTCCGCTTCTTCCCAAATGTGGCCTCCTACAAAGGCTTTGCTATGACAGTAGTGATTCGGAGAGTGTCTCTCTGGAGCTTCATGATATACCTGGAGGAGAAGATGCTTTCGAACTGTGTGCCAAGTTTTGTTACGGAATAGCAATCAACATAAGTGCCCATAACTTTGTATCCGCTCTCTGTGCTGCCAAGTTCCTTAGAATGAACGATTCCATTGAGAAGGGAAACTTCGTAGGAAAACTTGAGTCTTTCTTCAATTCATGCATTCTTGAAGGTTGGAAGGATTCCATTGCAACGCTTCAAACTACTGCTACGTTGCCAGAGTGGTCTGAGAATCTTGGTATTGTCAGAAAGTGCATTGATTCAATTATTGAGAAAATTCTCACACCCCCTCCACAGGTCAAGAACTCAGATCCATCAAACCTTGTCAGATTTCTGTGACTTATGGATATTTTTGTAGCTTATAAACGATTATTTTGTGCAGGTCAAATGGTCCTACACATACACCAGGCCAGGTTACACAAGAAAACAGCACCATTCTGTGCCAAAGGATTGGTGGACGGAGGATGTTTCTGATCTTGACATAGATCTTTTCAGGTGCATAGTAATGGCTATTAGATCAACATATGTACTCCCTCCGCAGCTTATTGGAGAAGCTTTGCATGTCTATGCCTGCCGTTGGCTACCAGGCATCACAAAGCTTAAAAGCTCTGGCAGTTCAGCGTCTCAAACAGGAGAATCTAAGGAGAAAAACAGAAAAATTCTTGAAACAATTGTAAGCATGATTCCTGCAGATAGAGGGTCTGTTTCGGTTGGCTTCTTGTTTAGGCTTCTCAGCATTTTAATTCACCTTGGTGTCTCCTCGGTGACCAAAACAGAACTCATAAGGAGAGCCAGCTTGCAGTTTGAGGAGGCAACAGTGAGTGACTTGCTTTACCCTTCAACATCCTCTTCTGACCAGAACTATTATGATACAGAGTTAGTGCAAGCAGTGTTGGAAAGTTTCTTGAAGCTTTGGAAACGAATGTCCCCAGGAGCTGTGGATAACAGCTACTTTTTGAGATCAATCAGAAATGTTGGCAAGCTCATTGATTCCTATCTTCAAGTGGTCGCAAGGGATGATAACATGCAAGTTTCAAAGTTTGTGTCTCTTGCTGAAACTGTGCCCAGTATTGCCCGAGATGACCATAATGATCTGTACCAAGCAATTAACATCTATCTTAAGGTGAAGTACCCATACCTCACATGTATTCACCTTTTAATCTTCGCCGTCCCTTGCTTCATAGTTTCACAATTGCACGTGAAGAATAAATGACATTCACTGCTACACTAATGTCATTTACTAACAGAAAAAGTATTAAGTTCTAGAATTACTTCCCTTAACATGATTTTTCTTTAACAAAAAGCATATATATAATAAGTCTATAGTAGAGTGCAAGTGTGAATGAAGAAGTCCAAATTGGATAAGAATGTTTTAAGATTTTGGATTAGAAGTTACGTCATATTCATTCATTTATAAAAGTTGAGTTGTGATCTGATGATGGAAATCCTAAAATTGTTGAAAGTACAGTGCAGAAGTCTCAAATTACAGGAATGAATTGTTACTCAGATTCACATATAAGCGAGAAGAAAGATTCATAAACTAAAATCTTAAAAGTTGAGTAGGATGTAGAGTGAAGTTAACTCAGTTATCTATGACTCATATTTTATCATTCATAGATGAACAGTCTACATTAACATCATAATATATTTACTAACATTTATCGGGCTAACATTATATGTTGAGTATATCATATTATTAGCTTGTGGACCAACAAGTTAGTTTGAGGTTTGAGGTTTGAGGTTTGAGTGATACTGGACTTCATATTTTAAAACAGAAGATTATATTAAAGGTGGTGAGCTAGATTTCCCACAGATATTAATCCAGAACTGATACTCGTACAATATGCCTAAAAAAACATGATTAGCATGTCATAGTAAGAGAAGTCAATTTAGTGATGTGATTGAAGTTATATGCATGAACAGATGCATCCTGACCTGAGCAAAGCAGACAAGAAGAGACTGTGTGGGATTCTAGACTGCCAAAGATTGTCCCCAGAAGTGCGTGGACATGCAGTAAAAAACGAGCTTCTGCCATTAAGAACAGTAGTGCAGCTCCTCTATTTTGAACAAGATAAAGGCTCTAAGGCAACCTCCAGTCACAAACTGTCAAAGCCACATGAGATATTTCTGGGAGCAAAACATAGAGCAGCTACTACAAAAGATACTCAAAGCAAGCATTCTTTAGGCCCAACCAAAGAAGAATTCAACGGAGAAGAAATAAGAGAAAGGGATCACCACAAAAGATCAGATGGTAAGTTGGCATTGGACTTGGAAAAAAAAATGGCTATCAGAGGAGACATTGAAGAGACACAATCTGAGAAGGCCAGGGTTGTGAGAGATGAGAGTAGTTCAAGCGGGAAGGTGGACTTGGATCCTAAAAAAATGATAAGAAGGGCAAGAAGTAGATCAGAACATGGTGTGAAAAAGTAAGATTGAGATCACCATCACAACAACAGTAATAATAATCTTCAGAGAATTCCTAGAAAATCAGTGTCTGCATTTTGTAACTTCAATTCTTATCATTTCTTTTTCACCAGTGTCATAAATGTCAGCAATGTATAAATCCTTTGTACTCTATCTCTTTCCCTGAAGAGTTTTATGTGAGGAAATTATTTTTTTTACATTATTAATTTGCATCCTCTTGTTTGATAAGGAGAGACAGAGAGAGATAACGTGTATTCAAAGTCTTTTTTTATTATTATTATTATTATAAAATTATATAAAGTAATATAAAATAACCCCATCCTCTTAACCAATATTCATCTTATTGAAATCAGAAATATACTGTAAGATATTTTATAAGAGAATGTATATATACATAATTTTTCTTCAAAATTCAAATATGTTACTATTAACATCTTATATATTTTTTTATAATTTTAATATCGAGTACACGTTGAACTTAACTCTTTTTTTTTAATCTATCATTTTCAATATTTTAGTTATAATTTGCTTTACAACATGTTTAAAATAATCTGTTAATAAAAAATAACGATGTATTACAATTTAAATTATATATCGTAAATTTAAAATAGAATTTTAATATACAAAATATTTACCTGGTCCATTTTTTTCTTATAATATAATTTATATATTTAAAATATTTCTTTATTATAAAGTTTAATTTATAAAATAAATATTTGGTAAGGAGGAATTTATCTTTTTTAAATCACATATAAAGTATGTTTAGATAAATTTTATATATTTGGTTGATATCAAAACGATATTTTGTAAATTGAAATAATTTTATACAGTTTTTGTATTGAATAAAATAGCATATACTTCAATAAAAACATTTAAATAAAATAGCTTACAACATAATTTACAATTGACAGAGTCAAAGAAGCACGTGGGATAGTTGGTGTGCACGTGTAACCAGCCATGACATGGGTTTTGCTTTTCCCTTCCAAATTGAGGTCATCCTTCTCTCATCTTTCAAAAATGAAATATGGTTCTTTGGTTCTGATATTCTCATTTATACCATTCTTTCCATAAATATAATCCCTAATTCAAAATTAATTGAGTGAGTTTTGTTTTTTTGGGTTGGAGTGACAGGACAGACAATATTGTTCAATTCTGCATACCCTCACACCTTCCCCTTATCAACAAGTTAATCAAATTCCCAATTTTTTTCTTTCACCATAAATATATAAAACCAAAAACCCACCTTCATGCTTGCCTGTTCCTAAATTACAATTTTCAAAGACAGACAAACATGTCCCACAATATTCAGTACAACTCCCCTTGGCTTTCCCTTCTCTCTTTCTGCTTTCTCTGAAAGGTAGACTCCACTTCTCGGGTTCTTCTCATCTTAATTCTTTTTAAGTTCTGTTTTTTTTTTTTTTTTGTATAATGTAATTAATCCTCATGGATCTAGTTTCAAATCCCTAATTTTTTATTTTGTTGTGTATTAATCAATAATCAATGGAGATGTATTCGTGGTCAGTATGCGATTAGGGCTTGGATTGGATTCGAAATCTTCAATGGGATGGGTTTCTCCAATTCAGGAGGGTCATTGTGTCACATTGTTGCTTTATTTTTGCCTCGATTTTTACATGTCCAGCTAAAAATCCCATTTATTACTGTCTCATATTTTTTTGCTCTGCTGTTGAAACTGTGATATTCGATTACCTGATTTTGGAAGTCATCAGTTAGCTAAATTGAATCGGAATGTCTCTTACTTGTTTTTGTAAACAATTTGATTGGGGATTAAATTCGTGGGATTTTTCTCTGATGTCATGTTTCTTCTTTCCATGGTTGAAAGGTGTAGAATATTTGAAACTGGAATGGGGTGAATCTGTTATTTTGTCTGGTACAGAATCATTCTTTATTTGCAAGTTGTTGTACTAGTGGCACCTGTTAATGTTATAAAAAATCAAAATCTTAGAGGGTAGAAATACTTCCCTTCCACACACTGCATGAAAATCTTAGGTAGAAGTTAGAGGGCTCGGTCTAGTTTGGTCTGGTATTAAATTTAAATTGAATTGTTAAATCCCCTAGTAAAGTAGTGACAAGGAAAGGTTGATGTTTTGTTATAGATTCCTATGGGCTGCAAACATTCTCCTGATACATGATGCTTTCTGATTTTATGGACGAACCCTGTTTTCATATCAATCAATTTATTGTTGCTTGAGAGCATTAAATCTGTGAATATTAAACCACTATGATGACAAAAGTGGCTTGCTTGCATTAGTTGTTGAAACAGAATGTCACCTGGATAGAGATCAAAGTTGGCAATGTCATTAATGCTGGTCATTACCGTAAATACGTGCTTCTAGTTATGCCCAATGTAGAAGCATCCGTTCCGTTGGATTACATTTTACTTAATTTGATGTCAGACAAATAAAGTTCTATCCAAATCTTTTTCAATGCCTCTTTTCCTGAGTTTGGGTAGCAACAAAGATATGTTTCAAAGGAAATGAGAAATAAAAGCTTTTCATCCATTAAAATGTGTGAGCTTTGAAACATAGATAGACGATTTTACATTGTTTGTCACTATATAGGCTAGAATCAGTTTATTGCTGGTGGTTTCGCATCAAACGTTGTGTCAAACTAAGCATAAGTTTAGGCTTCGTTATCTGCAATTTTCTCAGGAAAAATAGTAGTAATTTTTGTGCTGCTCCTTTTTCTTGTTTCCACCATGATTATAGTTATTTTTGTTCATGCAGATGTCTGTGTAAAACGAAATTGACTTATAGGTGTCTTCTTTTATATGTTGATAAATCTTTCAAAAATGTTATATCAAATGGCAGAAGTAGACTCAAAATGATTGTCTTAGATTTAACATGCCACTTGATTCATAAATTTGAGTTCTCTTTCCTACATACTTGTTTTCTTTATAAGACTAAAGTAATACACACACACACACACACACACAAATACGTATGATTAGCTTGCCCTTTTACCTCCTGGATTTCAGGTATGGAGTGTTTTGACATCTGGAAGAGATCATGGTGCAGTGCCTAGACGGATTAAAGCATTTGTGTGCTGCTCTGGTAAATTGTTGTGATGCCGATTCGTCAAAGCAACCTAGAGGTTTAGAAAATCCAGAAGTTCTTGCAAGAGAGACAGTGTGTATGTCATTATCCCAAATTCCTCTCTATCTTATGTTGTGAGTGAGGAGCTTTTCGTATGAGCAATAAACCAGTTATTAATTGTTATTTCAGTGCTTTCATTAGCAGTTATTAAATTAGCACCCGTTTTCATTATTTTCTTGCGCCTAATGTGCCTCTATCTCTTTTCTTCCTTATCTTCCCTCTTTGGTTGTCACAATATTTGGAAAACGATGGTGGAAAACACTTAGTTATATATGTCTTTGACCATTCACTGGAGTTGGCGGCCTTATGTTATCTAGGGCCAAATTACATAATAAAGGTGGAATAAAAGATTCTACGATACATTAGATTCTGAGATTCATAATTTAACACACTACTTTTACAATCTGAATGAAAGATGATGCTCACTTCAATATTACCATTTTGTTTTCTTTTAATTCCTTTTAGTGGGTACAAAAATTGTTGAAAGCGGTTGAAGAATTAGGTAACTGTTAGATGGAAATCAATTTATATAACCTTATTTTTCAGTTACCGAGCCTTTTTTAAGATTTGATTCACTTATGTAGAATGTTCATGTGTTTTATTGTCAATGCAGTTAGTGTAAGTGAGATTGAAGCGCTATATGAACTTTTCAAGAAGATCAGCAGTGCAGTGATTGATGATGGACTAATTAATAAGGTTTTTTGTGACATCTTTTGCTCTGTCCTTTCTGTCATTTGTTTTATGAAATTGTGACATTTATATTTTCAACATTTCTGGACAATGGCATTCTTCCTAGTCTGAACTTTGAATCATAATTTGACAAGTGCATTATGTTTTTATGTAGAACTCACAATGTTATATATATTGTTTATGGCATTATTTTTTGTAGATCTAAACATTGTCTTTTTGTTTTTTTTTTATGGTTTCCTTATTTTACATGGCAGGAAGAATTTCAGTTGGCATTGTTCAAGACGAACAAGAAAGAGAGCTTATTTGCGGATAGGGTATATAGAACATTAACTTCTTGTTTTTTTCCATCTATCTTTTACATTTCCATAAGAAACAACAATATAAGAAATATTTCTGTGCACTGTTTTTATGAACATGAACTTAACTGTGGCTAATATTTTCAATTTCCATAGTAAATTGTTTTTCAACCAGCTTTGTATACTTTATAATCTTCTTGGTTTCTTTGACCATGTTACAATATGGCCTAACAAATGTGACGCACTATGCCATTATTGTATTATCTTTTATTTGTTAGGTGGCTGACCTTTTTTGTGTAATATATATAATCTGATTACCTAAAAGTTAGTTGCGTAGCACATACATACGATATGAACCTTAGAAATGTATTTGTCCCGGTTCATGATTTTGTACTGTTTGTAGGTGTTTGACTTGTTTGATACAAAGCACAATGGCATACTTGATTTTGAAGAGTTTGCGCGGGCTCTCTCTGTCTTTCATCCCAATGCACCAATTGATGATAAGATTGAGTGTAAGAATGACAAATGTTTAGAAGACTTCTACTATCTGGTCTACTTTTTAATGTTGGTTTTGAATGGAAAGGGCCTTTATTGGAGAGGGAGCTAGATCATGAACTGTTTCTGTAGTTGTCTCTTTATTTCTTTAATGCATTTGTTAATGATAGTGATGTATATGTCTGTTTTCCTTTTTGCAGTTTCATTCCAATTGTATGATCTCAAACAGCAAGGTTTTATTGAAAGACAGGAGGTAACTTTGTCTTCTTATGATATGATGTTGAATAAATAAAGTTTTGTCTAACCACCTTGTAGGACTACTTTTTAACTGCGATTGGCTCACCTGACAACCAATGTGGGATAGAGTCATCTGGGAACTTGAATCAGCCTTAACATGCATAATTTTTTTCATAAGCCCACTGCATATGTACTTTCAATTATTTTGTGGTCCATCACCCTGGATTGAAAGCCAGTCTAGCTCCAGTGTTTCAAAGGTTGATTGGCCATCCTTATCTAAAGGCCAAGGCTTTAACACCGTTCAGGAAATAAACAACTTTATGATTGTTTTTGGTAATATTTACATGCATGACCTTATCTTGGAACAGAATTTGACATATTGTTCTATTCAGTTACTGATGCCAGAACTGAGACCAACCTTTATGATATTGACAATGTATTGCAAGGCACTCACTTGGGAAAATGGTTGCATATGTTTAAGTACCAATAGATTAGAATTAGATGCCTAAAATCAGAATTAAATTATTATACCTGAATTAAAACAACCATTTTTATCTTTTAGCTTTAACATTGGAAGTTAAGCATTCTCAAATTTACACATTACTTATTTTTTTTTTCCTCATTAAAACTTGAATATCTTCCTAGACTTTGACTTCAAATGTATTTAAAATCATGTTTTAGTATTGTGAATTGTTTCTTTCCTTGTAATTTGTTACATACTCTGATAATATACATCGATGATTAATGTTATTTGTATACAGGTAAAACAAATGGTAGTGGCCACTCTAGCTGAATCTGGCATGAATCTTTCAGATGATGTGGTCGAAAGTATTATTGACAAGGTGCATAAATTATCTGATAACTTGATTGCATATCAAATCTTATGTTCATTACTAGACTGAAATTTGAAGCATTTCATTAGTACTTTTTTTTTCTTGCTTTCTGCCTTTTTTAAGTTTTTTTTTTTTTTTTTGTTAGAGTAGGTATGAAATCTATTATTTATATTTTCACTCTTGAAAATCTGTAGAAGTATAATCAATATTATGAAGCATGTGAATTATATATGCAATGGGAAAGCAGCTGTTAAATTTTTATGTTTGTAAACTTTTACAACAGGCAGCTAGTTTTGTTGTTTCCCAAATTTAAGTATGCATGTCCTTTTGCCAGTTCATCCTCTTCCTTCATTGTATCTCACATTAGTTAACCGTTAATAGGACAATTGTGTGTACTCTATTCAAATAATGTGATGATTTCCTCATAGTCTGTCCGAAGATGCTATATAATTTCTCTATTAAGTCAAGTAAACCATTCTTTCAGCCTCATTCTTGTGAAGATCATAAATTACTAGAGTTTTTTGTGTTGAGTTGATAATGATGAGATTGGTATACAAAATCGTTCTTGAATCTCTATAATCTTCTCGGGTGATCTGTCACTGATAGTTTGTAAGTTATTTAGACATTTGAGGAAGCTGATACCAAACATGATGGGAAGATTGACAAGGAAGAATGGCGAAACCTTGTGTTGCGGCATCCATCTCTTCTGAAAAACATGACACTTCAGTATCTCAAGTGAGTTCCTTCATGTTGTTGACCACTGTTTGGATTTTGAAGTTGTCTCGAAATTTAGTGAAATGCTACCAAAGCATATTTGGATGTGTTTGTTAAAATGAGCCGTAATATTATTAAGGTAAACCATAGATGCTAGCCAGTGTCCTAAGGCAAACTGCAAACCACAAATTTTATTAAGAAATTGTTATTAATGCATCCATTCTTTGATTTATATTGCATTCCCTACACAGTTCTCAAGAAGAACTTACTATTATTGATTTGTTAGTTGGCTTGATTAGTTGTTACCAATTCAACTAGATACCAAACCCTACTGTTCAACCTATAATATCAACTAAAGAGAACAGTGGGATTTTTTTTCTTCTTTTTAAGGACCTCATTTTTATAGTAAAAGTTTAAAATCCTTACTGACTCAACTGTTTTTTAAGTAGATTGATAAAACGAAAATAGTATTTACTATTTTTAAATTATTGCAATCCATGCATCTTTCATCTTCCATTGCCCATACTCTTGTTCTCAGCAATTCTAATAATTGCATGTATATTGTTTGCCGCTTTCAAGTTAGTAATGAGAAAGAAAAAGGGAAGAAACTTAACTAATTTGTTTTGAAATAAATATTGTAACTAAAAGTTAGCAGTTTTGTTTGAATTGTAGCTATTTTGATTTTGCCATCGATACGATTACCTTATGATTGATTTTGTCCTGGATGGCATTTCTAATATATCTATGTATTTTACTTCTCAAGAACTATTTTATTTTATCAAGCTCTAGCATCTCACATCTGACTACTTAGATTGTTTCCTTGGCAGAGATATCACCACTACATTTCCCAGTTTTGTCTTTCACTCACAAGTGGATGATACATGAGGCAACTACATAATCCGTGTCAGCTTCAGTGTTCTTGACTGGGAATGATCTTCGATTGGTTTGTGGATGATGGGGTTAGATGTGTAGGGTTCATTAAGGGGTGAATATGGACTTTGTTTATATTTTGATTACAAGTAGAACTTTGTCTTCCCCTTTTTGGATTTATGAGGTTTGTAGATTGAACGAATGGGTTTGCTTATTTATTTACTTCATTTGAGAATAAAAGGGGGAACAAAATAGATCATTCAGGCGTTTCAGCGTTAGCACCTTGGAATTAATTTTGGTGAGAAATATATTTTACCAGAAGCTTGTGAATTGCTTCAGCAAGCTGTGAAGAGTTCTTTGAACACATGCCCAGGATTAAGAATTGCTGCTCCAAAAACATGACTGCATGTCAGCTGTTGTGCCTAACCAACATTGCCATTCCTCCTTGACAAAAGGATAATGTCCCTTTCTATCCAATTTATTTTCCTCTTATATTTGCCATTATTTTTGTGTAGGTCATTGGTGATAAAAATCAGTTAGCAGCGTATGTTTTCCTGTAATTACAATTTTTTTGCAAGGGTATGTATTTGGTATATTAATTGAATACTTTATTTTTATAAGTGTCAAAAATCCCAAGGTGAATTGTCTTCTTTTCTTTGTTTTTAATGTCAACAAAATCATTAGATTGATTATATGCCACCACTCAAATGTTCAGATGTAATTGTTGCAGAAATGTAAAGGTAAATCTAGTGATAACAGGAAAACAAAGTACTTTTATTCTTCGTACTTTGGTTAAACGTAGATAAGGTCTTTTTTTTTTTAATATGTATGATTTTGACTTTTCAAATTTTGAAAAAAAAAGGTATATATATATATAGGGAGAGAGAGAGAGAGAGATGGGATTCCTATATTGACATTTTTATTCAAAAGTAATTAATAAGGGACTGCATTTGCATTTTTCTTTAACTTTCAGTTATGTTTTTTATGATAGAAAATTCATTGATATTAAATTGTATGAACTTGGATCATATTTGACCCTAAATGTGAAAACTAAAATATGTTTTTCAGAAAAAAAATAAAGCTTTAGAGAATTTTGATGAATGTCTTCAATTCAAGAACTTGGAATTCAGCATGGATATTCTGTTACAATATTATGAGTAGTTTGTAGTTTGTGCATTGTATGCTGTTTCAACTTTTTTGTTTTAGGTCTGTTTAGAAGTTTTTTTATAAGGACTTCTAAGAGATTTTTTTATAAAAGTTAAAACTCATCTAATTATAATTGTTTTTATTAATTTATAAACATTCTTTCATGTAAGATATCTTAATCTTATTTTTAATTTTAAGTATAAATTAATTTTAATTTATAAAAATGTTTTAGTTTTTTATGTTCTTATCTCTTAAAAAGTTCTCAAGGAGAAACTTATTTAAACAAAGGCGATTTATGAAATTCAGATGAATAATATTAGTAGCTCATATTAAATTGATATACCTTAACGAATAAAACTTAAAGAAGTGACAGAAAAACAAACGCCTATACTTTATAAAATATAGAAACTTTTACGAACCAAAATGTAAATTACTCAAATTTATAAAATTACAATAAAATTTAGGCTTCATTTCATTATAGTTTTGCACCGACTCATTATTTTCTTAACTTGTTTTCTATTATTTATTAAAAGCTATGGAGTGCGTTTATAATCATATAATTTGAAATTTGAGTTGATTTATATATTAAACTCTTTATTTTACAAGTAATAAAATTTAAATTGAAGTGATATAAAAGTTGTTTTAGTTTGGTATATTTAAAACTCCTTAAATTTGATTAAACTTTAGTTTAAATACTCGAATCGAACATTTAGTTCTTAGAGTTTAATATTTGTGTCGTTTATAATATCATAAGTGCTGGCTAGTGTAAAAAAAACTCAATCCTAGTAAGAAAGAAGTGTTAGCTTATGATAGATAATCACTCAAAAAATTTAAATTATGATATTGTCCTTTTAAATAAGAAATAAATTATGTTATGAGAATAATATTCATTTTATATGATTATTATATAAGTTTTTCAACAAGGTTAATCATTAATTCTAATGATAAATAACCCGTAACATATATATATTTGATGAAATTTAACTATGATTAAAACTACAGTCACTATGAAATAGCATGATCATGATCATAAGAAAAATTAAGATATAAACTCGGATTTGGATCTCTCCACGAGCCCAAGTTAGAACAGAAGTCACGAGAAGAAGCAAAAATGATAAATAATGTTTAATATTGAATGCTCTGGTGTTCAGACCATCACTTGTATTATGATTCAATGACTATATCCTATGCTGGTTACAGAACCAAAAATGCAGTTGAATATTTGTTTCTCATATATATCAGATATTCTATTTTTTTAAGCTATTCTACTTTTTACTACTAGTAATTTGTAGAAAAGGGGACCTTAAGAAAACTCTGAATCACATTGAAAAAGAAGAGATAATTGTATGATTAGAAATGGTAGAAGAACCCACCACTGATATCTGGTCTGAGAAACAGACGAATCAGAGCCTTTGTCTGCGACGCCCACAAGAAAACGACAGTCACCAACTGAAGGGTCTCGGAAAGTGATCATACCAAGACCATCAAAATTGCAGCTTCGTGAGTCTTGCATTTGCAACTGATAGTAACTGTTGAAAGCATATGAGATGTTACCCTTCTCCCCAATCCCATTACATGAACCTCCATAATCAAGTGTGGTGCAATCCGCAACACTGCATGCAATTCTCATATGGTTTGCTACGTTTTGAGCATCTATGGAGGGGCTTGCTACACACCATCTAGATGGAAGATACTGAACATTCTTTGCATTCTTCAATTCCTTGTTTCCAAGGCCAAGGTTTAGAGGGTACTTAGCTTGCCCATCAAATGAGAATATCCCCCAGTGTCTCTCAAACCCTCCTGGCAGTGTGCTCTTTGCTCCTTCATCAAGCAGACTGAAGATATAGATGTCCATAGGAGGAGCACCAGGCCTCAAAGGGGTCCCTTTGCTATTTAGAACATTGCTGATGAGACCTTGATTGAATACCTTTGCTGCAGTAATACTTGCACCAATGGCTCCATCAGAGGGCCAACCAATTTCCCCAATGATTATAGGCATCTGACCGTATCCAAGTTTAGTCAGGGCTGCAACCAAAGTATCATAGTTTCCATCAAATGCATTAGTGTACACATTGTTACCATCTGTGACAGGATGAGTAGTTCCCTCAAAGAATGCATAATCTTGTGGGAAATCTTTGTTGTCATAGAGACTGAGGAATGGGTAGATATTAACAACAAATGGGGCACCGTTTGAGTTGAGGAACTGAACCAGCTGAGTGATGATTTGAGTTAGTTCCGGACGGAATGCTCCTTGGGAAGGAAGTGAAGACTCGTATGCATCTGCATTGCAGGGCACAACTAGTTTAATGTAACTAGCCAGATTTGCTCTCACTAAAGACTGCTGTAGATTGAGTATGGCTGGCATCACCAAGTTCTGATATTCACCATTATAACTAGCGAGGAATGGTTCATTACCAACAGCAATGTACCTGTAACAAAAAGAACAATGGTTTAAATGCCTGTTAAAAAAAAAAAGTCTAAAGAAAAAGAAAAACTAGCTATAAGTCTATAACAGCTAATACTTATGACTGGGGAAGAAGGAGAAAGGTTCCAGGTCGTACAGAAGGTTAACAAAGGCCAGTGTTCAAAACAAAAAGTTCTTTCACCATAATACATAATATTTTAGTTAAACTTACAACCAATATTGTTCAGGCTAAATGATAGGATCTATATTATTGGGACTTCATACTATAATCTTCTATTGGCAGAGAGCAAATTCAAGACTTAACATAATAATAACATTGCATGTAAGATTAAAGCTTATGACAATTTCTATTCGGGATAATCTCATTTACAGATATTTTTGAATTGTTCATAATATATTATTAACAATTACAGTTAGACAAAAAAATTGTAATCAACCATTCATGCTCGGATGGTAAGAAAATCAAATAATCTTTTTATAACTAACGTGTCAGAATATTTATAATAGATTAACTTAATGCTCTTGCAGACTTTGAACTACTGCATTAAGCTACTCGTGCCAACGGTTCTAAATATTATCTATCAGTTAGGAAAACAGTTTACCATAAGCAATTCCAATGCAATATGCAAGGACATCTCGGGATGAGAGCAAAATCAATCAATTTGTGCGTGTGTTTATCTATTTTTCTTCAATAAATAAAAAACATATAAGGTGGAAGATAATAAAGTAAGGAGTTGATTCTTAATACTATTCGATTGGAACAGATAGCTTTATGATACAGCAAACTTTCCTCCATGTTGATGCAACAAAATAAACCCCTCCACACTTTTATCATGGCTTCAATATTAATGTAAGACATTACTAAGGAAATAAATAGCTACTGATTTTGAAACCACCTAAGATTTGATTCTTAAACATGTTAAGGGTTTGATTGTTGTTCACGTGTGTTCAAAATCTTTATTGGAAACGACAAACCACACTTCTTGACAAATTCTACATACACTCTAAGTAAAAGTTGGTAGATTTGCTGGGTGTACTAAAACAAAGTTTTGGTTTTGAAAGAAAAAGAAAAACCTGATATCAGCACCATCTTTTCCAATGTAAGCAGAAACATTCTGGCGAAGCCACAAATCAGCAGCCGCAGGGGAAGTGCTCAAGAGAGCCAACATCTCATTGGGGATCCCAACCATCACCTGAATCCCACTCCCCATGAGAGCCTTAAGCACCTCAGGCTCTGCCTCAAACACCTTCACTTTTGGAATCTTATTATCTTTCAAGAGATCAACCACCGTGGAAGGCTTCAACTTGTGGAAAGAAACGGTGCCCCAGTTAACCCCTATGGCCGATTCTCCCATCGGAACAACCCACCTCCATGCCAACATCCACATCACAATAGCACCACCCAACAACCTTCCCTCCAACATTCTAACACTCAAAAAAACAAACAAACACGCTTTAACCGCTCATTAAACAGAGATTTCTCAGCAGTTTCAGGGGGAGAGAGAGAGAGACCGGGAATGCAGAGGTAGAAGAAGCTCACACACTAACTGTTAACAGTAAAACACCTGAAGAGGAATGGGAACTTCCTTGCCTTTTTGAGCTCAACAAAGATTATTACTACGCGGGATTAATGCAGCTTTACCAAAATGCCCTCCATGCCTCCCTAACTGTTTTTCACGTTGCAAACAAATATTGTCTTTTTACGGTTTTCAACCTTTATTATTATTTTTTATGGCCATCATAACAACAGTTTTTCTTTGAGACAATAGTTACGCTTCTGAGATCTCCTTTTGTTTAATTTGTTCACACACAGACCATCATTTGTGTGATTAGTTATTTAGTTTTGTTGTTTGGGACTTGGGTTGCCGAAAGAGGTTATTGATTTGGATAAGTAATATTCTCTCCATTGTCCATTATTGTTATCTTATTCTTTGGAGATATATAGTTAACTATGGCAAAAATTCCGACTTTACTAATTTTATAAACATAATACATATAACTTGGGAGTTGGTAGTTGGGAAATTGAGTCACATAGATGCCTAATTTCATTACTTGAGGAACTCCCTTAAGTTAAAAGTTGGCTAATGCCAGATTAAAAAAATGGTACTTTTTTACAATCCTCCTTGTTCTAAATGTCCAGCCTCCTTTATATGATGAGAGGCTGGGTTTTAGGAGGTAATGAAAATCACGAGAGAGTTGTATAAGATGATGAAATCGAAATTTGAAAAGTTGAAGTAACCGGTTGCATTCTTTCAAACTAGAACAGGTGCAGCAGATGAAAATCAGATTGTTCACTTGGAAACAGAATTGAGTCTTGGCTTTTGTGTATGGAGAGAAGGGTGTGAACATGGAATTGGGGTTTGGATAAAGCAGAGAGGACTTGTGTGTGATTGTGACATAGTGACTTTCGGAAACCAATGGAAAAATGGAGAGAGGGAGAGAGAGAGCGGGGGGGAGGGACATAGTTGTAATTTGAGTGAAAAGATATATTGTTAATTGTCGTTTAGCAGAGACAGTGAAGAGGTGTGTATTTTGTAACCGACTTTCACGTGGCACTAGGAGGTCCTCCTTGGTGGCCACCCTTCATTGGTTCTTCCCTGATCAAATATTATAATCACCTTTCCTATGGGGAAGGGAAGTAAGTGAAGGAATTTGAACAAAGATACTATAGCAGTCGCAGTAATAGTAGCAGAGGAGTTGAACTATTTATAACAGTACTTTCTAGTTTCACATCTATTTATTATAGTTTTAAAATTTGATTTGGATGATAACAGTGGCTCCTAGAATGCCAAGGATTAGATGGTGAGGGTATTGTAAAATGACCCTCCCTACTTATGTGCACCTTTTGTATGGTCAAATTAAAGGAAAGGTGCCATGTCCTTTGGGAGGCCTTCAAGCCATGTTAATATTCCAAATCCCAATCAACAGAAAAGGGCAATAAGTTTTTCCTTTTTTTCTATTAAGACCTTGACAAAGAAAAATTATGGCCAAAATTTTCATTCAAACTTTGTTCTTATTCTTCTTTCCTTCAGCTTTTTATCCGATTTTAGGGAATCAAGCATCAATTGGGAATCTGGCCTCATTAGCATAGAATATTGGAAACTCATTTTATACTCACTATTTTACTATGCTGTCTCCCACTATAATAAATAGAGCAAGATGTGAATGCTTTCTCACTTCGGGTATACCAATATTACAATAAAAAGACCAATATTCTCTTTGACGGTGAGATTTATTGAATAAAAATTTTACAAATTTCCACAAAATTATAGTGTAAGACTGGAATAAGAAAAGGGCTAAAAAACATATTGCCCGCGTTTTTCCCTGAAAGGAAACCCTCCCTCCGAGTCAAATCCCAAGCATTTTCTGCCCGCTCGCGCTGAACACTCCTCAAAGGTTATCCATGGACTTAGATTAGATGCGAATATAAATACTATAAACAAAGAAAAAGCTTAGTTTGGGAATTGATTTTCCTTTTGTGATTTGTAAAATACCCACCATAAGTTTTTCAAGATAAGGTATCATTTTTCTTTTCTAATTTGTAAAATAGGGACAATAAGTTCGGGAGGCCCAACCTTTACATATTCTCACCAAAAAATTGTAGTTAGGACGTAGATAACATGGTAAATTATTCTTTCGGTTTATATATGAAGTTTATATCCACAAAATATTTTAGCCCAAATCGACTAATGAAGTTTATATACACTTAAATATTAATAATTTCACCTTATATCTAATTATCTATTTCAGGTGAAAATTTAGTTTAAAGGAAGTTGATATATTGATATATAATTAAATTTCAACATAAAACTCGTGTTACAAATATGAACAAATCACACAAATGTGTACATCATCTCCACGTCCATCTTTTACCTCAGACTCTTCAGCCAATAGGAATATTATGGCATAAACCTATAATTATTGGCATCAGAACATGTCAATCGCCTGCGAATAGGACCACCAGCTCATGAAAACATTGATGCCGTGTCTTTGTCTTACCTCCTTACAAAATCAGGCTGGTTGGTGACAGATCTCACCCACGACCACTTATGATCTTTGGTATCAACCGGGTTTTTTGCTTGTGCTACATCCTCCAATGGAATGTATGCATAGTTTCCATTAATAGGGCCCGTTACAAATCCAGTATACCCTGCCATAACACCGTGAATTGCAGAGTGTGCTAGGAGTGTACAATACAAGTTATCAGCGGCATTTGCATGGACTGCACGAATCATGTAGGTAGGATCAATGTACTTCACTGTAAATAACTCATGGGGGTGTTCTCTAGCCCACCAATGCTTTAGCTCTGTCTTCAACCATTCACCAACATCTAAGAAGACCAAGTTCCCTGATTCATCTCTTTCTTCCTTTTGTGAATCAGTTCTGGGTATTATGTCCTGGCCAGCACCCTCGGCAACTACAAGCACTGCGTGTCCATTTTCCTTGAGTCTCTGGCCAAGAAACTCAAAGAGCCCTCCTTTCCCTTCCAAGTAGAAATCTATTTCGGGAATTAGGCAGCAATCAACATCGCGGCTGCTGAGTGTTGCATGTAGAGCAATGTGGCCTGTGCTTCGACCCATCAACTTGACCAGGCCTATGCCGTTCACTGCACTCTCCGCCTCCACATGGGCAGCACTGATTGCTTGCTGAGCCATTTCAACTGCTGTTTGGAACCCAAAAGATTTGTCAATTATTCCCACATCATTATCCACGGTTTTAGGAATTCCAACGACCGCAACTTCCAGTTTGCGACTCCGTATTTCATCATATATCTTCACTGCTCCTTTCATAGTCCCATCTCCTCCTATAATGTACACCTGTTCATGTGCATAATCAGCATCGTTAGTTAGCTTTCTTTCTTTCTTCCTGTGTTGCATTTCTGTTATCTACATATTTTTTCCAGCTAATATACATACACATGTGAGTGTTTTAAACAATTAGGGATAATATGCAATTTCAGTCTAGAAGAAATAATCGGCAGAATTCTTCGATCTAATTGTCCAGAAATAGAAAATAAGGGAAAATTCAGCAGAACTCTAAAGGTTTTCTTCTACTAATAGATTTCTAGTTTTAACCACATTGCCCTAATTTAAGAATCACAAATCACAGTCCCGTAATAGCGCTTTAACCATATTTTCTCATAACATGTGATATTATACATTTCCCAGCAGAACTACTTTTGGGATAAACTTTAATAAGCTGGTAAGTAAAACTTATCATCTTTAATCACATTTCTAATTAAAAACAATATGAAAAAAACTTGTACTAATAGTTTGTATTCCTAATTAACAATAATTATCATATGAAATGTAATACTATTATATAAGCATTCACTGATTATTATGCTGAGGACAGACAGGTTGCCGAACATGTTAGAAGTAATTAAACCTGGTTGAAGGCGTGATTTTGGATGGCATCGACGATTCGATTGAGGTCAAAACCGCCTCTGGATGTCTGGAGGAGTGTGCCACCCACGTCGTGCCAATGGTGAACAAGTTTGGGGTTGAGGGGGAGTGGCTCCGTGGAGTAAAATCCCCTGTACCCAGCGGTGACACCCAGAATATGACGGACGCCATAGAGGTGCCACAAACCCACAACAAGCTCTCTGATGACGGTGTTAAGGCCGGGGCATAGACCTCCGCAGGTGACAATGGCGACGCGAACATCGGAAGGTTCGAAGCGGATGTGTTTGCGGGGACCGGCACGGTGGTAGGCGAAGCGGGGCAAGGGAGAGGGGTCGTTTTCGATCTGGCGGAGTACGAGGTCGGATTGAGTAAGGTAGAAGCCGTCTTGTTGTAGTTGGTGGGTGTCAAAGTAGGGGTTGTGGTCGAGTGGGTTAGGGCGTGTTTGGAGGTTTGGGACATAGTTACTCAGGCGAGGCACTTCTTTCAGGTATATGGGCTTGAAGAGCTTGGATATGTCTGAATCTGATGCTGAATTGGAAGTTACAGCCATGGCTATCAGACCACAGATACACACACCTTGTGACTTGTTTCTGAGTCTCTTTGTAGACAAATTTCAAAAAAAAGGCGCAGAGTACGTGGCGCTCCATGGGTTCTGGGTTTGGACACGCTACACCAAAATTACATCTTGTGCGCCATTTTTAGACACTTGTGCAACCTTGCTTCCATCATTTATTTTAATTTAATTTCAATATATTAATATTTTTTTCTATTATAAATGGTCAAAGTTTCTAAACATGCATAGTAATAATTATTTAAAATTTGATTGTATAACCATATATTAAAATTAAGTTCATCTTTACTTTTTCATGTATGTAGAATACTTTATATAAATCAATATGAAAAATTAAAATTAAATATACTTGAGGCCTTTTCACAAACTACTCCTTTCTATCAAACACTCTAATAACATTGCCTTATTTATTAGTTTTTTAGTATTTTATTTATGTTTTAGTTATTTATAAGTTATTATTTGTAGTATTTTTAGTTATGTTCTTAGTTACTTAAAAAAAGATGTTAGATGAGTTTTAAGATCATTTTTTTTAAATGGTTTTACTCTTTGTAAAATAACTAATATTATCATTAAATAATTCATTGTCACATATTCTACCATTATCGCTAGTAATAATGGTTTTTAACTTTACAAATACAATGATTTTTATTTTAGCATGCTCAAATAATGTTTTTATAATAGTTTATGCTTCATTCGAGATAGTTTTGAACGATATTCATTTTAAATCTGTTCTTCCATTTTTTAGTGAAATTCATTTCACTATTGGGATGTTCAAGAATTCGAAGGTCTTGTGTATGATATGTCACCCAAATGAAAACTAAATTGCTCGTGAACGAAAGATGTAGCAAAAGAAGCCCAACGCTATTTTGTCGTTTAAACCAATGAACAAGGTGTGGTGAACTCGCGAGTAAGTTTTTGATAATTGTTATGGGTTACCAATAACATTATTGTACCACTAGAATTTAAAGACAATGCCTGCAGATTAAACTTAGTAGAGGTTCTACATAAATTTAAAGATATTGACTGAAAATTGTACTAGAATTAAAAGTCACAGCTTTTAAATTTATAAATTGTTCTTGTGATGACCTGTATTCCTTGGTTTTGTAGGATGCAAATGAATTGGTGGAATAAAAATAATTGAAAAACAGATGTTTAATTGAAAATACATTAAGTGATGAAATGAGAAAAATATAAAACCCCCTAATTTTATAAGTTATTTCTGATATCCTTCACTCCCACTAAAAGATATCTTGACCCGTATCTTCCGTCCCTCAAAACTGATAAAAGCATAGTGAATTAACACCAATTATTACTCACAATAGTAAGAGGTACCTGATTGAAAATGGTTCACACAATAGCAGCAACTAGAGAACATTTCTGGAGTCTTAATACTTGAGAATAGTTTCAACCGGCAACGATGGTGAACAACTCAAACACAGTCCATTGATTCCACTTTCATTGAGTGTGTGATGAAAACATACTATTCTTTTGAAAGGTGAAGTATAAAACGCGATGATGTTAACATCAAAAGGGAGGAGAGAAAAGGAAAATGTTTGCATTATAAAACTAAGAAACATTTCATTTATTACTATCAAAAATAGGTAAGGTGTTTCTAGACCAGGTAGAATAGTCCAGGCACTGTTTTCACAAAATTGTAGTTTGAAACTAAAAATTGAAACGCACACACAATCACTGTAAGAACATGTCTAGTTACTACCATGATTGCATTAGACAAAAGCATGTGATGTATAGCATAAATCGCAATTTACAGAAAATTGCCTCGTTCTTTATTGGTGAAGTTTCCAGTAGACAAGTCAACATTTAACTACATAATTCAGATTTGTATCAATCAAGTCATAATCAAGAAAAATGAAAGATTGGAATAATAAAATCCCCAGAAACCCTCCGAGCTGAACCAACTCCTCTATTTTCCGCCTCACCAATCTCACTTTTAGCTAGATTTAATTTGCTCTATTAACAAATTTCACAGGGAATATCTATTGATATACAAGCGCAGAGTCGATATTTTTACTTGTTAGAGGCACATCAGTTAGAATATATAACAACATATCCTGAAAGCTTAAACATTATATTAAACTGAAAATAAATTTTAGTTACCACAAGAATAGGTAAAAATTTAGGGTCACATCCTGAATGGAACGGGTTGTTCCATAACCGCATTACAGCCAAAATAAGACCCAGCACGAGGCAAAGGCATTCATCCATTAACACATCCGCAAACCAAGTTTAAAAGACTAATTCGATAAACCCATGCTTTAAATGAAAAAGTTTTGAAAATAAACCGAACACTAAAATGTTGATGTACGGATCAAGTCAAGATAAGCCATACAATAAGGAACTGAAAATAAAATACTTAAAAGAGCAAACAAAATCCAATAGACCGCAAGAAGTAGTGATACATATTTGTTTTCACTTGAGAGGAATGAACCTAGACGAGTGAGTAGCACCAATACCAGGTCTACCGTGCTTGACCGGTTTGTACGAAATGGAGAACTCGGCAAGATAATGGCCAATCATTTCGGGTTTGATTTCAACCTGATTGAAGGTCTTCCCATTGTACACTCCAATGATACTACCGATCATCTCAGGGACAATAATCATATTGCGGAGATGAGTGCGCACTGGCTCTGGTTTCTCACCTGCGGGTGCTTCCCTTTTCTGTCATTAAATCCAAACAAACGATGTCAGTTTATAAGAAACGCATATGAAATAAACCACATATAAGTCAATGATAAGGAAAAGTGTACCGCTTTGCGGAGCTTCTTAATCAAGGCCATGGGCTTTCTGGTGAGTCCTCTCTGGAACCTTCTACGAGCACGAGCACTGAAGAGCTTCACGAGTTCATCAGTGGACATGTCGAGAAGCGCGTCCAGATCCACGCCTCTGAAACTGAACTTCTTGAATGTTCTTTTCTTCGGCTGTGCTCCGGCCGCCACATCAACCTCCACGTCTGCCTGCAAATGCAAAAGCAAAATTCATTAACGAAAATAATAGCCGCCATAAATGCATCTCAGTCTGGTCGGAGAAGAAGAACTCACCATAGTTACCGGCTGCTAGGGTTTTGGTTTGGAACGACGACAAATAAGAGTAGGCACTGGCAGTCGAAGGAAAATAACTTCAACACGTATATCAGCCTCTTATGCTGTAACCCTAAAATAAAATCCATAGATTGATGGGCTTATATTTCTACACTAATTGGGCTTCGATATCTATTACTACACCCAAAAATGCCCATTAAAATTGAAACTTTATATAAAATATTTGCAGAAGTTAAATGTTTATATTCTTTATATTAATATGGTTTTTAGTTGTGCGATTATTTTATTTTTTAAAGTGAAAATCTTGAGTTAAATAGTTGGTGTTTTTTCATGAAATAAAACCGGATTGTTAATTTTAAAAAAAAATATTGAATATAATATAGAATATGTAATACAATCAAAATTTCATAACTATATTTTTAATTTGAAGTTTATGAAACATCTTTTTAACTTGCAAAAGAGTTTATTCTCTCAAATGTGTTAAAGGTATTTGGGTTTTTGTCAAAATAAGTTAAAAATTATGATTTTAAAGAAAATTTATATTATATTAAACCGAATTAATAAAAAAAACGTATAAAAAAACTGCACTAAATTATTTTGTACTAGAGCAATTCAATTACTGAATTACCATAAAAATTATTTCAAATAGTTTAGTGAAATATTATGTGTTAAAGTTTTTTTCCAATATGAACTTATTGATAAATACTTTAAGAAAAATATAAAGGTTAAAGTTATTGTTTTACTAAATTATAAAATAATTTCTATGTAAATTAGTTTATATAAACACTTTTGGAGAAGTTTGTTAAAACAAACTCTCAAATATTCTTATTGATGCATTTATTGTTAAAATAAAACTAAAACAGATGAATTAATATAGATATAAAGGAAAACATTCATATTAATTAATAAAAACAAAATATTTTATCTTCTTTTTAATTTGTAAATACTTATTTAGAAATTATATTAAAAAAATATGATATTGAGTTATTTAATTCAAATGTGACTAAAGATATATACAACATATATAAAAATGAAATCTTCATATTATTTGAAACAAAATGAAAATAAATAAATAAATTCTAAAAATTAATCCTATAAATAATATATTTTAAAAAAAATTAAACCCTGAACCCTAAAAAAATTACTTAATTACAATCTTTACTAATTTATTTACCTAAAGTAACATATTTATAATTCAATGGTAATTTTTTTCTCTTTTCAAGTTTTATTTTTTCCTTTTCTCTCCCCTCCTTCATTTCTTATTTATCTATTTTCTATCTCACCTCTTTTACTCTTCTTTATCCTCTTCCACTTACTCTTTTAACTAAAGTTATTGAAATTTAATAAAATTGTGTTAATATAAATTTTTAAAAAATTAATATTAAAACTAAATAAGCATCAACTGATTATTTAAATTTACAATAACAATAAATAAATTTATTTATAATAAGGTAAATAAATAATTTTATCATAATAAATTAATTACTCATCTAATTAAAAAATACATTTTTAAGAATTAAGTAATTTAATCTAATTATAATTAGTTGAATTATGATGATCAGTCATAGATAATTTTAAAAAATATTTATTTAAAAGCTACTTTAAAATAGATGTTTAATTTTTTCTTAATAATTATAACATAATAATTTATAATACCTCAATTTTATAATATAATATTTTTAGAATTATAATATATTAAATTATAATATTTTTATATAATTTAAATATTTTTATTTTTAAAAGTAATAAAAAACTCATTCTATCAAAATTTATTTTAATATTTTTAATTAAAAGAATAAAATGAGTGACATAGAGAATAAAAAAAAACACGAGAACGAAAAAAAAATAAATAAAAGAAAATAAAATAAAGAGAGAAAAATAATTATATTATATTAAAAAAATTATTATTGAATTTTGTATATAACAATAAAAAGGTTTAATTGATAAATAAACTTAAAAGAAATTTTATTTAAATAATTTTTTTAACATATATTATTTAAAAATAATTCTATTTCTAAATTAGGTGATTAAAATAAATAAAAACGTAAAAAAAGAAACTATTAAATTAGACATCATTTTAATAATTATATTAAAAAATAATCGGGATTTTTTATATTTATAAATATTTAATTTTTATTTAAAAATAAGAAAAACTAAATATTAATATCTATGGAACAAAAAATTGATTGAATGGATTATATATTTATGCTATTACCTGTAAAACTATGATAAAAATATAATTAATCTAATATTAACACAATAATTATGTTCTATTTTTAACAAATAAAAGCAGCCATGTTATTATTACAACTTGACATTAAAGTCACCTTCGTGAACCTAATGAATGGAAGAATATTTTACAGGCTAAGAATTTAAATTCCAAAGATTAATCTCACTAAACATAATCACTACTAGTGTAAACATAAAACATTTGAAAAATATTAACCCACTGTAGTTTTAAGATGCTTTTACTTCAACTTTTATTATAAAGCTCAATAAAAACATTTTTAAATAATAATATTTAATTGTACAAAAAAAATTAAAAATATCATAAATCATAACAGTAATAACAAATTTTTTTATTTTTATTTTTAAATATCTAAAAATTTTAAAATATATTTATTTTATAATATCTAAAAATAGACTTAATATAAAAACAATTAACCAATTAGGTTGGTTGACTTTTAATGTTCATGAATGGATGTATTCGAGAATCAAATTCTCAGTCAATTTGGGTGACATCACATCCAAACACAGTTTTTTCATTTGTTTTTCTATTTTTAAAATGATTAGTTTTAAAATTTTAATTAAATTAAGATATTGTAATATAATTCAATTAAATGAACTAACATATTGTAATATTATAATATTTAATTATTAATATTTATAATCAGAATATTATTAAATTACTATATTAGTTCCTCTAATAACTTTAAATTACATAACAAATTATCTATTTGAATTCATCAAATAAAATTAAATTATTACCAATAATTTATACAACATTTTAAAATAACAAGATAATTAATTTTCATATTTCAAATCAATCATTTCAATTTAATATTTTAATACAGAAAATTGGTATTTTTAAGTTCTGTATTAATTTAACAAAAAACTACCCTATTTTATATACTATTATTATTATTATTAAAATTTTAAAATCATTTACTTATAAACTAATTGATACAATTCTAAATTGAATATTGACAAGTATTACTTTAATTCTTTAATCTAAATGTATCATAATAAATTTAAATTCAAAATCATAATATGAAAGTAAATTTTAATATTAATAATTTTTTCAAAATTTAATAAATAGAATATCTTAAAATAATATTTCAAACATTATTCAATATAAAAAATAATTTTTTTATGTATAAAAATAAAATATTTGCAGATTCAGATTTATTAATATTAAATAAGTAATGTATAAGGCAAAATTATTGATAATAATAATTAATGTTAATAATTTATGTCAATAATATAATATATTTTATTTTTTAAATATATTTATAAATATATCTTTGATTTTATTTGTAGTATATTAATATATTTTAATAACTGAATTTATTATTATTACTAAATTCATAAATATATACTAACAATATTAAAATCTATTAACTATTAATCAACTCTTTAGCATTTTATTAATTATAATTTCAAATTAATTGACTGATGTATTTTTTTAGAAAAACATGTAAATATAAATTAATAGTTATTATAAACAACATTGTATTATTTTAATAATAAATTTTAAAATTTGATTTTTTTTACACTTAGCAGTTTAAAATTAATTATATTTAAATGATTTTTAAATCACATAGCTTATCTTGAATTACACATTATTTAATAATTTTTTTAACTTGATTTTGTTAGATTTTAATATTTTCATTAATTTAATTAAATAAGTTGTAACTTTTTAATTTAAAATACAAATTCAAAAAAATAAAAGCTAAGGTTAGTACTCGGTTTCGGGAAAGTAAGTTTAACATTCTCTTTAGGAGATTCTTAATTCTCAACATAAATATAAAGTTTAGTTGGGTAATTATTTAGTATTGAGCTTATTTCTGTATTTTTGTTTTAGAAAAAGTTTATTTATGAAATTGTTATTATTTTAGTATTTAAAGTATTAAAAAAAGTATTAATTAAAAAATCAATTATCACACCCTCACATCAATCAATGCTAACAATCTTGCAAATTTAGCTCCAATTTCACGTAACATTTATCTCTATATTTGTATTAGTTGTTTTAAATGATTATCACCTTCTTAACTTTTTTATATTCTTTAATATGTTTTATAAATTGTTAAACATCCTTATCATCACATAATTTTTTTTTCTCAGAGTATAATTTTCTTTTTCATCTGCATACACGTGTAAAACTTAAAAATATAATTATTAGAAAATTTAGTTTATCTAATACTCCATTTCTTCATACATTAACCTTCTCCTCTATTCATCTCTAAATCAAACCATTTGTAATATAAAGTACGGTAATAATTAATTAAAAGTTAATCAATAATCATATTAAGTCTGATTTTTCATCTTCAAACGAAATCGAAAACAATACATTCAGTTTGTACAGGAATGCAACATAAATTATGCAGTTATTCTCAACATGAAGATAATAATAATAAAGATTAAAACAAAAATGTGTTATGATCTTAGTTTAAAACCTTGGCGAATAGTATAAAAAAAAAAAAAAAGATATAGATTTATGCATTGTTTACAATACCTTTTGAATAACAGGAAATTTGAGTAGTGCACTGTTTGAGGTGGTCTATGGTAACTGACTTGTTGATATTATATTTAGGATTAGATATTTATGTTGTATGTGCGGTATTCTGTTGAGTGATCAGTTTCCTCTTACTCATTAATAAGACCTTCAGCCAGTTACCTTCTTACTTCAAATCCATATCAGCAAGAGGTGGTTAGTTAACATGTTTCTTATACTTTTCTTTAATTATTTCAATCACCTTTATTCTTCACTTCTCAATTCATGTTTGTGCATTCTTTGATTGAAGAGCAGCGTGTCACCTTTACAGCAAGTTAGCAGAATGTGGTCCGGAAAGCCTCCAGTTTTGCTCTTCCTCTTCTTCATTCTCATATCTGCTTTCCATGCTGCTTTTGCGATAAAAAAGGTTTGCTTTATGTCACTGTTATCTCTGTCACTTGAACACTTTGTTTGGTTGCTGAAACATTGTTGTGCACTCACCCCATTAAGTTTTTAAGCTCACTAACGTTTCAATTTCTTCCTTTTTCTTGAAAATGAAAAAATAATAATAGTCTTACATAGTGTACATGGGATCGCATGAGCATGGTGAAGGAGCCACAGATGCTGATTTTGATCGAGTTACACAAACTCATCATCACTTCCTTCAATCCTATGTGGGAAGGTACACACTAAATGAACGTTGGTACTAGAGAAACTTACACGCCCTTGGTGCAAACTCCTCTAAATTAACGTTGTAATGCAGCTTTGAGAAAGCAAGAGAGGCAATGATATATTCTTATACAAGGCACATCAATGGCTTTGCTGCCATGCTAGAAGAGGAAGAAGCAGCTGACATTGCAGGTGTGAATACCACAAAAACAACATTGTTAAGGAATGAAATTCCGACCTTAATTAACAAAGTTACTGTTGTGTGTTTGATCCAGAACATTCAGAGGTTGTGTCAGTTTTCCTAAACAAAGGAAGAAAACTACACACTACTCGTTCGTGGAAATTTATGGACATTGAAAGGGATGATGGGGTAGTTTCCTCCGATTCAGTGTTCAGAAAAGCTAGATATGGTGAAGATACTATTCTTGCGCATCTTGACACTGGTAACTTTGCTCTCTTGCTTATCTAAGCTATTGTAAATTTTCACCTTTCCTGAGTCCCAAACTCACTCATGTCATGTGCATATATTACCATTACTTTTATTACTATTCGATTTGATTTTTCGAAGGGATTTTGAGTAGAATGTATTGGTATACACAAACACAAACCAGGGATTTTTGCCAGAAAATATGATCTAAAATTACATATCAAGAGTTATAATTTTGAAATCTCCTGTTTCCTAAATGTTCTTTCTTTCTTGTGGGCTGCTGAGTAATGAGAGTACCGCAACTTTCTCTATTGTCTGTCATGGTGTCATCGCCACATGCATTTTTTATTATATTTTTCTAAAAAATATGAAAAAAATGTGCAATCACTATCCCCTTGTCAAAAGCATAATCTGTCTTGTTGCAGCCGTGGAAATCACTTTGGCGTGGACCCTTTTCATGTGTGACAAATCGCGGTCGACCCATTATGTTTTCTCAAGTTGCACTTTCTTCCATATTTCTTATAACTTGCTAACCAACTAATTGACCTCGTTTAACCTTCTTATGTCTCATACGTAATGTTGTTTGGATACCACATTAACCCAAATAGAGTGCCTAAACATTTACGCAGTGTTTCATCACCACTAATAAATTCTTACTTTTCATTTTCACCTTCCAACTCTTTCTTTACTCACATCCTATGTTCCATATCCCTCCGAGCTTCAGCTTTTGTTTTCATTTCTGTAATTGTTTTCATAAAGTGTGATTAAAACTTGTGCTATAGGTGTATGGCCAGAATCTTCGAGCTTTAGAGATGAGGGGATGGGACCCATACCTTCACGGTGGAAAGGAACTTGTCAACATGATATCACCGGCTTCCGCTGCAACAGGTGTGGTCAAGTTCTTTTTCGTTTCACCTGTTCTATCAGTTTCCACCACAATTTTCCTATTTATAAGAAATCACAATTTTTCATTGTTAAATTAGATGTTAAAATCTTGATATTTATAGCACTTGTACATAGTTTGTCAACGGACAAACACTGATATATAGTAGCTATCGTTACTAGTCCAGTCTAAAAAAACTTATATCTTTATCATGTTCGAGTTGCATGTAATATAGTATAATTAATCCGAGAAAAGTGTCAAAGATCGAAAATAAAATTATGTCAAAAATTGACTTCTGTTAATGTCAGAAAAACAGATGAAAAAGGAGCTACAACTGGCTTTTGTTGAATGTGCCTGGAAAATGCTGCTGGTATCAACCATGGTGCAGTTGTTTCTTAGAAAAACATTAGCGCGATGAAAAAAATTGAAATGCTTGGCTAGCTAAGTGTTGTACCTTTTGATAATACATGCAGGAAGCTTATAGGGGCAAGGTACTTCAACAAAGGTTATCTTGCCTATATGGGAGGAGATGCAAAATTTAACAGTACACTGAACACAGCACGAGACCATGATGGTCATGGATCTCACACACTATCGACAATAGGAGGAAACTTCGTTCCTGGGGCCAATGTGCTTGGCTTTGGAAATGGAACTGCCGAAGGTGGTTCTCCTAAGGCCAGGGTTGCTACTTACAAGGTGTGCTGGCCACCATTTGAAGGTAACGAGTGCTTCGATGCTGATATCATCGCAGGCTTGGACATGGCCATACACGATGGGGTGGATGTTCTTTCCCTTTCTCTTGGAGGACTTGCTACGGATTACTTTGAGGATGGTGTAGCTATCGGGGCCTTTCATGCTAACATGAAGGGCATTCCTGTTGTATGTTCTGCTGGGAATTCCGGACCAACTCCTGGAACTGTCTCGAATGTTGCACCTTGGATAATAACAGTTGGTGCCAGCACCTTGGACAGAGAGTTTGAAACTGTTGTTCAACTCCACAATGGACAGCGCTTCAAGGTATATATTTCTATTTCTATTTTCAGTAGATGAGAAAGTTATGAATGTGTCCATATTACCTGTATATACCTGACAAATTATGAATGTGTTGAACGTGAATTTTTTCATCAACAACTCACTTTAGTCCAATTTTAATTGAAAATTTCATCCTTGGTAATCAGGGAACAAGCCTTACTAAAGCTATGCCGGAAAACAAGGTTTACCCACTCATCAATTCTGCAGATGCAAAATTGGCTAGTGAATCAGTTGAAGACGCGTAAGAACTGCTTGTTTAAAATTTTCCGATGATTTATTATGAAGTGATTTTGAAAGTGCAACATGGTTGGTGCAATTAATACGCTTGTCCTTGTGTATGCAGTACTCAGTGTCTGCGAGGAACAATTGATCCTGAGAAGGCGAGGGGCAAAATATTGGTTTGCCTTAGAGGTAACAATCCAAGAGTGGAAAAGAGCCTAGTTGCTTTGGAGGCTGGTGCAGCTGGGATGATTCTTTGTAATGACGAGTATAGTGGTAATGAGCTTATTGCTGATGCTCATCTCCTACCTACCTCACAAATTACTTACAAAGATGGTCTTGCTGTCTATGCCTATTTGAATTCAACCAAGTAACTTTTTTGATCCCTCCCTCTCTTTCAAACATACACAACCATTTCTCTTTTTCTAAGATTCTCTTGACAGTTAATCAAACCACATAACTACTGTTCCTTCAACATCTTTAATGGCTGTTATGTGATCATGTAACAGGAATCCGCTAGGATATATTGAACCACCCGAGACCAAGTTGCAGCAAAAGCCTGCTCCAGTCATGGCAGAATTCTCCTCAAGAGGGCCCAACATAGTCACGCTAGAGATCCTCAAGGTTTGCCCATTTGTCCATTATGCAGTTCCTTTTAAATTTGAACAAAAGTTAGATACACATTCCCTTATTTTTTTTCTTTATTATTATTATTATTAGATTCCGAGCATTACTTTATTAATCTGCAAGCAAATATGTATCATGCGGATTATCGAGATAAACCTCAGCTCTAAATTTAGAGAAACAAAACCAAAATCACGTCCGTCCCTAAGATCTGTCCTTCAAAAAAATATGTCCTTCAAATTGCGTGTTTCTGTGCCCCGACATCAAGAGTCACTTTCAAATGTTTGGTTTCTCTTTACAATAAGTCTTTTGTAACTTGTGGTTTTAGATTAATTGTGGTTCCTTTTTGTTCTGCACCTTTATCTCCAGCCTGATGTCACCGCTCCCGGTGTGAACATTATTGCTGCCTACTCAGAAGCCGTTAGCCCAACAGAATTGAGTTTTGATAAGCGCAGGGTTCCTTTTATCACCATGTCTGGAACATCCATGTCTTGTCCTCATGTTGCTGGAGTTGTTGGTCTTCTCAGGACTCTCCATCCTACTTGGAGCCCAGCAGCTATTAAATCTGCAATAATGACAACTAGTAATTAATTATGAGCTTTCAATTTAATTTTATCACCATACTTTGTATATCTTATGAAGTCCATCTGGTGTACCTTTATTTATATGTTTGCAAGTTGCTGTTTTTTTTTTTTTTTTTCTCTTTAGGACAATACTTTCTATGATTAATTCTATGAAAAACAAAGTGTGGCATAGTTCATAACACTTGCAATAACTGTTACACACGTTGTAGGAGTGGGAAATAAGTTTTGTCCTTTATTTTTACTGTGGTACAATCTGACATAATTTTTTGTTTTGTGTGGAAAATGTCATTTTTCAGCCAGGACAAGGGACAACACTGGTAAGGCAATGCTTGATTGGGATAATGGTAAGGCAACCCCATTGTCCTACGGGTCAGGCCACATCAGACCAAATCGTGCCATGGATCCCGGGTTGTTGTATGACTTAAGCATGAATGATTACCTAAACTTTCTTTGTGTCTCTGGCTATAACCAGACTCTGCTAAAGGCGTTCTCTGGTGCTCATTATCGTTGTCCTGATATAATAAACATCATGGATTTCAACTACCCTACAATGACAATACCAAAACTTTATGGGTCAGTTAGTTTGACACGAAGGGTGAAAAATGTTGGGTCACCAGGCACTTACAGAGCAAGTCTGAGAGTATCAGCAGGTCTTTCCATCTCTGTGAAGCCAAATGTGCTGAAATTTGACAAGATTGGTGAAGAGAAGAGCTATAAGTTGACAGTGGAAGTAACAAGCCCAGGTGATGATGAAGCATTTGGAGGCATAACATGGTCAGATGGGAAACATTATGTAAGGAGTCCAATTGTAGTTGGTGGGGTTAGAGGGTAGAGATTGTGATTTAGACGTAATCAGGAAGACACTTTTTTTTTTTTTTTAATCTTCTGCTTTTATTCTTTTCTATTTATAGGGAGAATGAATTAGATGTGAGAACAAAATAAGTAAATGTTTGTTCGTTATCCATCTCAATTCTTTCAAATATATAAGGGTTTCCACCAACTAATTTATAATTTTTTTAAGTCTCTAGAAAAAAGTCGTATACAAACACTCATATTTAGTTAACTGTCACTATATTTTAATTTTTTTTATTAATTTACTTTGCTGCAAATAAATGTTGGTCATAATGTTGATGAATTACAAAGATGCATTTTCAATAAATAAAAATTGTCCAAACAACTTTTATACATAGTTACCAGTTGTTACTTTATTTTAGATTTTTGCAGCAATCATGATATAGACTCAACAAATCGAGTTTTTTTTTTACATAAAAAAAAAACCAAAATAATGAATTATAAAGATTTTTTTAAAATAAAAAAGTTATCTATGACAAAGATATTAAATATTTGTACTTTAAATATGTAAATTATTTTAATGAAAAAATTATAAATTTATTAGCCTGTATTCTTCTTGTATTATGAAAAAAAATTAATACTAAAACATTTTGAAAGTTTAAGATTAGCATAAAATAACGAAAAAATTATTTTATTATTTAATAATTTTTTAAATGCTAAATATTAACAATTTGAAAGATTGTAAAGTTTTAAAATAAAAGATAGGAATTTCTATTACCGCTCATCTTATATATTATTTTGATTTGTCTGCATTTTGTTGCCCTCGTTACATCTTGTCGGTTGATTTATTTTCAATGAAAATCTGCAGAGTTTTTCACGTGCTGGATAAAACCCAATTCATTGATTTAGGTAAGCTTCACCAACAGTTGAATTTGGAAGTGGTGAGTAAAATTGTAATAGGCTAACATCCACAGATTTTGAAATTCATGAAATTCTAGATGCCAAAGTTCAAGCAGTTTGACTTCATGTTTAATCCTAGCTAAATCAAATCTCATAATCAATAAACACAATCCAATTAGTTCCATGCATCAATTTTCTATACCTAGCTTGTATTATTATATCATTCGGTCACCATAACAAAAAATATTCAATCAGAACCCTTCATACATAATAGCCAGGTTGATTTTAGAAGATATTTAGAAGACAATGGTGGGACTACCGTTAAGCCAAGGACTTGTTCTGTCCTTTTCCAGTATCTGTCCTGTAACAGTAAAATTCCAAAATGTGGGCATGCATGACAGATGTGGCTGCTGCCATAAACCAAGCAGAAAAGCAGATCCAAGGATCATAGCAATGAAAACGTGATTAGCCTCATGATACCCGCTATTTAGACTTGTGCGCATTAACAAACGGATCATTTGATTGTTGAATATTGAATGGCCCCATTGGGGTTCCTCTTTTGCTATAGATTGGCTCATCACAGGGCAACAATCATAAAAAGGGCTACCAGAATAACGATCCCAATAGTTCGTTACCAAAATCCGAAAAAGAAAAAGAAAAAATTCTAAAAAGTGGGGTGGCATGTTGTCCTTTTCATGCCCAAAATAACTGTAAAACGATGAAAACGCATAGTGTGATGCGTTGCAAGGAAGAAAACATGGTGTTCCGTGATTAGGAGTGGAGAGTAGGAAACGTTAAATATAAAACCCGATGGTTGTTTGTGGTGGCCAAAATTAGAGACGGAAAAGAAGGAGCAAAGCCCTATCTCAGATTGCTTTCGTTGGTGTCTTGTGCCAGGGGGGAACGGTGGATTGCATGAAATAAAATGTGACAGTGTGCTCATCATGCATGTGTTTGTGCGATGAGTTTAGAGACGGTTTTGGCTTTTATATATATGGCGTGGCGTATGTGTAACCACTACCATTTCTAATCATTTAACATAAGCATACGTTCCACCCTCAGATATACATACCCAATATATATACCTATCTTATCTAGCTTGGTTCATCGGTAGATCCCTTCGCCTCAAGATTGTGTAAAGGTGCCCCGTTACACTTTGGATCACCTCATCATGTTCCTATAATTATATATCTGTTGCATTTGTTCTCTTCCATAATAAATCTTATGATGCATTCATCAAATCTGAGATGCTCAAGTGCATGTTTCAATACTATCTGAGTTTTTGTGTTTGATCATGTGAAAATGATGAAAGTGGTTGGTGTATAAGTTGTTTGTAAATCTTGCAGTGTTTTACAAATGGAGCAGCAGAAGATGAAGAGAGCAAGACAAGGAGACGATGAAACTCAGAAGGAATGGTTTGAGCATGACAACAACGCAAAGAGAAGAGACGTGTGTGGCATGAAGTTGATGAAGGACGTGGAAAAAGAGAAGGAGAAGGAGGGTTGGTCTTCAGAGGCACGTGAGTCGCAGTTGGCACTTGGCGTCTTTGATTTCCCATGGCTGAAAGATGGTGTGACGTCTAAATCAGAGGGGTACTTTTTGGATTTTGAAGACAATTTCTCATCTTTGTTTGAACAAGAAGACGTATCCTCCAAAGCTTCTAGTGTTGATTTGTCCAATGCGTATGGCTTGTTTGAGACTCCCGAAGCCAAGTTGGAGGATATTGCATGGCAGCCATTTGAGAGTGATATGGTTGAGCATGAAGTAGAGGAAGATGTGGATTGCATTTGGAGCTCTCTCCTCAAACACCCTCTCTGATCACACCACCACCAACATTCTCTCAGATAAAGTTCAGAAGAAGGTACATTGGAGTTAGGTATAAAATAGTCCCAGTCCCAGACATTCTTCATCTTTTTCTTCTTCTCTTTCCATTGTAATTTAAATCCTTTCCTTTCTGCATGCATCTTAAAGACAGTGTCACCAATTTTGTCTCACCTTTCATTGATTGTCCAAATCAAATTACATAGATATATAATCAATTAAATCTGGAGTTGTAGCCAAATGCATGCATAGATACAAAATCCCTTCTAAGATCATCTCCTGTTCTTAAACAGGTTATTCAAATAAAATTTTATTTTTATATTGAAGAGGATGAACTGACAGTACATAGAATCAGTTTTATACACAAATTCTGAAAAACTTGTTTTTATATAAAAAAATCAATGATAAACAAAGAGAAAAAGTGATAAAGTTCAAAAATCCCAAAATGAAATATTGAAATTCTTGTCATAAATTTAGTGGAGGATCAAATCCTTTATAATTTGAATATGATTTAATCATATCACATTCGTCTCGTCCCAAGCCTCCGAGCTAGCACTACAGAAAATGCTCACGACAGAATGGCAGTGGTTGAGATGCGACAAGAGTTGAAGACTAGTGAAACGATGAACAAACAGAAAATGACTGCGTGACAAATTTCAGCGACAGAGATAACAAACAACAATAATATTGTCAGTCAGAAACACCGACGATGAATCGGCGAATATGTTAAACGAACTCAATGTAAAGAGATTGAAAATACTCTTAACCATTTTAAAAAGTTGGGGATTAGGGTTCCTCAATTGAATCTGTGTGTATTATCACACATTGGCTACACAAAGTAGCTTTCATTAAAATATCTATTTAGTGGAAAAATTAATCTAATAAATTGATTTCTTTTATTAAAATAAAAATATTTTTTCTCCCATAAACTTTTAGAAAAGTGAAATTAGAAAAATAAAATTAATGTATAACCTAGTTGGTTTGAATAAAACTAGGTTCAATGTTATGAATGAAAATAATATGTTGAGAAAAAAGAATCTACTAACACTGACTTTCTTAAAAATAATAGTCATTAATAAAAATCATGAGACTTATTTTTTCTTTAGAAAAAACCAGAAAAAAAAAACCCAGTACCCTTAGTTTTATTCCTCTTATAAATAAACATCCTACATTTTTATTTATCCTTAACAATTATGAAATTTTATAATTTTTATGCTCAAATACCATTAACTTTAATTATATTGAAACTTTAACTATTTTTAAATAAAAATATTGAGCTTTATTAAATTTTTCCTAAAATATAATTATTACCTTTGATATGGTTGAAAATGATTAACTTTATGGATAAAAATTAAAACTTTAACTTTCTTTTTTATAATTATACACGTTGAACTTTGATTATTGATCTGTATTTATCCTTTTAGGTCTTCGTATCCTTAAATACCAACTCAAGATAAAAGGCCTAACAATTTACTCATCTTAAATGTCAATAATTTCTTGTTTTTGTTAATAACTCGTTTTTCTGCAATTAAAGTTTCTATCGTTGACCTAATTTTGTTTTTGATATTTTTTTCTCTTATAATTTTTATGTAGAAATTTATGTAAAAAAAGAAGAAGAAAGAAACACCTCATTGTACCCATGTTTATTGTAAATTTAGTCTTTACTATTGTGACAAAGTAATATTTTAATGATTGTTAATTAATCTAATATTTAAAAATAATATTACTAATTAATCAATTTTCTATTTTTAATTGTAAAAATTATTGTTAATTTATTTTAAGAGAGTTGAAAGTCAATTTGATCCATATTATTAGAGATCAAATTAGTTGATGCTATTAAATTAATTTTAAATACAATAAACAAAAATTAGTGTTTAATCAAAAGATATTAAGATGCAAGAGATTGATTTTTTTCATGACTATTAATATTTTAAAACGATCAATTAAATATTAAATTATAATATTTACAAACCAAAATATTATTAAATTATGGTTCAAAACATATATCTCATATTTGTTTTACACATATTAAATTTACATAATAATCAAAACATTTATTTACTAGTTCTTCTACGACTTGAACATTGTGGATCTCTGATGTTAGAAACCAGCACTTGGAGAAGAATCCAACGTTGAAGATGGGTTGGATTTAGAACAAATTTCACCATCAAAATAAAATAATTTGTAAGAATAAATATGATAGTAGAAATGTACGTAAGTGAGTGTACGATCGTGTGTAGTTGGAAAACGCCAAAGAGGCGTGTGTGGTGATTACCTTGTTGGGCAAGGTCAGCTCAACACGGCCACCTGGGACACCATTTATAGCAAATGCAATACCAATATTACATAAAAAATCAATCTTTATTTTTTCCCAATTGTTTTTGTCGGTTTTAAGCATGCATTGTTCAGCGTTCAGTGTTTTTTATATTTGATCTTTCAATTCATGCCTCTGTCTAGAAAGAAGAAAGTTACCTTTGGCAAATAAACGACACAGCACGCACACAGAGACTGCCACACAGCTGAACACTGATTTGTTCGTTCATTCATTCATTATCTTTGTTTAGTGATTTTTGGTGGTATTGTCTTCAGATCTCTCTTATTCTCTCTCCTCTGTCTTCATCAATCCATGTTGCTTTAGCTGCCATCGATTGTCTTCAACTTCCTCTTCTCTTGTTTTTACATTACAGCAACAAAGTAGCTGATTTGGAAGAACGGGTCCTATCTGTTTGTGTGGTTTGTGGTCACAGTTAATACGCATCTCTCTGTTTACCACCCCAAAATGCGTTTTTCTCGCCAACACAATGTATGTGTTTCAGATTCGCTTCTTCCTCCTCTTTTTCTACAATTCTCAGATTTGTAACGTGCCGGCGAAAAACACAAAGTGGGTGTGTATTACTTTTTAAAAAGTTTGTGTCTTGTTGAAATTTCTTTGTTTTTGTTGTGTCAGTGCCCTATGAGATAGATTCTGCGAGGAAGCGACAGCAGAGCACAAGTTGTGGGTCCTTGGCGGCACTAATCATTGCAGTGGTGGGTTTGAGTTGAGATGGCGGCCACCAGAAATATTGTGTTGCTACTGCTTTCTGTTACTGTTGTTGCTCCGATTGTGCTCTACACTGACCGCCTTAGCACCTTCAAGTACAGCTTTGGTGTGTGTATGTGTCGCACTTTTTCTTAATATATTGGAGATTGCTTTTTTTTTTTTTTTAAATGCTCTAATCTTCTGTTTGCATTTGTCATGAGCTAAATTCTTTGTTTTTTTGGATTGTCTTCTGTATGCGTTTTGCAGCGGACCAGGAGTTCATTGAAGCTGTTACTGCCCTTGTGAGTAATATACCTAAAAATTTGAATTGTATTTAAGCAGAATGAGATATCTGACTTAGTGGATTTGCTATTCTTATGTTCCTTCAGGCTGTCAATGCAGCAGATTCTGGCCATTTGAATCTCCTGCCCCAGGCAAAGTTTCCTTCTTTCTTTTTCCTTTTACTCAATAACACATGTTTGTGAAGAAATTTTCCCTTGTGGCTGGCGGCTGCATGTACGGGTGAACTAAAATCCTTGACAATTTCTCATTTTGAAAACAGGAAATTTCTACTGCCCTCACGGAACCAAGTGGGGTTGTATATACCGAGAACACTACAAGTACAAAGAATTTGCCTCATGGTATTTTGATTCTCACCAAGATCTTTTTCTCCCCTTCTCTGCTGGGTTTCTGTTTCTTATATTTTTTTACTACTGTCTATTCTATTTGTTTGGTTGGCCTAGGCTCTCACTTTTCCAAACCGGGGGAGCATGCATCTGCCAGGGTATTGTCAGCTACAAATGAGGAAGGTCAAACTATAGGTGAGAACCCCATCAAATTGGTGACAGATGGAATTAACAGAGGAAATCAAAGCAGCAACCTGGAGAAAACTGATACAACTGGTGATAGTGTAAATGGGGAAGATGCAATTGATGTTGATGATAGTGAAGGAAAACTGGCTAAATCTATTGAAGCTTCTGATCAAGCATCTGAAACTATGGTAAGTGATACATGTGCCTCTTGATTTTTCTGCTTGTTGCTTTGTTAATTTTGGGTTCAAAAGTTTCTTTAGGATTCTGATCATGCTAAACAAATTATGCATGTCAGTACATGTATGTCTAGTAGTGGGTTATTCATCATCGATCAAGTATAATAACACTTGAGTGTTTCCGGTGCTTTAAATTGATAATCCTACCAGGAATTTAAGATCAGGCTGTTTGCGATGATAGCCTTGCCATACTTCATTCTTAATTGAAAATGTGTTCATGTTTTAATGTCCTTTTTGTGGAGTTGATACCATGGTAATCTAAACATGCAGGTAGGTTTGTACGCCCTTGTTAAACATATATTGGATCATACTTATTTGCAATATCTGTTTGAGACACAAATATTTTATATAGGATTTAGGGTGCAATTGTGGCAGTGTAATTATGTTAATAAATACATATTTTCCTTCTCTTATTCTCTCTTTTAGTTTTCATATATATATATATATATTGTGTGTGTGTGTGCACACACGGGAACCTGTGCAGTGTCTCTATGTTGTAGTGCTTCAAAAGAGCTCGAGTCAAGAGACTATCAAAATGAAAACTAATGCTAACTGCTATTTGAACTCCTAATCCATGGTCGTGTTTCCTGGACCATACTATAATTTAAATTATTTCCTTCCCTGACCTCCTGAACAAGGAAAAGGAACAAATTAAGTGTTGCCATCAATGCATTACTTTATTTTCATAACATACATGTTCAGAAAAAAATATCCTTTATAGGTTGAAATTTCCTTTATTACATTTGGTGCATCTTCTTTCAGGACACTAAGCAGGAACAACAACATACCGAATCTTCTGGTCAAGTAACGAAGAAAGGACCCTTATTATTGGAAACTGATAAGCATAATGACCCAACACCAGCTGATGCTCGAGTGCGGCAACTAAAAGATCAGCTTATCCAGGCCAAGGTATATCTTTCCCTCCAGGCTGTAAGGAACATTCCCCATCTCATTCGAGAGCTTCGATTACGGGTGAAGGAAGTGTCACGAACGCTGGGAGATGCAAGCAAAGATTCTGATTTGCCAAGGAAGTGAGTGTGTAGCTTTAAGAATCTTGTTATACATGTCACCGGGTTTTCATGTTTTAGTTTTTTTAACACCTTAGTTCAATTCTGCTCTGAGATGGATTTAATTATTCAGTCTTTAGTCTTACTTTATATTTTCTACTAATACAGTGCAAATGAGAGAATGAAGATAATGGAGCAAACATTGATGAAAGGAAGGCAAGTTCAGAATGATTGTGCTGCTGCTGTGAAGAAGCTTAGGGCTATGCTCCACTCAACAGAGGAGCAGCTTCGTGTGCACAAGAAGCAGACCTTGTTCTTAACACAGCTGACAGCAAAAACATTGCCTAAAGGTCTCCACTGTCTTCCATTGCGCCTTACATCCGAGTATTATAGCTTGAATACTTCTCAGCAACAATTCCCAAACCAACAGAAGTTAGAAGACCCTCAGCTATACCATTATGCAATATTTTCAGATAACATATTGGCAACAGCTGTTGTTGTGAATTCTACTGTTGCCCATGCTAAGGTAAATTATTTTAGGCAGAAATTTCTTAGGTTGTTTTATCTCCCAGGCTTATGAAACACCAATAAAGATTTGGTATGTCTTTGCAGTTGCATTACTAATCTGTCTATTTTGACTCAAACAAATTTGTTTCCATTTCATCCAGCCCCTATTGTTAGTGAAGAAATAAAAATGAAGAGAAAGAAACTGGAGCTATTTGATACTAACAGCAGCACTGTCATTTCTGATTATATCATTAAGAATGTTACTTTAATAATTTGCAGGACACCTCAAAACATGTTTTCCACATTGTCACTGATAGGCTCAATTATGCGGCAATGAGAATGTGGTTCTTGGTGAATCCACCACAAAAGGCAATCATTCAAGTTCAGAACGTTGATGAGTTTACATGGTTGAATTCAAGTTACAGTCCAGTTCTTAAGCAGTTGGGTTCTCCTTCTATGATAGATTTTTACTTTAAGACTCATCGAGCAAGTTCTGATTCAAACTTGAAGTTTCGGAATCCAAAATATCTATCTATATTGAACCACCTTCGATTCTACCTTCCTGAGATCTTTCCAAAGCTCAACAAAGTGCTATTCTTGGATGATGACATAGTCGTACAGAAGGATCTGACTGATCTTTGGTCAATTGATTTGAAGGGTCATGTTAATGGTGCAGTAGAAACTTGTGGAGAAAGTTTTCATCGCTTTGATCGTTATCTCAACTTCTCAAATCCTCTTATTGCAAAGAATTTTGACCCTCGTGCATGTGGATGGGCATATGGCATGAATATTTTTGATTTGGTCCAATGGAAGAGGCAAAACATCACTGAGGTGTACCACAATTGGCAGAAGCTGGTAAGCAAAACATCGCTTTCATTCGCAATATCATAATATGTTTCCTTATTTCCTATTAGTTATTCTATATTCTTTTTATCTTATCATGATTTGTTTTCTCAATTGGTTAGGATCATAATTAGTACAATTAAAGGTTAACTATAGGTTTTAACTCATCAATACACTGTAATGTAACACATCTAATTTAATAACAACATGGGTTTGCAGTTTCCTTAGTGGTATGACCTTGGTCTTGCAATTATATCCCAAGCACCTAATTAGACAAGGATATTGGTTTTAAAAAGGATTAATGCTCTGGGTTTCACATGGATCAGTACATTATAGTACATTTTTATTAATATCATTGTATATTTTCTTTTCCTCCCACTATACTTAAAATCTCATAATTTTCAACATAAACAATTTCATGGTGCTTAATATCGGTATTGAAATCAATGTAGAAGTGGCATGTGAACTGATGTTTGCTTTTGCCATTGAACTGACATACAGAATCATGATAGACAACTATGGAAGTTAGGAACACTGCCACCTGGTCTTATAACATTCTGGAAACGCACATTCCCACTGCACCGTTCTTGGCATGTCTTGGGTCTTGGCTACAACCCCAATAGCAATCAAAAAGACATTGAACGGGCTGCTGTTATACACTATAATGGAAACATGAAACCATGGCTCGAGATAAGTATTCCGAAGTTCCGAGCTTATTGGACAAAGTATGTTGACTACGATCTTGTGTATTTGCGAGAATGCAACCTCAATAAATAGATGGTACATTTAATCTTCAAAGTTTTCTTGGCATTTGGTATGTTCTTTATAGGTCTGCAATTCCATGTGTAGTAGGGCTTGTATTTTTTAAAGCTTTATAATTCTTTTCTATACATTTTCCATCAGTCAGATTTCAATTTCGGCATGGAAAAAGATCCCCAGCCAAAATCAATTTGATCACATACATACCTTCAGAGATGCCTCTTTCTCTCTCTCTCTCTCTACTTGTAAATGAAATGTTTGTCTTATTTCCTTAATTCCATTTATTTAATAGCTTCTAATCCAACCCAAATAACCCTTATTGGTTGAATAGAAGAAAAACACTTTCGGGGTATGTTTGATCACAACAATAGGTAAGAAGAAAATAGTCTTTCTAGTTGGATACACCGACAATTTAGTACCAGGTGGGTGAAGTGGTTAAGAGATGTTAATGAAGTGAGCAAAGTGAAACAAACAAGATTGTGTTGCGTGATGCTGAGGGATTCGAACAAGGCATCACATTCAAAGCAGGGCCCCAGAGACAGGCTGTTACTATTGCCATGCCTTGTAGAGATGTGATAGTGAGTTGGATTGAATTGAAAAACAAGGCTTTTGTGAGTTATGATCACGTGGTGGTGGAACCCGCTGCTATGTCAAGTGGACCTCATGAAAGAACTACCATTTCCGTCTTCTTCAGGGATCACATCACAGTACACCTTTCCCTGCAACTTCTCTCCACTTTTAAACTTCACATTTTTCTCGTGTAACTTTCCTATATCTTAAAGTCTCACCTTTTTCGGAAATATATAAGATCTAAGGTTAATAGTGTCGGTTGATAAGATTTGTTTTCTTGGTTGGGTGAAGCAAATATCTAGCCTTGTTGGTTGTAAGATAATGTGATTTATGTTTGGGTGAAGTTATGAGAACTACTGAGTCATCTTAATATGGATGATGATTAGAAGGAATTGAAGTACCTGAAGAGCATCATCAGCTATCCTTTTTCAGCTCCGTCTTGTGTTTTCCAAATTTTATATTAATAATTGATTTTGGCTATGAATTGTTTTAATGAGCTCCATGTACATCCTGTGAATTCCACACATCTCATGAATCTTTCTCTTCTTAGTTAATAGTCTAGCAGGTAAAAAAGTGTCGAATTTGAAATTTTTTACTCATAAAAAATATTTTGATATCTTTTAAATATGGTGAAACATTTCATTTTTATGATTTAGAAAGGTTGATAATTAAACTGTTGAAAGAATCATAAAATAATAATTAAAATTAACACATGAGTGAATGACGATAATTAGCAACAGGAATCAAATCAGAAAAGGTTAAAAATCATTGACCAATCAAAATTTACTTTAGAAACTAAAATAAGAAATCTAAGAAAACTTTGGGACTAAAAATATAATTAGTCCTATTTTACTTATTGATAATTTCATTTAAGTTAGAATTACAGATATTGAAAATGTTGACCTAAAAGAGATATGAAGTCAAGTCAAGTTAAACCGTTCATTAATATTAAAAACAAAAGAGTATATACTATAGGACGTTAGGAGTGTGTTAAAATTAAAAAATAAAATTATATATATAATACCACTATTATCTACCACACATTTAATAATTCTCAATGGTACAATTTATCATCAAAACTCGATTAAATAAAAAGTTTTTATCATTTACACGCTTACAGAAAATTATATCAGTATGTAGTATATATATGCATGTTATATATCAAATTGACATTAATATATAATTTTTTTATGTATACAAATACTATTTCATTATTTTATTGTTATTTTTTCCTAAATTTGACATCATACTAAAGATAATATATCATTTTAACGGTTAGATACTAAAAAAGTTATATTCTATAATAAATTACTAAAAGTGTTCATTGATATAATTTACATGTATCACTTAATCTTTTCCTCTGTTTCTCTCTCTCTCTCTCTCTCTCTCTCTCTTATATATATATATATATATATATATATATATATATATATATATATATATAAAATAGAGACATAAAAAGTATATATTATTCAAAGTAATAATAATAATTATAGCAGTAAGTAAATATCAATCTAATGCTCACAATCTAGTGTCTTTACATTTTTAATCTACAGTGTCTTTTCATTTTTAGTATATGTAATTTTTTAGTTTAAGTTCATAACCTCGTTAAACATTTGTTCTCAAGGTTTTTATAAAAAATGTTCAACGAACATCAACATAAAGGATTAAAAATCTCATCATAAATCACATTAGTAATAGTTTAAAGGGATTAAAAATGAAAATATAAACTAAGAAAAAAATTATATCTATAGGCACAATTAAATATTAAAATCTTAAATACAAGGGATAAACTTAATTTAAAATAATTTGTATTTAAAAGTAATTTATGAAAACTAGATAAATTTGAATCTCAATTTTAGGGATGACTATTATTGCAATTTTATGCGAATGAAAATATTGTTAAAATGACACGTGGGATGTATTCATTGTAATTAGGGATGACAAAACATATCAGCGGACTGACCTGTCAGTCATCATAATATAGTGAGACGGACTAATATTTTCAACCTGTTAGCCCGTTTTGGTTCGTTCTATCAATCCGTTAGGCTAACCCGCGAGGTGGGACAAGCTAACTCATGACTCGCTTTACTAATAATTTTTTTATTGTAATAAAATACAAAGAGACAGAAAAACAATATATAATATAAAGATTTATGAAAAGAGAATTCTAAAAGTCTTTGTGTCTCATAAAGAGAGAAATCATTAAGTCTCGAGTATCTTACTACTAAGAGAATTGAAAAAATTCTATAATTACTTAAACTCACATTACGAAAAAACACTTTCATTTCTCAAGCACAAACCCCTCTCTCTCTCCTCTTACTCATCATCTTCTTCTTGCTCATCCTTCTTCATAAGGTAAAAATCATATATATCTCATATTTTTTTTACTTTTCAAATACTTGGAAAGATTTTGACATTGATTGTTTTGAATTGAAGATGTAAAAATTATTCAATGGGAGAATAATACGAAATTTTATCAAATAAATAAATATAATGTAATTTTCATTTAAATGTTTAAACTTTTCAATATAAAAAATAAAGATTTATTAAATTTTTACTATTATGTACATGTATTTATTATTATATAAATTTTATCTTAATTTAATTGTTCTAAAATATAATTTATTAAAATAATATATCAATTTATATTATTAACTTGAAAAAAATATATATATATATATATATATATATTAAATTATTAATAATGATAATTTTATTATTAAATTTATTGAAAGATTTGATTTAAAAATAATAAAATAAAATAAAAATAAAAAATATGACAGATCAATCCAGTCAACCTATCCTTTAATGAGACAAACTAAGACATGTAGTCCACCATAACTATACCGGACTAATCCACCCTAATTCATTTTTAACGGACCAAAAACGAGATAGACTAAAACGATTTACCATCCAAATTGTAATCCTATAACTTAGTTAAACACAAAATAATTCTGTTAAAAATTAGGTGTAGGAGACTAAAAACGAACTTTATTATATTAAAGAGATAAAAAAATATTTAACCTTTAATTCAAATAAACAAGTAGAGAAGCATAAATAGTTTGGATTATAAAAAGACAATATGTTAATGGTGAAGGTCATATTTGTAATACAATCAATAACATCTGCCAGCATGCATAAACAATGTATTGACTTCGATGAACCAGGAAAGCTTGTTTTTTTTTTTTGGTTTGCTGCAGAATAACTTTCTTTACTGTATATCTACTTCCAATAGATACTAAAAAATTATCATAAATAACATTTGTATTTGTACATACGCATCTACAAGTAGGCATCTGACACAATTTCTCTTCTACCCTGTTTGACCTCTATAGATTTTACTTTCAAAGATACAAAATTCAATACATAATGAAAGCAAAATTTTCAGTGAGCTTCTTGTAAATAACTTTAATCAGTCATGGTTGTAATCGTACTCTACGAAGTCAGTATATAATGGAGTGCCATCCTCTGCTTGGTGAAGTAGGGAAAAACAGTCATCACAAAAGTAACAAGGGTTTTCTGGTGTCCATTTGTCATCCACAGTGATCTTTGTAGCTCTGAATATTTTGCAAACAGTACACTTCTGAAAACGCAACTTCAGTTGAAACGTGATTATTGGATAAAGAGCTCGATTGTGCACGTCATCGAGATGAATTAACCTCATATCTCGTATCACTAAAGTATGGGTGCAGTTACCCTGCAGGTTCAACGCAGAAAACAAACCACATTAATTGTTTTTTAAGTTATAACTTCAAGAAAAACTACACAAAGTATACACATACAAATTCTATAAATATATAAAAAATAATACTCTCAATCTGGTATGAAACATCATCTTATTTGGGACTCAACAAAAGGTCATGTTTCCCCTCTCCCAGAGCTCAATAAACCATATCCCCTTTTGATTTGTATATGGATGGATCATTAATGGCCTCCTCATATGTAATTGAATCAGTTGGCACCCATATTAATATAATTACTTGCCCTTTAAGAGGTAAAACTTGCAGTGACCTGCCCTTTTGTCATTTAACCAATATTGAAAGTAATAACAGCCACTGATAAGTGCAGAAAAACAGGTACTGGTTTTAGAAATTCTTTTTCCACCCTAACCCCCAGAAAAGGACTTGCATATATGGTCTTCCCTGTGTCACCTTTGTTGGAATAAATTAGAAAATATATGTAATCATTATACCTAAGATAGGAGGTTGAGTGTTAGATAATCTCTGCAGGGGGTTGAGTGTTAGATAATCTCTGCTCCTAGTTCTGAGGAGTAATCTAGGATTGTGCATTTAATGTAATCTCCCTATTATATCAGTTTGTATTTATATAAATAGATAACTATGAGAGGGGTTCTTTAAGCCCTCTAAAAACACTTTTTCTCTGTTTTTGAATATCAAGTTGGTATCAGAGCGGGTCGATCCCGCTCTGCCTATTTGTGTAGTATCCGGCACCGTCCGCCGCCACAGGCCACCGTCTCCGGTCGTCCAGTTTTCGCCGGCGACCACCAGATCTGAATCGTCTCACCGTGCGACAGCTAACCCCGTCGGTCCCGGAAGCTCGTTCTCCGTCACGCGCCGCCTCTTTCTCCGCTGCATCTAGCGCGTGTCATCCACGCGCCGCCTTCTCCGTGTCAGAACATCGCCGCACTATCTCTATTAGGGTCGTCGGAGCTTCCTCTCCCTGTTCTGGCCCTCAGAACTTCATTTCGGTGAAGTCCAGTAGTCACCCTTGCGAAAATCATTCTTGGGCTTTCGGACTTCTTTGCTGTTTTCGCCCCCTCTCACTGGTCTTTGTCCTCTTGATCAGAAATGGCTTCAATTTCATTCTCTGGAAGCCCCTCCATTACTTCCGAAAAACTAAACGGACAAAATTATCTATCTTGGTCTGCTACCGTCGAAATGTGGTTTCTCGGTCAGGGGCATCACGACCACCTTGAAAAAGACGGAAGCCATGTGCCGGAAGAAAAAGCTTAACAGTGGAAACAGGCAGATTTTCAGCTATGTGCTCTATTGTGGCAATCAGTGGAGCCGAGACTTTTGATGTCGCTTAGAGCCTTCAAAACTTGTCACTCCTTTTGGAAGAAAGCTCAAACCATTTATGCCAATGATATCCAACGTCTCTACGATTCCGCAAATAAGCTGGCATCTCTAAAAATGACAGATCATGATATGGTGTCCTTTATGAATGACGCCCAGTCGGCTGTGGAAGAACTAAAGATGTTCTTGGAAGTCGATTCCTTAGATGAAATGAAAAAGAAGCTTGACAAGTATTACATGGTGATGATCCTTCGCGCAATACATCCTGACTTTAACCATATTAGAGATCAGCTTCTGACCACTTATGAAGTCCCTTCCATGGATACCCTTATTACACGTCTTATTCGTGTACCAATGTCTGAGACTCAGGAAGCTCTGGCTCTAGTGGAACCATCTGCCATGGTTGCCACACGAGGAAGAGGAGGACGTGGAGGTCGAGGACGTCCCCAATGCACCTACTGTAAGAGGATGGGTCATACACAGGAGAACTACTACTCCTTGCATGGTTTTCCTCCCAAAACCGCCAATGTCTCGAAGGCTGAAACCGTCAACTCCAAGTTCACTGAGGACGAATACCAAGAGTATTTACGGTTGAAGTCTAATAGCTTGGCACAGACCTCTCAAACTGCCAGCACATCAACTGCTTGCATTTCTCAATTTGTGGAGGGTCAAAATTCATGGGTAATTGACTCTAGTGCTTCTGATCATATATCTGGTAATACCTCCTTGTTCTCAACTATTTCCTTTCAAGAAAAACAACATTTCATAACCCTTGCAGATGGCTCTAAAGCTTCCTCAAAGGGAGTGGGCCAAGTTTCCTTATCTCCCTCCATAAGCCTAAAATTTGTCATTTTTATTCCTAATTGTCCTTTCAATTTAATTTCCTTAAGTCAGTTAACCAAAACCTTAAATTGTTCAATAACCTTCGATAACAAATCTTTTGTTATACAGGAGCATGGTTCGGGGAGACGGATTGGAGAAGGATATGAAGCTGGAGGATTATACCTTTTTTGCCCTCGTCCACGTGTGTCATGTGTTGCTACTCCGAGCCCTAAAATGTTACATGATCGGCTTGGCCATCCTCATTTGTCAAAATTAAAAAGAATATGTCCTAAACTTAGTGGTCTTCAGACCTTAGAATGTGAGTCATGTCAACTAGGGAAACATGTTAGATCTACCTTTCCTAAACGGTCTCAATCAAAGTGTACTTCCAGTTTCTCTATTATCCATTCTGATATTTGGGGACCCAGTCGCATCTCATATTTTGGTTTTCGGTATTTTGTTACATTCATTGATGAATATTCACGATGTACTTGGGTTTATCTTATGAAAGATCGCTCTGAATTGTTACCCATCTTTACATCCTTTTTGAATGAAATCAAGAATCAATTCAGTCAAGTAATCAAAATTTTAAGAAGTGACAATGCTAAAGAGTACTTCTCATCCATCTTTTCTGCTATTTTGAGTTCACATAGAATATTGCATCAGTCCACCTATCCTCATATACCACAGCAAAATGATATATCAGAAAGAAAAAATAGACATTTGATTGAAACTGCACGTACTCTTTTGCAAGGTGCTCATATTCCTGTCCATCACTGGGGGAATGCCATCTTAACTGCATGTTTTCTTATTAACAAGATGTCATCTTCCTCTCTCAGTAATAAGATCCCTTTCTCCATTCTATTTCCAAATAATCCTCTCTTTCACACCTCTCCTTGAGTTTTTGGTTGTGTATGTTTTGTTCATGATATATCTCCTGGGTTAGACAAGCTTTCTGCTCGTGCTATCAAATGTGTCTTCTTGGGCTATTCCCGCCTTCAAAAAGGGTATCGGTGTTACTCTCCTGAAACCAAGAAGTACTACATGTCTGCCAATGTTACATTTTTTGAACAGACTCCTTACTTTTCTCCTTCTGTTCAAGATGTTCATGTCATACAGCAGGTTCTTCCCATTCCAGTAGTTGAGTCTAATATTTCCAATGTCTCTATTGATCTCCGTAGTGATCCAAGTCTTCCTGAACCATCCTCCCCTCAAATTGATGTTGTCAATCATAGGACCCCGATGGCTAGTCGTGTTCTCCAAGACGAGGGTGAATCCCCCACTTTAGATTCTTCTCCAACATCGCTTCCTACCATGACTCCTGGTGGAGGTGATTCAGGATGGCTCATTGCTCTGAGAAAAGGTACTCATTCCACTCGAAACCCACATCCTATTTATAATTTTCTTAGCTATCATAGGTTGTCGCCTTCCTATTGTTCCCTTTTATCCTCAGTATCTTCTATTGCTATTCCAAGAAATGTGGAAGAAGCACTTGATCACTCTGGATGGTGACAAGCCATGATTGCAGAAATGCAGGCTCTTGACCATAATGCTACTTAGGAGCTCGTGCCCCTTCCACCAGGCAAAAAGGCAGTTGGTTGTCGCTGGATATATGCTGTTAAAATCGGCCCTGATGGTGCAGTTGATCGGCTCAAGGCTCGGTTAGTTGCAAAAGGGTACACTCAGGTTTATGGCCTTGATTATTGTGACACTTTCTCTCCCGTGGTCAAGATGACCACTATTCGTCTGTTTTTCGCAATGGCTGTCATTCGTCACTGGCCACTTCATCAATTAGATATCAAAAATGTCTTCCTACATGGTGATCTTGAGGACGAATTTTACATGGAGCAACCTCCTGGGTTTGTTGCTCAGGGGGAGTCTGAACTAGTATGCAAATTACATCGTTCTTTATATGGCCTCAAGCAATCACCACGTGCTTGGTTTGGAAAATTTAGCTCCATTGTTCAAAAATTTGGGCTAAAACGCAGTGAAGCAAATCATTCAATCTTTTATTGTCATACATCTTTGGGTAAATGTGTTTACTTAATAGTATATGTTGATGATATAGTCATTATAGGAAATGATACTATTGGAATATCTCAACTGAAGGAGTACTTGTGCAGACATTTTCAAACCAAGGATTTGGGAAGCCTAAAATACTTCTTGGGCATTGAAGTAGCTCAATCAAAAGATGGAGTTGTAATCTCTCAGAGAAAATATGCTCTTGATATATTACAAGAAACAGGTATGATTGACTGTAAACCTGTAGAGAGTCCTATGGACCCAAATAAGAAATTAACAACAGAAGAAGGTGAAGTATTCTCTGATCCAGAGAGATATAGGAGGCTGGTCGAAAACCTGATTTATCTCACTATTACAAGGTCTGATCTATCTTTTGCTGTTGGAGTGGTTAGTCAGTTCATGCAGGCTCCATGTGCTGGTCATTGGAATGCTATCATCCGCATTCTAAGGTACCTTAAAAAGGCTCCCGGACAAGGATTGTTATATGAAGATAAAGGAAGCATTCAGGTCACTGGGTACTGTGATGCAGATTGGGCAGGTTCACCTGTTGATAGACGGTCTACCGCTGGATATTGTGTCTTCCTTGGAGGAAACATTATTTCATGGAAAAGTAAGAAACAGAATGTAGTGGCTCGATCGACAGCTGAAGCCGAATATAGGGCAATGGCGTCACTATCTTGTGAACTTATATGGGTGAAGCAGTTCATTCAAGAGCTTAACTTCTGTGATATCCAGACTATGAAGATGTATTGTGATAATCAAGCTGCTCTCCACATTGCATCAAATCCCGTATTTCACGAGAGAACTAAAAATATAGAAATTGATTGTCACTTTGTTCGTGAAAAGTTGTTGACAAAAGAAATATGTACCGAGTTTGTTGTATCAAATGACCAACTCGCAGATGTGTTTACCAAGTCCTTAAGGGGACCTCGGATTGAGTTCATTTGTTCCAAGCTTGGTACATACAACTTGTATGTTCCAGCTTGAGGGAGAGTGTTGGAATAAATTAGAAAATATATGTAATCATTATACCTAAGGTAGGAGGTTGAGTGTTAGATAATCTCTGCACCTAGTTCTGAGGAGTAATCTAGGACTGTGCATTTAATGTAATCTCCCTATTGTATCAGTTTTTATCTATATAAATAGAGAACTATGAGAGGGGTTCTTTAAGCCCTCTAAAAACACTTTTTCTCTGTTTTTGAATATCAAGTACCTTAATCCATCGTTTGCATGGTCTGTATGGCTTACTTATTTAAAGAACATGTTTTACTGAATAAAACCAACAGACCATCTAGCGTCAAGTGATGGAGATGAAAGCATGCTATTTGACATTTTCAAAAATCCCTTCAATAACATACCAATTAGTCTGAGACAAAAAGAAAGTACCTGATGACAATAGAGATATCCAGCACCAAGTCGAAAGCTTAAGTCACAAAAACGTATCTTTTGCATCTCAATGGATCTAAAATGAGGTAACTGAGATGCAGATTGTTCACCCATGATTGCCTTTTGTTTCTTCTGCAATTCCCCAGTTATAATATATTCCCATTTCTTTTGTGCTTCCTCCTTGGAGTTTTGGAGCCAATCCAGTATAGGTCTTGTGAGATCAATAGCAGATGGATCCCTCAAATCAGGGCAGAATACATCCTAAAGAGAAATAGATTCTTGTCAGATTCAAAGAAGAAATAATTAGCATATTAATATCAAAAGAGTAAGTGATCATGCATACTTCGATGAGAAAATAACCAGAAGGATCATGCTGCCCAGCCTTATGCATCACCTGGTCTGTTGAGCAAAAGATCTTGTCCCTAAGAGCAGTTAACATCTGCCCTCCAAGAACTAACAACTCTTGGATCTACTTAAAAATTAAAGAACAGAAATCCTACTAGTTAAACAGCTATTTGATGATGGAAGGTATACATGATTCCTTCAATAATTCAAATATTGAATTTAATTTTCATTAATACCAGCATGGCATTCCATACCTTGGTACCCTTCCGAACATTATGGTAAACCTCAACAGACAGAATAACTTCTGGATACTGCACAGGTATGTATTCCTGAAAGCTGACTGTGTTCACCTGCCAAACATTAAATCTAAAATATGATAGGGAACACAAATGAAAATATGTGGGGAAATGCATAAGGTTCATTCTTGCTTGGACATGTTTATAATATCAGCTTTGCACTTGCAGCCATTCAAACATGGAAAAACCAACTTCTGTAAGTACTTAGTAGTCAGCTGCAAGAAAGTTACTTATGAATATAAAACAAGAAACAAACTATACCACCCAATAGAGGGAACCCTTAAGTAACTCGTGATATAATTTCTCAAGGACATTCATGTTTTACTTGAATATTATTTCTCATGAACTTTCATGTTTTATATGCTTTTAATTCGAGATAAAATATTTAATCCAACTGACAAAGGACCAAAAGCCAAAAGCTTAGGCGTACATATGAGAGACTATAACGATCTCCTTCAACTCATCTAGAAGTTTGATACATCAGTAAAATATTTCAAATGGAACCAAACGATCTCATTCGCAACAATAATCACATAAGAATTTCAGTTAACCTTTGTGGTAGAGCTTGTAGACCTAAGGGTCCTCATCCTTTCTGTTTTAGTTGGCTTAAGTGCAGCTTCATTGATCCTGCAAGCAGGACTAAACAAACACAAGGTACATGAACATCTTATATATAAAATGGAATAATCACATAACTATTAGTAATACCAACTTAAATGAATGAAGCTTGACTGCTGCTTTGTCTTCTTCCTGCTTCTGTTTGATTCTCACCACTTTCTCCACCTTTGCTATACAATCACTCTGAAAATTGATCATACATAAGACTAGTTACATAACATAACAACACCCCCCTCCCATCCACCCAAAAAATTTGTTTAGGCTGTATATTATTAGACTTGACATATTTGATGCTAAACATGATTTAGCATATTATTCAATAGTTAAATGGTCCAGAGATCTGGATACATATTCATCTCTAAGTCCTGTGTGAAACAATTTTAAACTGTTTGCATAATCTAACTAAATTATTCTAATAGCAAACATAATCAAACTCATGAAAGCATATATAGAAATTGAAAATGGTTAAAGGCTATGAATCATGAACACACTTAATATGCTTATCAAGTTATCCTAAACTAGGACACTTTATTTTCAAATGACATGTAACACTAGCAACCGACACCAAGCTGTAAGTAATATCGTCAAGCGTTTATGTTCTCCTACAGAATATTCTCCGGCTAGACTTTAGGACAATATCTTGTGATCTCTCGTGTATTTTAAAGGACTAGATTTGTCAATTTAATGAGATAAAGGCCAGAGAAGCATTCCCAAAACCTTTCTGTAGTTTTTTCATGATATCACTAGATCATCAGAGACTATATATCATTTCTGTGGTTTTGGTGGTTTGTGAAGGAGATCTCTATCATTTTCTTAGTTTTCTCCATGTATTGCCTGGTCTAGCAGGCATTGTGAAGGAAGGTATTGGACAGTCACCCATTATTTGTCTCAATTATTTAGGAGCAATGGATGTTTTTTGACATTTTGCTAGGAGCATAAGAATAACAATTGAAACTGAATGATATTGTTTTCTTCATAAACCAAAATAAACTACTAACAATTACAAGTTAGAATGAGTAATTCTCAACTTCTAATACATGTAATAAACCTTTATATTATCTCCTCAGGCATTAAACTGACAAGAGGAATATAATATATGCATCAGATAGTTATAGGGAAACATAAATGTTTTTAGAGAGTTAGCATACGGCAAGAACAGAATTATTTGCTCCACTTCTCTTTCTTTTTGATTTCTTCTCACCACACCTGCAGCCAAATCAACAAGAATTTCTTAAAATTAATTTGTTAACTGAGACAAGTTCAGACAGCAAATGGAATGAATAGGATACACATTCTTTGTCATTGTGAACCTCCCAGCATACGCACATTTAGATTCTGTACAAGTATAATAAAACTACTTAATTTTCTATCACTTGATAATAGATCACAAATACATAAAGTTACAACCATATCTGCAAGAGATTTCATGGAATGAATGGGCTAAGTTATCAATATTAGATTGCGGCCTGAGCCAACTCTAAAACTGCTACAGCAGGATACAGTGAAGCAGGATGGTCACTACTTTAAATATTATATTACAAACTAAATAATTTACATTACACATACAGATACTCAAACAAAATAAATAAACAAATCCATGATAAATAATAAATAAGTCACAGTTTACACACAGAGCAATAAGAACATAGTAATGAAAGATGATGATGATGAAATTAAAGGGAAAAAACATTACAAATTATATAAAAAATACCAAAATTTGAACTAAGAAGTTTACAGAAAGAATAGAACACAAGGGAAAAAGTTCTGTATAATGGAAGGAGTATGTCTTCCTGTAGTACTAAAAACTTTTTCCTCTGGTGTGTTGATATTTCATTGACTCGTAACCATAATGGCCATGGACTATGTATGCATACATGATGGATACACTTAGATACATGTCATATTTAATTTATCAAGAAAAACTGGGTAAACTGTGAGGGTGAGATTAGGTGCAAGATGATACAAGACTGGCCACGCCTTGATGACTAGCTAGATCTTTTTCCCCTCTCCAAAAGAAGACAATTTTTTATTAAGATCTATAGTTTTTCTCCTTTCTCTCAACTTCCCAGTTTTGTTTTCCCAATCAATCAAACTTGTCCACCCTTGCAACAATAGCAGTAGCAACAGCAATGACAAAAAATAAAGACTGACCTTGCATTGGGTTGGTCCAGATGTGTCGGAAGATTTTCATCATTCTCCCTACCCTGTAATATGACTTCTATTACTAAAGTAATAAACCAAAGGAGTGAAACTTAAAGAACAACATCAATAAAATAAAAAATGAGTAGAGACTAGTGCATATTGTATATATATACCTGAAATACTTCTTTGAGAGCCATATCCATCAACTGGTCCTCTGTAAATATCTTAAGGTCATCCACCCTGCAAAGACAATCATCATTATAAATTAAAGGCGACTCAAGAAAGATGCAGTGGTAAAGAGGAACAGTGTGTACGAGATATCCAGGTGAGAGAAATCTTCAGACAATTCGGCCTCGAGATTCTGCATGAAAAGGAAGAAATTAGAAAAAGAAAAGATTTAAGGGAAGGGAGAGATGAGAGATAATGAGCTAACCTGAAGTTCGGAAAGAAGGGAAGTCTGAAAGTGAGGAACCCTAGTGGGGGGGCCGGCCATGTTAGGTACGTAAATGGGTCCTCCCCTTGGAATTGGAACGGAGAGATCGCATTCTGCTGCCTCTGGAATCGAACATTCCATTCCTCCTTCTCACTGATATAATCAAGTTCCAGAGCAGAGAGAGCCAATTTTAAAATTTAGTGATAGAGACACAGGGCAGTCATTGTGTATAATATGTATAATGTATTGTATTCTCAATCAAAAGCTAGGATGATAAAGGAGCACAGTTCACTACTCTCAATATATACAAGTAATTTAGCCCCTACATTGCACGGATAAATTTTCCATGTAATTTTTTCTATCATAATTAATTATAGTACAAATGCAAAAGATTGTTCATATTATAAATATAATAAATATATGTCAAATCAACTTGACAAAGTTTATGAACTTTGTTCCCAGAATGAATGTCAACATAATAAACTAACATAATTAAAATTAGTTTGAGATCACAACATTTAATTGAAAACAACATTCTTGTGAAGTTCCCATTTTTGCATTGTTGTTTCATGATTATCAACCACAATATTCCATACGGTTAAAGTAATAAATATCATAAGTAACATATTTTTTGTCTAAACTGTTTTTCTAATCAAATAAATAATAAAAGTATTTTTTTTAAAATGACATTAAACACAAAATAATGTTAATAAATATAGTGTTGAATAGTATAACTAAAGTGAAGATAAATAAAAAAATAACATTTTCAGTTAAAACATATAGTTAAAGTAAAAATTAAGAATATATTTATTAACAAATTAATTAAAATATTTTACAATTTTAAGTTAATGGTAAATATATTTTTTATTTTTTACTTCAAATTTTATTTAATTAAAAAAATAATTTCATAAAATATTGAACAAAATATATGTTATTGAAGGTTTTTATACTCCAGAACTTTGTAAAAAATCTTTCATGTAGATATTTCACAAGCTTGTTTTACAAAACAATGACTAAATCTAATTCAATAAATCGTGTTTTCTCACTTAATTGACTATGGTTGGTTAAGGTACTGAATTTCAATCAATGGGGAAAAAAGGGAAACTATCTCATCACTCTTAATAGATAAACATAACATAAAAAATTCATTTGTGAATTAAGAAGTGTGCCATGCAAAATGTGGATTCACATAGTTGATCTTTATGAAATATTTGATACACATTAGGAAATGACATTGATAACATTTCATGTGCCAGTGTATTATTATATTATTTTTTATATTTAGTAAATATGACATTAAGTAAAACAATAAAATAAACAATTGTTTTTCTATAAAAAAAAATACAGGCAATATTGTGAATCAAATTAACATAGTTTTTGGTTGGATGGAAATGGAGGAAAGAGGAATTTCTTTTAAAAAGAAAAATCTTGTTTGGTTCAACTTTAGGAGGGAGCAGAGGTGGAAGGACGCAAAAACCCTTCTCATCCAAGTTTTGCTTCCTTCCAATATTAGGGGAAAGGAGATGATCTATCTTAAATGTCGGTGGGGCTTACCTCAACCTCACGAAATCGATTTATAAGATAAGAGTTATTCTCTATACAATGTGAGGTGAAGGTTACACTCCATTTATATACTCTTTTCAGGTTATATCTCTAAACAATGTGAGAGGTATGAAACTAAAATATTTTTTCAAAGTCCATCCCTTCCTTTGTGAAGCAAATTTAAATCCCTCTCTTCCCCTCCTCCAAACCAACAGGATATCTAAACAAATCCTTCTCCTTCCTTCCCTTCCCCTCCCCTTTCCACCATTTAACCAAATAGTCCCTAATTATTTCATCCCAACATGATAATCCTGACTCTATAATTAAATCATAACATAACCCCATCATGATAATGCTGACCCCATAAATTTTAGATAACAAAACATATTCTTTCTACTATCATGCTTAAATTTCAGACAGTAACACAATGTTAATAGCAAAAACTATTCACCTTTTTTTCATCATTTGAGTTCAAAAATAAATTAATTGAGTCCCATGAGTTTTTTATCCTGACAACATGGTTTGAAATAACATGAGTAGAGAAACAATAATATCTCAATGCGCAGTTTCGAATGTTAAGATTGAACATATGGAGATTATGTCTCAAAACAAAACAAAAAAAAAACTAATACTGCTTAAATATTTTAACATTAAAAAAAAAAAATACTTCCAAAATCCAAACATTAAAATAACTCTAACGCACTAAACCAGCAGTGGTTTCTAATCAGTTCAGAAATACACAACAAAAACAAGTGACTTAACTAAAAATGTAACCAAACTAAAGATAAATTATATATTCAAATTTGTTATGGCTATAAAGATGGGAACAACTTAGCTAATGGAACTTTTAAAAAAACCTGATGTAACTTGTTTTGATTTGCAATTTAATGTTCAAAATGAAGTCAGCTTTTCCCCAGTAATTTCTTCAATTTCCCCAGTAACTTCTTTAAATATTCCTGTACCAAAAGAAAAGCTTTTAAAACAGGCATCGGCTGAGAATTTTATGAACACAGGAATACAAGTTAAATAAAACGAAATCCATGTCCTTCAAATATCAATTACAAAAGTGTTCAACATAAGCCCAACAACTCAAACCCAACATGTCAATATTCTATAACCTGACTGACATGACTTCCATGTGCACATCTTTATATCATTTGACAAGCAACCCCATTGGTCTTAACCTTGTCAGCATTCAAAAACCCAAAAGTCTACATCACTTGCTGAATGTGAATATAAACTGATGAAGTGCTCCACTAAAAGAATTCTTCTGAAATTCAAACTCAATAAAAAAACATTTGATGCATATCCCGAACTACATTCATAGGTTTTTGCAAGTTATCCAAATTACACACACACACACACAAAATATCAAATTTAGTTGTTGGCCCATTAGTCAAGTGTTTGCTAACACTTAATACCTAAATTATTATATATTGGTAGTAAAAAAGCAATTAAATATGGATGTGTGAATCCCCATGGAATACACAAGTAATGCATGCAACTTATCGGTTAACTGTAACCCGTGACTGATAGGATGCCCCTTATGCTAATTACTCAGTATCTAAGAGGGGTATGTGAATAAAACATAATTCCTACAGATTAAACATCCCACACCTAAATTTTTATCTAGCAAACTTATGCTCTAAATTGAACTTCAGTTCACTCATACAAAGGACAAACTTCAGCAGTACCGTGCATGGTCCTTAAAGGGCATTGCCAGGAATGGTGTCTAACCATAATTTTACTCTCTTATTTTTACATTATAAAAATAAATTATCGAAGATAAAAAGAAGTACAATGTAGGAGGACAAAAATATATCAACAAAACAAATTAGTTCCGCAGTGTTTTCTAATTCCGAAGTGCTTTCTAATTATCTTTGCATCTGTTATATAACAAACAATCCATCAGTTTGTTGAAGAACTGTGACATTGCTCTCCAGCCACAACAGCTCCAAAAGTAGAGCTTCCTTCAAAAAAATTACATTTTCCTACTTTAAAAGGGAAAAAATAAAACCTATATACATTTTCCAAATTAAATATAATCATTGCAGCTTTGCAAATGTAGCAAGCTAAATTTATTCTTTTAACATTCAGAAATATATAGAACAAAAACAAACCTAGTACAATTTTATTAAGGACGAGGAAATCACCGCTTACAAAACATGGTACATTCAAATTCTCTGCACTCGGCATATCTCAGGTTTTTGTTATAAGTATAATATAAAAACTAACACTTAACACGCTAAGGCTGATGCTTTTGCAGCAATATAAATCATACTTTACTCCGTCCCAAGTTTTAATTTTGCTATATCTCATAAATGTCTTATCATTTGTCTGTCTCTCTGTGTATCTTCATTTTTTGTGTTAAATTTTATACAGTTAGAGCTTGAGGTATGTTTGGGTCAAGATAAATTCAGCAGGAAGCACCATAATGTTTCAAATACTAGAGTCATGGATTACATGCAGTATATAAAGAATGATAATCAACAAAAATAGAATAATAGTCAGAAACGATTACAATAAATAACATATCACAACATAAGCTTCAAGAAAATAATCCAAATAAGGATTTGGGACAGAGAGAAGGAAATCACTTCGAAATCGTCACTAACCGAGGCAAAACCAAACACGAATCGAAGCACGGAGAGCGCAGTTTCTTCTTCGTCGGTTTCCCCTCGCCCTCCCACACGTGAGTGAGAACTACACTACGGAAGGAAAATATGAATTTTCTGGAGAAATTTCAAGCTTCTATGCGACACTGGATTGGAGAAATTCTATTTTACAAAATTGTAAAGAAAAACAAAATGTAAGGAAGATACTGGAGACTAAATAGAGTAAACAGTGAGGAAGGACAAAATAAATTTATTTAAATTAAATAATTGAAAAAAAAATTGTAAATTAAAATCATTTCATCATACAAATACTTATTTACATTACTTATTTCTATATTAATATGTTTTCATTATAATGTGAATTTTATTTTCTAATTTAATTATTAACTTTACACATTAATCTTAAAAACACATGCGCATATGTTTAAGTATATATTTTTTATTTTCATGTTAAATAAATATTTATTCTCGTAATACTAGAATCACAATTCGTGCGATTTGTTTCCATTATATTAATGATATAAAATACAAATTTAATAATTGTCTCTCACCAAAAAAAATATGAGTTGTATGCTAACAAAAACATATTATTAAATGTAATTTTTATGTAATATAAATATTCATCTATTTTTAATATTAATACAGTTACACAGTACAAAATTTATATTTATTTATAAGTTAATTATAAAAATTGATATACCTTTTTTATCTCATAAATATATTTTTAAATTTTAGTATATATTATAATTATGAAGATAGTTAATTAAATAATAATGCTTAACTAAATAATGGATATAGAACTGAATATATTATAGATTGATCCGTGTAACTTATCAATATTTGGTTCTATATAAATATGTTTGTTAGAAATAAACTGATTATTTTAGCTTCTTATCATGCACACATCTATTTTCCAGAAAATTAGAATGAAAAGGGGGAAAAGACAAGATTAAAAATTTAAACCGTATTTCGATTTTTAATCCTGCACATTTACCGGGCTTGCGTTTTGGGCCAAACAACTTTTAAACATTCCAAACATTGGATCCAGGCCTACAATGAAACAAATTTTTTGAAACAAATTTTTAAAAATATTTTAGAATAATCTTTCCGAAAATATTTTAAAAAATTCATTTCAACAAACTTTAAAAAAAATAGTCATAAACTTAAACCATATATAAAAAATCATTTTATAATTTAACTTTTAAAAAAAAAATAATTATAAAATTATATTCTAGATTTCATAATTTAAAATTTAAAATAATTATATATTTTTTAAATCCATTTATCTAATTTTTGTTCAGATTTTTTAATTTAAAATATTCCATAACATATTTTTACGTCACTCGTTCTACAAAAGTAAGAATATTATCGTATTTTAAAATAAATATGAGAAAAAAATAAAATATAAAAATGATATGATACAATGTAAAGAAAATCTTATTGTCCCTTTATCAAAACTCTAAACCCAAAATTAAAGGTCGATACTTAATAAACACATAATAAACAAGAGCCTTTCACATATAAACTTCAATTTTAATACATAAACAAATAATAAATAAGAGTATTCTCTCTCTCTCTCTCTCTCTCTCTCTATATATATATATATATATATATATATATATATATATATATTTTATTTTTTTTTAATATATAAATATTTTTTTTAAATATTAAAAATAATTTTTAATTTTTTTTTAAATAATGAATAAGAATTGTTTTTACACAAATTTAAATTTTACGATGATAAAAGTATTTTTTACCAAAAAAAATTATTTCTCACAAATATTAAATTTTGTCAAAAAAATATTAAAAATATCTCACTTGAATATAGGAACTAAAAAAACCCAATAAATAAGATTGACTAGGTCAAAAAAACAGACCAGGAAAGTGACCAGACCCAGACTGTGTCTTCAAAGTTGATAGACTGCATTAAGATGTCCTTTTCAATGTACAAGATCCCTGCAATAAACAATGTTGCCTTTTTTATTATTATTATTCTTGCATTATTTTCTTTGCTGTTAATTATGATACATTAAAAGAAAAACGATAAATAATACTATTTTTTTATATTCTAAAAACTTTTCCTTCTTTTTATACCTTATATATATATATATATATATATATATATATATATATATATATATTCTCTTTACTTTTTATTCATATGTTCTTCTACAAATATTTAGTTTTTTTTTTTAAATATCTTTCACACACTGTAACATATTTATTTTTTATTTCAATATTTTTTTATTTTTATATTTGTTTAGACAATGAGTTTGATTGTTTAAATTTGGAATAAATAATTTTAAAAGTAATTGTTTATTTTTAAAAACGATAATTTATATCTAAGGTTATAAGTTAAATTTTATATTAAAAAATTGGTCCCAGAAAGAATGAAGGGGGAATTTTGTATCCGTTGTTGGATTTGGTAGATCTATCTCTCTGCATCTCTCTCTGTCTCTCTGGGTACCTCAACATCCCTTTGTTTCTTTTTCTGCATTTTCCTTCTTATTTATTTGAATATCTCTACTTTTCTACCTCAATAATCAACGTTGTGCTTTATTCTTTTTTGTTTACATTCATACATAATGTCATATCCACTTTTTTTTTTCTGTACCTGTAAATCCACACATGAAAATTTTCGCTCATTCAACTGTTGTGGGTCCACAGCCTAATTGTCACCGCTAGGTAGGTTTCTTATTCCTTATTTATGACATACATAGTGGGTTCCGTTGGATTTCGTTGAAATCTATTTAACAGGATGAATTTTAGTCAACAGTTACCACCTACAGCATAGTATATGTTTATGTTTTTATGCATGTCTGATTCTTCTTCATTGTTTGCAGTTAAGTTTGGCATGTTGGCATTAATTCCCTCGCTACATTGCTTCTCTCATCACATTAATGAAAGACACTTGTATCAGCATAGTATATAGTTTGTGGTGGTGGCAGTAGCAGTAGCAGCACAATGGATCCTATCAATCTCACCAACAACCCTAATCTTGCTTCCAGACAGCGTTTACGCTGGACGAATGAGCTACACGAACGCTTTGTTGATGCAGTCGCACAACTTGGTGGTCCAGATCGTGAGTTTTCTGCCTTTTTCCTCCTTCACTTGCCCTTTAACTGGAAATGGTTTACCCCTTGTTCTTATACCAACTTGAGACATTAATTACTTCATCAAACGACAAGGCTACCTCTTAACTACGTGGAATGTCAAAGCAGAATTTTCTTTGTGTGAAATGAGGCAAAGGAAAGGGGTATTTTTTTTTTTCAAGATTTGGTTGCAAATTCATTTGGTTTTGACAATCTGATTTACTTCTGTTGGCTGGATATCCTGATCTCTGTTGTTAGATCATTAATTTGTCAAATGTGTATACATTATTTTACATTCCTTAAGATATAAGTGTTTAAATTTTTTATAACCTTTTTCCCAGGTGCTACTCCTAAAGGGGTCCTCAGAGTTATGGGTGTACAGGGCTTAACAATATACCATGTCAAAAGCCACTTACAGGTTTGAGCCTATTAAATTGATATCCATGATTGTCATTCGTCAATCTTTATTCTCTTCGCTTTTCTGTTGCATCCAGAAATATCGACTAGCAAAATACCTTCCTGACTCCTCATTGGATGGTATGTCTATCAGACTTTCTTTGTTTCAAACATTAATACTTATGGTTCTTAATTTGTTGTTCCATTTCAAGTCTATTGAGAAGATTCCTTTTACTTTAAATTCTCTGTTTGGCAATACCTTTTTTACCTTGTTTATGGAAGGGCAAAAAGGCGACAAGAAAGAAACAGGGGATACTCTTTCCAGTATAGATGGTTCACCGTAAGTCTAGAACTCTCTCTTTACTTCAGTGTTTTCATACTTGTATTATAAGGTGGTGGAAAGTCGGGATAAAAATATTATTAATTCTTGTTACTACTGCATAGTCTTCTGAACTTTGTATCCTGGATTTTAATTTAAGCGAGAGTAAACACCATAAAGATTTTTTTTATCTGAATTTATTGTTTCACTACCTCAACTGTTTTAGTGGGGTAGGGGCAAGGATGTAACTTTTACATCAGCAGATTGATTTTTCACGACTCTGGTGGTATAAATTACTGAAGTTAGTAGTGGGGGCTTCTTTGTCTGTAGTGGGATGCAGATTACTGAAGCGCTAAAGCTTCAAATGGAGGTGCAGAAGCGACTGCATGAGCAATTGGAGGTTCATTTTTACTGTTGAACTAATTGAATTAGTAGTACTGGCAGACTATATTTGTTATGATTCGTATTGTATATAGTAGTGTTAGATGAGTTGACGAGATGAATTTTCCCCCTATTTATACTCGTTATTAACCTTGAGTAAGCATACCAGTAGAAAGATCCACTGATAATAACTCCTACTGTAACATCCCGTAGTAAACTGCACAGAAGACTCCGGTGGTATAAAAATACAAAAGTCTGCTTGCACTTGGATCATATAACGGTATACATGTGTGTGCTTCTCAGGTTATGAAACACATGTTCTTGATCACATTACATAAATGTTACCAAGATATTCATCTGGAGATAATTTTCAAGTAGTAAGGTAACCTCGTTTTTTACCAAAATATTTTTTAGAAGAAAAAATAGTAAAGTAGTTCCTTTGCAAGGAAATTATTTGATTAGAAAAGGACATATTTTGCTATTAACAACTACTTCATGGATAATTATTTCAAAAACATAAACAGCATACTAGTGGTCATCATATACTAATCATTATCAAGAAGATTTCAATTTGATTCAAAATTGTATATGCTTGTGATAGACAAATAAATCTAGAGGAATAGACCTGTGACCTTTCTGATGCATGACAGCAATCTGAAAAAAACTGTAATACAGGTGCAGAGACAGCTACAATTGCGGATAGAAGCCCAAGGTAAATACTTGAGGAAGATTATTGAAGAGCAACAGAGACTTGGTGGGGTTCTTTCAGAAGTATCTGACTCTGGGGTTACGGCTCCAGTTCCAGGAGATATGTGCCAACAAGAACCTGATGATAAGACTGATCCAGCAACCCCTGCCCCAACCTCTGAGTGCCTTCTGGAAAAGGCTTCCAAAGAGCATGCCCCAGATAAGAGTCTTTCAATGGATGAATCTTTTTCATCCCACCATGAACCAATGACACCAGATTCCTGTTGTCACGTTGGTTCCCCTACTGACAATCCTAAAGGGGAGAGATCTACAAAAAAGCAACGGCTTAACATGGAGGCAGCATATTCTGAGCCAGAATTGGTGCTTCCGCTCGAGATTTCAAGCATGTCATCATATCACCGACCAAATGCAATTTTCGTTTGCCAAGAACAATTTGGTCCTTCATTGGGTATGTCTGCAGGAAGTGTTAAGGCGTTGGAGCAGGATGGTAACAGTAGTCTGTGATTACATGCAACTTGAGCACTAGGACTGATTTTTTTTGTTTTTCATTGGATGTACGTACTCTTGGATAAATTATGAAAACTGTTCATGGTAGATTTCCCTGCATCGTTGTTTTCAGCTCATCATTTGACTATATACTTATATGTTATTCAAATGCAAGTAGAGCGTCAATCTGAATTATGGTGGCCGGAAAGTATCATGTAGTTTGTTCCATATATTCATCACAAGACTCTGGCTGACTGTTATGACCCAGGAAGAGGAAACAGAGAATTATGATTATGAGCATATGAATAGCCCAATGAAAAAGAGAAAGCCCAAACACCATAGAACCAGGCCTATACATGTATTGAGTATTTTGCAGGAAATAATACACGAAAAAACAATCAATCCCTCTTTGTTTTTATTATTTTCTAAAGGAAGCCTAACCAGCAAAATGGCAGCGTTGTACTGACAGGTTATACATGTAAAGCGATTATTTTTATGTTATTAGTCGAAGTAATTGTTCTAGTGCATATGTTAAGAAATTTAAGAATTTTTTTTTTATAACTCTTTAAATATTATAAAAAATAAATTGTTTTTAAACAAGTATATAAACACAGTTAGAGGTGTATGACACTTTTGTAGACCGGTCCTATATTTCTCATGAATATTTTTGGTAGAGCCTTATCAATATTATCAAATCATTGTATTGTGTTATCACAGGGAGCAAGAGCAGGCAATTGGGTGAGCCACCTTCATAAATATCAAACAATAATCACAACAGGGAAATGAAAGCCAAAGAGAAACCAATGTTTGGCAATTCCTAAAGTAAACCTTAAAAAATAAGTTGAATTTGGAGAACCAACTACAAATAGTATTTTCATATTTAATGTTGTAAAGAACATTACAGTTAGAAAATGGTTGGGTGATAATGATATGATATGATACAAAAGAGGAAGAAGGGTTGAGAGGTGAGTTTAAGAGGACTTGTGCCTTCGATGGTTTGATCCCTTCATAAGGCAAAGCCGCAGACGTCTGCTTAGAGCTTCCAGCTTCTCAAATCTCTCGCTCTTTGGCTTCTTCACACTTTCATCTTTCTTTTTCTTCTTTTTCTTATTCTTCTTCTTGTGCTTTTTGTCATCTCCTTCTTTTGGGTCCAACGATTTTTCATTCATACTACGCATAGGTGTGGCAAACACCTTCACAGTATTCTGACATTATTCACAAATGACGCATGTCAGTGACAACAGATAGATGATATGCTCACATCATCATGCATGTGAAGCACAGACTGCGAAACAAGTGATATAAATACATAAAATCGTTAGGACTCTCAGTCACTTCCAATATCATTTCAATGCATGTCATACCTGAGAGAGGGTATCATCAGCCCTTAAATCTTCACAAGATTCTTCATCACTACCTCCTAAAGAAGAACATCTGCCCCAACTTTCTCTATTTGAGCTCGTATATGAGCAACAATCTTCACGCTCGCCATTTAGCTTATCCTATCAAATTCAATTATGCCACACTTCAAATAAAGAATGTTCAAATTATAAAATGTGGTTATGTCTCTGCACTTCAAGGGTTAGACAAACACTCAATATCTCGTGACACCAAATTAGCCAAGTCCTGTAGGGAGAATAAAGTACTAAACTCTACTACTAATAAAATTATTCATTCATTCAACCAAGAATTAAAGACAGCCAAGAATAATTGGTATAAAAAAACCAGCCTTTTCTTAATCAAGCTGCAGTTTTGGAAACAAATTTGAATTACAACACTTTAAAACTACTTCTTAATACTTCGTCAGCATTTTTTTAATTATTTTGTCAGTGAAGAATGGAGTTGTTGGCACTACAAAATCTCGAATGAGTGATATTAGGACATCAACTATGAATATGATCAGTATTGATTTCTGAGTCATAATAACTATCAAGTATTATGACTCACTACATTGCATACTTCATCTTTTAAGTATAAGGAAATCAAATCCCTTTCAATTATTATAAAAACAATTAAATAAATTTTATAATAAATAAAGAAAAATTACCCTCAAGAAGGGGGTTATAGATAATATTTTCAATTAACAAAACTTAAGGACTCTAGGGTTAATTAAGCTAATGGATGGTTACTCATTGAACACTATTTGAACATTGTCAATCAACCAAATATATATGGTTGTCCTAACTAAAAAAATTAGTGTAGTACGTATATTGTAGTGCTTAGCAAATGAAGCAAGCATGCGGAAAGGACCAATAATGTGTAGACTTCAAATGTGATACTGGTTTCCAATAGTGAAACCTAAAGGTAAAAAGATATCCCTGAAATATTTTCTTAATTCCAGAGACAGTGTTTTATAAGATCACCTGCACATCCGTGGGGATATCATAGCCAGTTTCATCATTGCCATCAGTATCTTCTCTAAAAAAGGATTCCTGCATTATAAAATTTACAAGTGATAAATGAATTAAAAGTCAAAAAGTGTTTGGAAGAGAAAGACATGAACAGAAGGTAGTCCCCTACTACATCAGTCACTGGTGCAACTTCTGAAAGAAGTTCGCAAACTGATTTTGTGGTGGAAATTGTTGGAAGCACAGAAGATGAACTTGCAGCATCGGTTGATGCAGACCTCAGACTAGAGAGAATCTCATATAATAGGCTCTACCATGAAAACAAGAGCTAAATTAATTCCTGTTCTTCAAATAATGCTCACATAATATAAGCTTAATCATATGACCATATCAATATATAACCACATAATTACTTACGCAAATATTTCCAAAAGGTGAAAAGACATTTGGCAGCCAAAGTCAACTAGAGATATAAAATGGGTCATCTCTGGCTGATGGGCAAAAGGCCCATAGATAAAGACCACATTTAGAAATAGCCCATCAAGTCAAGCTGGTTAAGGTAACCCATGGACCAGCCCACTTCAAAAAAATGCTAATTTGACCCTGTTTTTAAAATGGGCTGACCCGACTCACTCTGTGTGCCAGACCAATATTAAAAACATAATTCACATGAACACATAATAATAAATAGAAATGTCAGAGCAAGAGAATTTTAGCCTAAAGTTTCCAAACTAAGAGATCATAAAATTCAGTGTTCCTCTTAACAAAATCTTAAAACATTTAAGTCCTTCATTCTTTACTAGCCTTCGATTTCATCTCCTTGATAGCACATTGAATTATGTTATTGTTGTCCCATGACAAATAGTTATAAAATTATCTTCATCTAATATAAACTGAGAAAAATTAGACAGTCAATCTCACTACTAGTGTCTCAAACTTTTGTAGCTACTTCAGTTAAAAAAAAATATATATATCTACTGCGAGCCTGTGCACCAATTCTAAAAGCATATTCCAATGTTACTGTGGTTATCGGAATAATTAATACATCTTGTGGCTGGAGTGCAAGCGTGGAAAATCTTTTTTATTAATCTTCCAATAACTCAACACATCTAAATCTTTAGTCATCATAATCGAGTGGTTTTTACTTCCAAACAAACATTCAATTCACTTTTCTTAATGTGAAGATTTATTTTCATTTTGAAACATTTTTAACTCTTGCAAAAAATAATTTAACCTAACAAAAAAGTTAATAAAGTATGAAACTACTGACCAATTCATTTAAAAAAAAGGTACCTCCAGTACTTTTGACCTCTTGTTCTCCACTTGACTTATCTTACTAACATACCATGATTGAGAAGCACCTGGTGCATTGATATTACTCACGTATTCTCCATAAAGCTTCTCAAACTATTCCCTTGTATATAGAACCTTATCCTCTAATATTGACTAATCAAGTTGCGTAACAGAAGAGTATAAAGTAAAGTTTCATACACGGATCAAGAATAGTACCAAAAGCCAAGACCCCACCACACTCCTTCCAATAGTTGTCAAATTTTCTTTTCATTCTTGCACATATTTCCTCTATATGCTGTTATCATTGAGCAAGTTCTTATCTAGCATGCATTCAATCTTCCATACATGCAAAAAAAATTAGTGAGGCCAGGTAAGATGAATCTGATATCATCTTTATGGTCTAGAATGGTTCCAAGAACTTACACTTTTTATCCCCTCCTGAAATCTTCATTTGATGGACCCGATTTATAATTTGTGTTTGACACCCTAATAATGTAAAATGTTATATTGAATCCCACCTAGTAGATACATATCCAACCTTAACTAACACTAGTTTCAATGACAGGTTTGAACACAATCTTTGAATTTAACCATCCTCTCACTTGATCCTTAAATTTTATTAGGTGCCTCATTTGACACTTTCAGACCCTCTTGCACAATAAAGTAAGTATGTGAGCAGAACAACAAATATGAAAAAAGTCACCATTACAAAACAAACTATTTTGGAAACGAAGGTGGGATATAAGAACATCTTCATATGCCATTAGCAAAAGCACTGTCCAAAATGATGAAACAAAATTGCTTACCAATTCCCCAATATTTGAAGCAATCAAATAAGAGAGCTCCTAATTCAGATTTAGCGTGGGGACACTTAGTCCAATAAAAAATAATAGAGGGACAACTTAAGCAAGCTTTGCCAAAAATTCTTAATGGTCAACCTCTATCACTGAAGAGTATATTTGCGTGACTGCACACTTTGTAGATGATAATTGGCTATTAATTTTGTCCGATAAAGTCTCCCCACGCTAAATAAAATTAAATTCAGATTCTGTGCATATCTAGAGTACAAAGCATGCAGATGTGGTAAAACTAAATTTAAGGATCAGACATATAGGCTGGGTTAGGGACAGGAAAACTAGAGGAATATAAGGATTAGAAAATGCCAGCAACAAGTTTCTGAGAGATCTATTAGGTCAATGATGTAAAAAAAACATAAGTCAAGGAGTTTGAGAAAGAAGAGGCAAATATATAAGGGAAAAAGGTTAAGGAGCCAAAGGAAAATTAGATTAAAAAAATAGAAGTGAGGAATTTGACCAAATTCATGTTGACGATATCGAAAACTAAAGTCATGACTTTTAACTCCCTAATTCACTTACCATTTTTTTGGCCAATTTGACTTTTCTCCTGTATTTTTTGTCCTGTATATCTTCTGTCTCTCACTCAATTGGTTGTATATCTTCTGTCTCTCACTCAATTGGTTATTACATTGTTTTAAGTGTAAGAATCGAATAAGTGAGGAACAAGAGATGTACAAGATAAAAAACATAGGACGAAAGTTAAATTGGTTTTCTGGCTGTCTTTTCATTAGGTCTATCCATCATGATACTTCAGCAAAACTCCTCAATTATATTATTCTTTTTATCTTACTTTACTTTACCACTTTGGTCTCTTTTCCCCTTATTTTTTTGTCTCTGCTTCCTCAAACCCTTGAACTCATGTAACTCTACATCACTAATGTAATTGATCTCCAAAAACCTTATCAAGCCAATTTTCAAATCCTTACATTCCTATAATTTTTCTATCCTTAAATCAACCTATCCACTTGATCCACAGACCTACTGTTGTGGCCCAGGCATCCTCCGCACTCTAGATATGCTTGGTTAGGGTCAGAACACTTAAAATCAGAATCAAATTAGCATTCATAAAAGTGGGCTGGCCCATGGTTTACCTTTACTGGCTTGGCCATTGGGTTATTTGTATATGCAGCTTAAAAGCCCCATTGGCCTTTTGCTGATCAATCAAAATGACCTATCCAACTGCTCTAGTTTTCTTTGGCTGTCAACAATCTTTTCACTCTTTTCTTATTTGATTAATTCAAACACAGGAGAATTGATAAAAAATATGTTCTGTCATTTTAGATAAGACTTTTGCTAACGACACTATGCAATATATTCATAAAGTTTAACCTCGTTCAATCTTCCCATTCATGCATCTCCTCATTCAATCTTCAGATTCACATACGAGTAGTCTTCACAAGTTGGTTTTGGCATTGGTGTCACTGTCTATGTCGCTGTAGTTGTTGAAAATCTCACCACCGAAGATGTCTGTTTCAATATATCTTTAGTTTCCCCTTTAGCAAATAGTTTTTTGACTTGGCACAATTTTGAAGAATCAAGAAATCATTGTGTTCCTACTTAGTTTTGATTGTTTCCTGGAAGTTGAATCTAGCATGATTGTGGTTTCAGTAGAAGGTTCAAAGTTTGGTGTTTCTACGTTGGCAAATAGGAATGATGAAGAGTCAGCAAGCTTCTTAGAGTCGTGACCATCACTACCGGCATGATACTAAATTTCCAAAACCTCCTAACTAGCCAAGAAGGATGGGACCTTATTGAATTGCGGTTTGAAGATGACAAGCTTTCACTTTTCATTTTTGAATCTGATTGAACCCCTTTAATTTTTATAATAATTTAACAATAAATCTAGTAATTCAATCCGAACCAACCAAATATGAGCATGATGGTTCATTTGGGTTGACAAAAGAATTGAAGGAACAAATCCAACCCGACTACCATTCATTTGGTTGGATCAAAATATCCTACAAATTCAAACCAAAATCAATCTGTGCCCACCTACAACAGTTAGGATAGTTCACGAATCAGTTTGAATCAAATTTGAAGAGAATGAAATCCAAAACAATCAATATTTATTGATTGGATTTGGTTCAGTTCAAGTTAATCAGACCACCAAATTTTTTATTTTTTTTGGTACAAACCAATCTGATAAAAAATCAGATAGGTTCTGTTCAGGTTAATTGAACCACATTCCATTGAGAAACAAATTAAAAACACCAATCTAACCAAAAGTGGCACCTGTGGCAAACCATGTTGTACTGTGATGGAGCCCCACTCTGGGATTAGCCAATCAAACACAAAAAATGGAGAGAATACAATTAAAAACGTCAATGCTCTACTCTTATTTAATATTTTTAGATACATTTGAGTTTAACACATTTCAGTTTCCGATCTACTAAAAAGGAAACAGAAAATCCCAAACTATGTGAAAAGAAAAAACAAGTTTGAGCCTTTCAAACTGTGATGTAGTTCATGTGACTGCCAGGGAATGCCGGAGTGACCATTAGGAGCAACAGTCAAAGGCTGCTGCCGGTTGGGCTGTCAAGTGAGTTAGTGATTGTCTGTCATTTGGGGCTTTGGAAGCTAAGTCTCCAATTCACAAATTAGGAATTACACAGAACAGTCCTTACTAAGCTCAGTTTGACTCACGTAGGCACTTAGCATTCAGTTAGTATAAAAGCTAAAACCAATAAAATATTAATAATAGAACAATTTTCAGTTCAGATCATCATGTATAAAATATGTGAATGTGATACTAACTAATTAACATCGCATTCAATTGGTTTTGTTCAAGTTGGACCTGATCTGACAGAAAAGTCCAAAACAATTTAAGTGTTTCTGTTTTGAATTGTTGGATTCACGTTGGTACGAACCAATGAATGCCGGTAACAACAGTGGCGTAATTGAATGCACATCAAGAAGATGAAATTGAAGACTGATGAGAAATTAAATAATGAAGACTTTGATGTTTTGGATTGGTTAAGAGGAATACTGAAATTTTAGTGCCTTTTAATTTTGGAAACTATCGACTATAATTATGTTGCTTTGACATTTCTATTTGTTATCTTCAAGTAAATGCCTAAGGGCTTCTGGCCTACAGACTACTTACAAGTTACATGTGTCAGCTTTCTAACTGGATTACCTTTGGCCCCATCCCACAGAGCCAAGGCTGAATAGGTTAGTGTTGGCCCATCTGACAACTCTAATGAATGCTAAATTAGATCCACATATCTTATACATGTTTAAGAGGTTTCAGGCAAGTTATGGCCCGGTGATTTGATTGGTCGAGAAAATGTACTACCTAGCCTGTTAGGGATGGAAATAAGGATGTTAAGGACTGTAATTTGCATATCATTTCATTAGTTCACAAGCTGCACTCTGCCCACAAAGTACAAATTCAGCTATATTTCTTGTGGATCAACCTTCTTATAAGTGCAACTAGCATTTCAATATAAATAATATTAGTTATTATGATTGATTGGTATTTACATAACATATTCTGCAACTGAAGTGAAGAAAGCACAAAATGATCAGTAGAAAGCAAAGGACATGGGGAAAAAATATATCAAGACAGAATTTAACTAGGCATGAAATCAAGACAAAAAATTCTTGATGCTAATTACCTCGTCCACACCATTACCAAGTTTCAAATCCCCCAAATCATAATATTTCTCAAGCTTATGAGCTCTAGGAACATTAGGAGGGTGGAGGACATTGTAGAAGAAAATGGAAACTGAATCATAAAAGAATTGTGGCCGAGAGGAGTTGTGATCACCATCAAATTTTATGACATTTTTATCACCCTACAAATCAGAAACAAAAAGTTAGATGTTTTGGCTGCAAATAAAATAAAATACAGATGAAAATTGCTTTCAGAAAATTTTGTTCTCAAAGATTTGGAATAAATCAATACCGCATAGGATTCAGAGATGAGATCAGAATGGTGGGGTTGAATGAATTTGTCATCACTTGCATGTCCAAATAAAACAGGAATGAATGTCTTTGGTGCAACCTGTAGGTGCAAAACACATTAATTTAGACACGGAAAGGAAATAGCTCTCCTTAAAAATTTGTTTAGCCAGAGAATAAAAGCTATAATGCTCAGATTACATGATAAAAATAAGCATGCATGTCATGACACAAACATTCTAACATGACTAATGTTCAAAATGTAGGATAATGGGACACCATACACACACATATATAAGCCTTGCAAAAGGAGTCATTAACATTTTTATCTTATATTTAAGATTAGTTTTTTTTTCCTTGAAGTTGAATAAAAATTTGAAAACTTTTTTATAATACTAGTGATCTTGCAAGTGCCCATGCATATGAAAGTGTTTACTCAAGTGTCTGAGTTGATTAAAAAAACAGATTTTATGTTGGGCACTAGTGAAGACTAGATTGTCTTTCACGGAATAAGGATATTAGGGAGAAGTTGATGCCGGAGATACGTTCGACACTCGGACACCTCAAACAAGAGGAGTGTCAATGTTCATTGTCATTGTTAATGAAGTTTACATAATTACATTAATAATTCAAAAATGTGGAACAGCTCGAAATATGCCTCACCATTCTTCTGAAAAAGAAAATAACAAAACTGCACAACTAATACATACCAGCAAACAGTTCAGGTTCATAATATCAAACTTTGCCTTCTTCTCAATAACCCGCCGCATGTACTGCACAGCCATTTTAACCTAATTGAGGCAAATCCAACAGAACATCAGACTAGATAAACATAGTTCAGAGTAATAGGCCCTATATCCATGGCTGGAGGTTTTGGAGAAGAAAAGCAACCACAAGAAGAAAATCATGCAAACTAACCAATATCCCCATACAACAATAATCGTTAAAAAAAAGTTGCATGTATGGTTCCAGTAAGCACAATAGGGTCTTTGGTGGCACATAATCTTTTTCTGGAGGGCCTGAAAGACTTCACTGACTGTGCACCATGCAGATATAGAGAAATCATTCCACTCCATTCAATCAAAATGGAACAAGAACATAATTATCAAAAATTCGAGGGAAATAATGCAAATCTAAAAGTATAGAGTGATAGAACTGAAAATCAATATATCCAGGATCTCCCCACCTCCACATTCCCAAAACTTCATTCAAAAACTGCAATAAATACCAAAACCTATTATAGTTATGCATCCCTAAGTTTCACATTTATAATTTTCCAAAAAGGACAAAAGAAACCATAATTACCACAAGAAAACCTACGTTTAAAATAAAATCTTAATCAAAACAAAAAAATGGAAAATCTTAATTCAAGCTGTTTGTATCAAAAGTCACATTGTATGTTGCTTAAGTAGGTCAATCAAATCAATTTGTAAATCAGAATAGCCTCTTCAAAATTCTATAAATTTCTCCAGCTAGCTAAACACAAATTATTGTGTTATATAGAACCAGTAAAATGAGTGAAAAAGGATGTAAAAGGAAAGCTGAGAGCAGATACCCTAAGTCCTAGAAATTATTTAGAACCACTTAACCTCAATACGCATGACAGTTTTTTCTACGTACAAATAAACAGCGAATTTAGATTTTAGATGCAGTTATAATAATGCAATATCTTTAAAGACTTTTGCAATCTGAACAACTTTGACTGACAATGCACACCCCATTTTACTAAATATTACAAATAGTTTTAAAGACCTATGACAGATATCATGCCCTACAGATTCATATCACTATGTGCATGACTGTTTGCACAGGACTACATAGATTCCCTTTTTTATCTTTTCATTGAGCCTTTACTATAAAGGAAGTTGGCATCCAGAGAGAGAGGGTGAGAGAAATTACAGTGAATTTAGGAAGCCGAATTTTATAAACATCCACAAGCTCCATCATAAGATTATATAAATTTGAAAAGGCACTATCCAAAACCATTCCAGCAATAGAAGGATCTTCAGCTCCATAAAGAAGACTACATGACACCAAAGCAAAAGTGAATAGTCAATTACACCAGAGACATGTGTATAAGGGCAGCTCATAATAACATGTATACAAAGCAAAGTTGGAAATGTGAGATACTACAAAACACAGTAACTTGATCGTCAAAATTTTGAAAAATATGTACTCCAAAAGGGGGAGAAAGAGTTAGTTGGGAGATGTAATACCTAGTAACTGCACCCATTGATCGTCCCCAAAGACCTATACGGGATATTTGTTTGTTGTTCCTCAAATATGACACCACTATCTTGAGATCATCTTTCTACCACACAAAGGAATGGACACATATTAGTAATTTCATGAAAGATGGGATATGCCAAAACTTGAAGTAATAGCAAGAAATTAATAAACAGTAAAAACATGCATATAGAGATAACTTACTTCATGCCATCCAAGACTGACATAGTCTCCATCTGATAAGCCTGAACCCGAGAAGTCAAGGGTAAAAACAGTAATATTTGAAGGAAGAAGAATTACAGCAGCTTCATTGGCATCTGCCCTACATCCACTGCATCATTGTACGTATGCACACATATCACAAGGGAGAATAATAGAATAACTAAAAATATTATATTTACAATCATGCATGTACAATTTTTTAAAAGCATCAAGACAAGAGCCACCACTTAATAACAAATACCTGTTTCCATGACAATATATAACACAAGGAAGTGAAGTATCTTCAGGGAAAGGAGATGGGAGATAATGGCTACACTTCAAGGTATAGCCTCGGGCGTTCTTGAGCTGCACAAACAAACAGATAATCTAACAGTAAGCAAACAATTGGATTGGACTCATGTCTTAACTAAATACAGACAATTATAATTACAAACAACAATCAAATTGATAATGTCCATACTTGCCTCCAAATCCTGCCTTTGGTACGTTCGACTTGCAAGGGTGAATTCCTTTTCCCAGAGGTATTGATCTGGGTTATACTCCGCCCTGCAAATATGACAAAATAGATAAGTTGAGCAATGGATGCACGAGCACTAACATGGCTATTATTTACTGGAGTAAAAAAGGTTGATAAGATCTATAGCGAAGCCGGTCTAACATAGTTTTTTTAAGACGACTGAGTGCGTGCTTGATTTACAGGCTTCACAACTTTCATAGCATCTCAACGGAAAAGTATGCTTGTAATTGGATTGGGTTCAACAGACATTTGAACACTTTCAACTTCCAGATAAAAAAAGACATACCCTAAAGGAAATTTCAAAATTAAATAAAAAAAACTACTTATTCTAACACTGCTTATCAAGGAAAGAACCAACATAATAAATAGGTAAAGACGATTTTGATGCATATTAAGTACTTTCCCCCTTAATTCTCAACAACTAAGATGACATGGCCATGAAAATTTAATACGATTTTGTATTAGAAAAAACAGGTATGGAAATTAAAGGCAAGAGATTAACATGAAAACAAAAACATGAAAGTACAGGAAGACACGTAATTACTAGGGTGGGAACAAAATAGGAATCCTCTTGTGAAGAGAAAGAGCCCTAATGAATACGACACAGTTAACATTCTCTGTCCCGTAGCCATCACAACGGTACCTGCTTACTTGAATAGTGCCATACCACCAACCAGAGAAGGAAAAATTAATACCTGGGAGGCCGAATAACGAAATTGATGAATTGTTCAATCATCTTGCTCCTACATGTAGCTCACTGCAACTCCACCTCATGACCTTACAACTTGACCTCTCTCAGAAGCTCTAACTCAATTGGCCACACTATCTTAGCAACTCAAATCTCACAAATAAATTTTACACGTCAACTCCCATGCCAGACACACATTTACACAAGCTAAGCTTCCAGTGCCCAATTCCTGCGAGAAACGACACCAGCTTACACTTGAATTTACATTTAAATAACAATAACTGAAGCACGAAACCCAGTCTCAGCAGTGGTTAATTTTAAAAGTTTACAAAGAAGCTGGTCCCAAGTAATTTATGAATTGAAGAGAGAGAGAGAGAGAGAGAGAGAGAGAGAGAGAGAGGGTGAAAGAGAGAAAAGAATCTTCAGGCTCAGAAAGCTCTTGCAGATCCAAATGGCCTGAAAAGCAATGCATATCCTAAAACCAGAAAAAGGTACAGTAACCAGAAATTTTCATTCACCCCCTCCCCCAGAAAAAAAAAAAAAAAGGAAAAGTTTTGCTTACACCCCTTGTAGTTGTAACATGATTGCAGGGAGTAAGCAACTTTATTTATCCAATGTCAAAAAAAATTCAAACTTGGATGACTGGGCACACGTCAATTCAACAGAAGGGTCCCAAATGCAAAACAAGAAAAAGTGTTCAAAATGGTAAAAGTTCGTAAAGGAAAAATGTGGGGTAAGATACCAGGCACGAATTCCAAGTCAGACGAGATCCCACATCCAAACCACATTGAAGGCTATGGAGGCAGTTCCCCTCTTACTTTCTCAACAAAAGAAACGGAGAAGCTGCAAAGAATGGTGGAAAAGCAAACAACTTTACCGGAATGAAAAAGTAGGAGGTAGTTAGTTACCTCTTACCACCCAAAAGCAAATGCTTGTCTGAAGAAGAAAAAGAAGGAGATAAAATATTGAAGAGGGTGAATTGCCAAAGAAGTTGGTTTTTGTTGTTGGTTTTGGGGTTCTGGTTTGTGAGAAGGAGAATTGAATTTCAATGGAAGATGATGATGATGAGAAGTGAAGAAAGATGAGAGATGAATGTAAGAAAGAAGAGTAGGAATAGCCAGCTGTCTTTCTTTCTAGCTGTTTAGTAGTGTTTATTGTTCATCAAAACGTACGTTTTATTTTCTTATTTAATTGCTCAATATTGTAACATTGTCCTTTTTTTTCTTTTTTCTTTTTTCTTTAACTCTTACCCCTTCCTTCTCTTATAAAGCACTATGTGGTATGAAATCAAAATTATTATTTTTTTGAAAAAAGTAATATTAAATTAGACTGGAATTTTTTTATTCTTTTTATGTTTTATGTTTTGGTATTTTTACCTTGATATATTGACTTTCAATAACTTTAATTTAATATTTTATATTTTAAAAACTTTTATTTGTTAGCTACAAATTATACCTATTAATCTATTTAATCATATAGTTTTCTTTTACACACTTAACGGGTTAGTTTAAAATAATTAAAATGAATATTTTTTAAAATATAAAGTACTATAAATATTTTCTTTTAAAAAAAAAATATTATAATAAGACTTAAAACTTATGCTAGACACAAAATTATAAAAGATTGAAAATAACATTAACCATAGAATTAAATATTAATATACAATGTAAATATTCATTAAATAATGCAAGTATTGAACTATACAATCATTTAATATATTAAATTCATTAAATAGAGGCACTAGTTAAATATTTTCTATTAAATAATAGTATAAAGAGTTACTAACAACATTGAATGCAATACATAAATAATGTGAAACATACCGTTAAATGTTTTATTCATTTATTGAATATGGTTATTTGTTAAATATATTAATTAAATGTATAAATTTTATATACAGATATTGAAACGTTATTGCTAAAAATATAACTAAATGTTTTACATAGGAATGATTATAGGCTTTAACGTTTTCATTCTTTTTATATTAAAAAATAATAAATTTCAAATGCATTCCAACCCAATACATATAAATTGATCAAAATAGTGGTAAGTACAAAAAAAAAATTCCTTTTTTTTAACTCGTACCTCTTGCTGCTCTCATGGAGCACTGTGTGTGAGTAAGAAAAAAAACGTATGAAGTAATATTAATGTGTTTTTATTCTTACCCCAATAGTATTAAATAACAAATTTATTATATATTATTTATAACCCATTTGAACAAAAATATAAAATGTTATATGTAATAATATTAATATATTGTAAGCATTTACTAAATATAATTTAAGTATTAAATTATATATTCATTAAAATCTTTAAATACAACGCTTAAAATATTTTCAATGAAAATGTTGGTAATATAAGGAGTTGCAATAACAACATAGAATGTCATACACAGATGGTTTTAAAAACACCATTAAATATCGCATTCGTTTAATATGAATCATTTATTGAATGTGCTTTATTTATTAATATATTATATATGAAATAAAATTATAAAGTTATATTCGAATAAATTGAGTTAAATGTTATTGCTAGAAATATAGTTTAAATTTTAAATATATAACATTAAAAACTTCAACGCTTTTCATTATTATATCTTAATGATTTTAAATCACAAAGTTATTTGAAAGTAATAAAGTTCAAATGCATTTTAACCCAATACGATCAACATCGTGTATACCTAAAACTAACTACCAAAATTGTGAGGATGCAATCAAATAAGTTAAGAAGGAGATATACCTAAATTAAAGTTTAAAATTCCACTTAAGGTTAAAAAAAATTATTTATTCAAAATTTATTCTCACACTAGATTCTCTTTTACTAATTTTTATAATTTTATCACATTTTTTATTTTTATTTTTTTAGATTTAATTACATCTTATTACTCTTTCCATTGATGTAGATCCATATCCTATCAAAGTTTTAGATAAAATAAGATTTTGAAGTATTTATACAACATAGAAATTAGGGTTACGGGTCTCAAAATGAGTCAATCTGACTCACATGGGTTAGTTTATCACATATTAAACGAAAATAAGTTAATTTAATCTACCTCATTTTATGACAAATTAAAAATTCACAAATCAACTCAATCCATTATGGGTTAGTGGTTAGGTAGGTTAACTCACTATTTATTCTTTTTCTAATAAATACTAACTCGGGGGACTGAAACATAATGATACGACAAACGTTATGACACGATTTAAACGTGACAAATACTATGGTGCAACTAAAACATGGTGGTACTGACGAATGCAGTGCTATGACAAACACTATGATGTGATTAAAACGTGAAACTAAAACTATTGGTAGGTGACACATCAAACACTCTGAATACAATGATGTAGGGATAATTGATGTTGAACCCAACCATACTCAAACCCGTAGTGAATCGAATTACTCACGGGTTACAACTTATATTAACATCCTAGTTAGGGTTATATGTGAATTTTTAGTGTTTGCATGTATATTATGTTTAAGACCATTATTATATGCTCAATTTGTTAGTTGAGATTTCTTTATTAGTACAATATAACATTTTAAAAATTTGAAAAATTTAAACTTGAATACATATGATTAAAATAAGAGAAACTAGTGTTATTATTTATAACTCATTAAGTTAAAAAATATTAATATATTCATATGACTATGTCATAATGTTTTGAAATAAATGTTTTGAATAAGTTGAAAACCTAAATTCTCAAACACTTTTAACATCTTGGGTGATTAGTTATTTGTTAAGTTGATAGGTGCATAATCATTTATTGGCCGAGCAAAATTGATTCTAGGTAAGGAGTTTGCTCAATAAGTAAACATAACTCACTTTGGTTAATATATATGGTAGGTGTCTAATTTGTTGAGAAAAAATACTTTATAATTTTTCAATAACATGTTTTTAAATTATTTTTAATACTAAAATTGTTCCTATTTCACTTAATTGTTACATTTTAACAACTTATTATATTTTAATATTTATTATTATTTAATGAATGAAGAATTTAAATTTGTAATAAAGATAATAAGATGAGTCAGTCTATGTCATTTTTTAAGTTTTTATTAGATAAATTTAAAAAATATATGATATTATTTAGAAATTTGAATTATCATTTAATTAAGAGAATTGAGACTGGTAAGATTTGAACATGGTACCTCAAAATTGGAGACCGATACTTCAACCACTAAACTATTACGATCTTTCGATAATAATTTATAAATAAATTATATTTATATATAAATAAATATATATCCGTATAAATATATAAATACAAATATATTTATATATTTATATGTTTATATATTTATATGTTTATATATTTATATATTTATATATTGATATATTGATATATTTATATATTGATATATTTATATATTTATATATTTATTTATATATTTATATATTTATATATTTATATATTTATATATTTATATATTTATATATTTATATATTTATATATTTATATATTGTATGTGAGGGGCGCTCGAATTTGAAAGTGTGTGTCGAGTGAGTTTTTAAAATTTTGATGCTAAAGTTGTGAACGAGTCTCTTTATACGAGTTTGTAATTTAATTATAGAATATAATCTTTATAATTTATTTATATAATAATATAAAATAATTTTTTATATTTTATATTTTTATTTTATTTTTATTTTTATTTTTTATCTTTTTTTATTTTATTGTTTAATTAAAATTCTTATACTAAAATATTTTTTCAATATTAAAAATACTTAAATATTTATTTTTAAAATGATTTAATTTAAGAAATTATTATAAATTAATCTAATTATGATTAAATTAAATTATTAAATAAAAAAAAGTATTTAATTTTTTAATTAGGTGAATATTAATTTATTAGAATATATTTAAAATTAAATAGTTATTATATAAATTTAAATATTTAATTTAATATTGATTTTTAAAAATATATTTTAAATTCGTCTGTAATGTACGTCGTGTAACTAATTGTTAATTTACCGACGAATATATCCATTAATAATTATTTATTTATTTACCTCGGTTAATTTACTGATAGATATATTCATCGGTAAATAATAATTTATTTACCGATAGATTTGTCGACAGTCGATAAGACCAAATTTCACAACTACTTTAAATCCGATCAAGTAAATATCTATTGGTAATTAATAATTTTCTTGTAATTGTCTGTTCCACCCACCCATCATATGTTAAATTGGTAGGCTAATAGAATGGATGAGGTAATATACTAAAATTTTCAATTCGCTTCCACCATTTTTTAAATTTTAGAATTTAATCCGCCAGCCTAACACTTTTTGTCATATTTATTTTTATTATTTATGTTAAGTTAAAATGAATTATTTTGAATGATAAATTATAATTTAAGATGTTTATGAATTGTAATAAGATATATATAATGTGATTATATCAATGGAGAAATTGATATCAAAATCTCATAATTTAATTTAAGTAGCAAAGTATTTATATGATATATATAATATATAAATACATTAATTACATGATAATGAATATTATAAATGTATTTTATGAATTATTTAAATTATACCTCAATTTAAATTGTTAACTTAAATGTTTATGGCGTGGAGACAAAAATAAATAATAAAAATAGTGGAACCCGAAATAAAGATAACATGTAATTATTTTTATTTGTTGAAACTTAATATATTTATATATTTTAATATAAAGAAAATTTATATTTTAAATTATTGATATAATTTAATTTTATATTTATATTATACATATTTTTAAAAATGTTAAAAAACAATATTAAATTTAATATACAATCTATATGAACAATAAATTATATATATATATATATATATATATATATATATTAACTATAATATGTTAATTAAATAAAATGAAAATATTAAATCTAATTAATATTTTATTGAATGTATAGATTTTATATTAAGAAAATTTTATATACTTGAAAAAAATATTATAAAATTTAATATTTAATATATATATATATATATATATATTTCATTTTCTTAGTAATATATTAAAATAAAAATTAGTCAATAATCAATATAACACGTGCATATTGATAACTATAAATAAATATTCTTTTATTATTCATATGTTTAATTATTTTTTAAACAAATTATTGTCTTAAAAAATTATTATTATATTATAACAATCAATAAATATTATTATTAGATTTGCACTCCCAATAAAAGCTACCCTAATTGTAAAATTATGCAAAAAAAATATGGTTATAAAATAATATTTAGAACTTGTTTGATATAATTATTTATTTAGTTTTTAAAAACAGTTTCAAATATTAATTTAAAAAAAAATTGAAAAAATTGTTTGATAACTACATATTTGAAAAAAGAAATGAAAAAATGATATTAAGAAGGAAAAATAATTTTAATCTTTATAATAATAAAAATTAGTGATTGTTGGTAAAAATATTGATAATAAAATAAATTTAAATAAAAGTATATATTTATTATTATTTTTTATTCTAAAAACTAAAAAATAAAAACACTTTATACATATTGTTTTGACATAATTATTAGTATACAAGTTTTGAAATTTTAAAAAACTAGAAAACTAAAAAATATTTTTACAAACAATAAAGGAATAACCATTTATTTTCCACTGATGAGAAATACCTATTAATAATATAAAAATAAAATAATTATAAGTATTAAAATTTTACCTCAATAAATTATGACAATATAATGAAATATGGTTCCAAGTTTGTATTTCCGCTAGATGTTTGATAAAACTTTCAAGTATACTGCCATTATATTTTTGTTCATTTTTACTTTGCTTTTATATATACTTTCATTACGACCAATGATATATGGAATAATTATTAATAAATTTGAAAAATATATGTTAATGGGGAGAAATTTATATTTAAGGAGAGATTAATGAAAAATATAAATATAAGTGTATGTTTGACATAATAATAAAAAATTTGATCAAAATATAAAAAATTATGACTTATAATTTATTTTTGTTAAAAATAAAAGTGACGTTCATATTTTATATGGGTGTACTCATGTTTTACCCTCAATTTTATATTATGAAACAAAAAGTGAGGTAAAATCTTATTAAAAATGAAGGTTATTTTTTGAAATATATATAC